ACTTGCCAAGTGCTTCATATCTCGATGAACGCACGCTGACGTATGAACCAATTGTTTTATAACATTTTCAACCCGATAGAAAATTTTTTTCTCGAGGGATATGTTTGCTGACGTCATGAGCGTACGCAATAGGAATATGAAGCACGCTCGCGCAATTGAATTTGATTGGACAAATTTACTAGCTATGTTATAATACAAATTACACTGCACTCAGTTCAGTTACCATTATTAATTATTACCGTTTGTATCCATGTAGATTTGGCTGGAAATGGAAAACTTCAGCAATGCGTTGAAACACTTAAGGAAGAAACCTTTACCCTGCGACGAACCAGAGCTCAGAAAAGTAGCCTCTCAATTTGTAACCCCATTTTACCTTTACGACAAGCAGAAAATAATAACAGGAGCAAAGCACTTCAATGACAGCTTTGCCTGGGTGCAATCATTAACTGGATCGAGTTTTAGGAATCATTTTGCAGTGAAGGCAACACCGACCCCTAAAATTATGAAAATGCTCTATGAGGATTGTGGAATGGGAATGGATTGCAGCTCACTGACCGAACTCCTCCTCTGTGAAAAACTGGGAATTAAAGGCGAAGATATCATATTTACATCTAATAACACTCCTTTCAAAGCATACCGAAAGGCGTTTGACATGGGGGCCATTGTCAACTTGGACGACTTTTCCCAAATCGACAACATGAAGAAGGCGTTAGCAGGGAAGATGCCTAATGTAATTTCATTTCGTTACAATCCTGGTCCATACCAAAACATTACACACAACTTATTTATTGGAGACCCTGTCGAGTCTAAGTATGGAATGACAAAATCCCAGTTGTTCTCCGCCTACAAGAAATGCAGAGAATATGGTGTAACGCGCTTTGGTCTTCACACGATGCTGGTGTCAGATTCTTTTAATATTTTGGATCTAGCCGAAGTTGCTCGTATGATGTTTTCATTAGCGGTGGAAATCAAGAGGGAGACAGGAATTGCAGTTGAATTTGTCGACTTGGGAGGTGGTATCGGTGTGAATTATCGTCCTGAAGATGAGCCCATCGATCTCGGAGATCTCGGGCAACAGGTGAAACGTCTATACGAAGAAATCGTGTTGCCGCACACTGATCTTCATCCTTTACAGATAAAGTACGAATGCGGAACGCTGGTAACCGTTGACTGTGGCTGGTTGGTTTCACGTGTGATCAACATGAAGGACACGTACAAACGTTTCCTGGGCGTGGATGCTTCCATGGCTGACTTGATGGGCCCAAGCGTATTCGGCATGTACAACCACATCACCATTGTAAAGGATCAAGCTATTCCAAACCATTTGCGAGAAGACCTTCCCGATTACAAAACAGTGGTAAACAATCCTTCGTACGCCTGTCCAAATTACGAGGGTAATAAGAGGGAGAAGATGTTCGACGTGGTGGGTTCTCTGTGCATAAACATTGACAAGTTTGCCATCGACCGAGAACTGAACGAGCATCCAGAGATTGGTGACTTGTGCATCATTCACAGCGCAGGAGCGTACGGCCGCTCAGAGAGTTTCAACTTCAATGGGAAATTAAGGCACGCAGAAATTTTGCGTGTGGCTGAAAATTGCTTTGAGGTGATTTGTGATGCTGAAACGTGCGAGAATTATTTTGCATTGTTGAAATTTCCTGGAGAATGTATTCACTTGTGAATGGCAATTTATATTCTCGCATGGATAGAGTCATATTCTCCGGAAAATTGCATGGTAGATTTCAAGTGATTTTAAAGTTAATAACAAATATGTGGTTGACGGAATTTTGATGAACTAGACATGTAAGGGTTGGTTAAATTTATATTTTACGTTAGCAGGGATAATGAAATTAGTTGCTCAAAAATTTACTACTGTTTTTGGAAGTTATGTGAGGGCTTCTTATGGTAGAACAATGGCTAGAAGTAGTTTCTCATTTGAGAAATCGGGCTCATAGTTTAGGGCCCTGTCAGAATCAGGAAAAGTTATCTTTACTTTGAAGAGAGGTGAGGGGAGAAATAAAATTGTCTGCATTAAACAGTTAGTTGTGTTTAGTCTGATCAATATAGAAAACAACCTAGTGGAGTGAAATCTAATTTCCTCATAATTATGCAGAAAATGCGGGAAATGGGGATTTTCCAAGGAGAACCCCTTAGCTCTCAAGGAATTACATATTTTGACCTCTTATCTTCATGCAGTTGTTAACTCATCGAACATACAATTTGTACTAAGTTTGAGCAAAATTTCTTAATGATTTGAGTATTATAGCCTCTACCCAGTTTCGCCTGGTTTTCTCAAAAACACTCTCTAGCACATGAGTGATTTGTGTACATAGCGATTTCTTTTCATCCGTTCTTCGCTCTTCACTTGGTGTGTTTTTTCTCTTTCTTTCTCGCTCAGCCTTCCCGTCTTTCTTTCCTCTGTTTTTCTGTCTTCTCAACGTCAAAGTTACTTCATTATCTTTTATCAATATATTTGGCATCTTTCGTTTATCCTTAAGCTCAGAAAATCCAGCGCAGTATAACGGCATTAACATCAAGCGAAAGTTTAACCTCTGATGAAATTTCACCACATTTGTTTGGCTTTACCCGATCATTTTATTGAAGCCGGGTACAAACTATAAGAAACCGGATCGTTTCGCCTACCGTCTGTTCGCCTACGTCTAGAGTCGGTTCGCTTACGTCCAATATGTCAGTTCGCCTACGATTAATATATCAAAACTTTAAAATTGAATTGTTTAAAAGTCCTTGTTGAACCTCGCAGAACCTTTAAGACGTGGGCGAACTGACATATCGGACGTAGGCGAATCGATTCTAGACGTAGGTGAGCAGACGGTAGGCGAAACGACCTGTAGGCGAAACGACTGTAATTCAAACTATGGACGGCTGTAAGGACACTCGACATGATCTTAACGTGCTCTCAGTTGTGATCTGGTCGAACGAGGGGCAAAGAGAGAAAACCAGAAAAAAATTAAATAACTGATATAATTCTGTGAAGCTATTGACTGTTACTTAGAAAAGCAAACCACTACCGCTGTCAGCTTTAAGCAATTACATCTGTTGTGATATGAATATTGGTGAAATTTTCCTCATTTTTAGAGAGAGAAATCGCGACTCTAGAGTCATAAAATGATTTTTGGGATGTACTTTTATCAATTAGGTACTCATTTTCCACAGCTGGAGCAACAAATGAAACAGGGATTTGAAAATCAGGTACATATGTTCATTGCCTTGAATCATAAATAAACCGCAATTTTACGGCCAATCAATTCGCTAGCCGATTTTGAGGGAGATATATGTACCATGTCAGTGGCAGCTTTTATTATGAACTCATGATCAGATGTTAGCTACCAAGAGAATTCTAATAAAAGATACACAGAAGCACTAAGTATATGTTTAAACTGTGTCATGCGGTTTTCTAATTTTCAAAAATCGTGACGTCATTTTTTCCTCGACCCTTTAGCCAGGTCGACAGCGTCTTTTGGTCGTACTAATTGAGATCTTAGCGTAGTCCGACTTGAAAGCAGCGCGTACGCCTTGTTGTTGTTGGCAACGGCGGACCGTCGAGGTAGCAAATCACTGAGTGAAACAGCAAGGATCGAAGTGCACCAATCAGAGCTGTTGAAAAACGACTAATCACAGCAGAGCATCATGCTTTATAAGATCACGCATGTCCAGTCGACCTCATCGCCTTACGAAGACCAGCAGTATGCAGTCGAAACGTCGCGATCTACATCACACGTGACTACATCTTGAGACAAACGAAAAAAACTTAGCTTTTTTTGTTATTCACAACGATGAATAACCACAACCTTTCTTACGAAATGAGTTGATAACGTAAATTGGCCACCGTAAAGAGTTTAAAAGCTAAGTTTCAGAAGCTGAGTTTCAGAGCATTGAAACTCTTTAAGGTGACCAATTTACGTTATTAACTCAGTTGGTAATACCAAACTACTTTACCCTAGTATACACATTGGCTGAGCTGAAACAAATGAATACCGTGCATTTTAATTAAAGAGGTTTATAAAAGTTACGGCGAACCTCTAAAATTCAGAATTACCATTATTACTATTATCACTGTTACTTTATTGTAACTTCCCTTCCAGTGCTCCGTACATGTCACGCACTATGGCATACGACCGTCATTTCCTGTTGGGATCAGGTCAATTGTTATTATTGAGGCATTATACTTTTGAGCGTCACCCCTGGTAACATGGCATTGTGCCGAACAATATCCTCAATTTAATGATTAAAAAAAAAAAAAAACAGCTTTTAGGTGCTCCTCAACCTACCTTCCCATAACTTCCCCATCCCCCTTATCCCCCCCCCCTTCCTACCACTAACAGGCAAAGTTTCAGAACAAGAGACATCCTTTATTTAAGTGGTCACATCCCGATGGTGCAAGCAAGAAAAGAAGGCTCGCTGTTTACAACGCTCAGACCACAGAATTTAAATCATATTGCATTGTAACGTCAAGGGAATTTTTAGAAGTTGTGGTTGTTACCGGCGTTATGCTTGATGCTCTGACGATGGCATTGTCACATTATTTACAAAATTATGCCTGTCACACGAAACCACCACAGGAGGTTCTTGACTTGTATCGAAAAAACCGTATGCAATGAAACTGAATACGAGCTCTAGAATAATTGATAGCAAAAGTGTCTTGGACGCTTACATCGAACGAACAGAGATTGAAGAGCAAAGGACGAGACACAACTGAGAGAAAGATGTTTATGACGATTACACGTTACATTGATTATATATAATTACTGACCCTCATAAAATCCTATTGTTCTCTCTCAGCATTATATCGGCGATTTCAGCCTGAGAAAATATGAAGATATGAAGGGGCGACTGAAATCGTCGATGTAATGCAGAGAGAGAACAATAGGATTTTATGAGGGTCAATAATTATAATAGTTAATTACTGAGGTTCGCAGCATTATTGGGTATAATGCTGCGAACCTCAGTAATTATCTATTAAATAGCACTTGTCATTTACTGTTGTAAACTGATCCTATTCAATAGTTACCACATACAAGCGATTGGGCAATCGTGCTTTCTACGAGCTTGGGCAAAACTTCCGCACAGAATTAGCTATTTCACTACTGAAATGGGCGTTTCTATGTCTTGGGCCTGTACGTTTGGAGTAACTATCATTTATCTTGGTTTCGTCGGCCTAACGGAAGGTTCCTTGGTTGCGAATGGCGTGAACGTTTGCTCAAGATCCCAGAGGTAAGCTTAGGTCATTTCGATAACTTCGACTTGTGAGAGTATCTCGGCAGAGGTTTGATGCACCCCATTCATAAAATGAGCTATTGTTGGTTATGGCTCAGAAAAAACTTCTCCATCTTTACTTTACATGCATGGATATTGGTCCATGGACGTTATCTGTTCCAAGATGCAAACTGTTTCCTAATAGCAAAGCTAGAGGAGAACTGTGAGCTTTGAGGAACAGATAATATCCAAGTACAAATAAACAAGCATATTTTCGTGCCAAATAAAGGCTCTTGTGTTTACTATCCTTAAATAGTTTGCAATGCACATGAAAAAATGTTTATGAACAGCTTACTGTTTGCTGTGTGGGACATTTTCCTTCGAGTGTTTTTTTGTTACAACTTAATGAACAAAAAATATTTCCCTTCTGTGACAACCATAAAATGTTCCTTCATCTTTAATTTAATTTTACATGAAGACTTATCATAGCAGAGTTAAGGTTTGAAAATTGTGGGATATCACCTGGGTGATATCCTTGGATATCCCTTAGTTTCAGTGATGGAATATTTGGTCACATGATGCATTTAAGTCAATCAAGCAAAAATATTTGATGGATCATAAATAGTGTTATCATCTGGGCAAGAGATCTTAAAGTCCTGGGGAACTGTTGTCAGTAGAAGTGACTGACTTTTTAACAACTTGAGGGGAAAATCTTAGGAGATTAATAATGATCACAAGAGTACTCTCCTTCAAATATAAAACAATGCAATCAACAGTTATTTTTAGGTTCAAACCATTTTCTTATATCAATAATTCAAATTTTTTCAAGTGATGTGATTTACTCCATGAGTGGTGTGATCATGAAGCAAAAATAACAAATGTAATTTTGTGATGTCACTCTCCCCGCCAGCCCTCATTATTATGTAATATTTGGAAATTAGTTCAGAGGAAATACTCCTTTTACAGACAACTTAAGCCATGGCACATTATAGTATTGAAGGTCATACACCATGGACCAATTACCAAATGGAAATTGACTGTTAAACTTCATGCTCCATCAGTTAATCCACTGCTCAGTTACTTATGCCCACCTGTAAACTTCAAGGAAACCCTGATTGAAAGGAGCCATTCTTTTACAGAACTGACTACAAATGAACAAACTAACAGCTGAAGGAGTTTCTTTTTTGGTGGTTCTATTATATGGTGCTATCTGTTAAAATTATGAGTGCAAACACAGCATAAATATTTTTCCTAATTACTAAGGTATGGAGTATATTTTCTGTCGACAGTTTCGTACAGACGTACCAGCAATCCTTTCAAATGAGCTGGAAGAAAAAGTCATCCACTAGCTGTGGATGGTTGGGCTGGAAAAGATGCACGGTGTACAGGTGAATAAGTGCCGTTATCAGTTTTAACCAAATCCTCCGCTACTAGGCTAAGATATTCAGATCTGAGCTGCTGTTGGTTACACTGTAAATTTTCTCTAACTAAAGCTACTCTGACTTACTCAATGATTGCCACAGAGTGAAAAATGGTATGGATAAAAATAGGTATAGGTCACATTATTTTACTATCATTTTGGAGAAAATCAGGGAAATTAAATTAAAATTTCTCTTATTTAATACCAGTAGTGAAAAACCTGCATTGTGTATCCAGTGTGTCAACGATGTTTAGATAAAATTCTATGTCCTTTGGAAAAGGAATTTAAATTTTATGCACATCAGGAGATGTTGACTAATACCAAATTCTATTGAGAGGAAGCAGAATATATATTTCCCCTTATTTCTCTTATCATCCGTTACATGATTAAGTGCCCTAGCATGTTTTTTGTAAAGCTATCATTCTTAAAAAAATGAGTGGAAATTAACCACAGTGATATGAGAGGGCTTGTTTTATCTGAGAATTTGTACTTTTTTTTTGCAAGAGAATTTAATTTTCAATATTTTTTCACTATTCAGAACGTTATATGGGGTGTCTTATAGAACACTTACTCGCCAAGCTTTTAAACCTGTATATTTCTGTTGTCTTGGTTGGAGACAGGAAGGGAATGGTTGTCCAGTTGGTAAGTCAGAGTCCTTTGTTAATACATAATAAGTGTGTGAAAATTTATGTTTTTAGAAAGTTAACAATTGATACTAATATTAACAAAAACAATTTTTAAATAATTGTGGGAGTTAAGAAGACTACTGGACGTTCCATGAAGTGGCTCTTCTTGTCCAGTTGAATTTAAATTTGGAATGTTGGTTGTGGTGGAGGGGGAGAAAACCAAATGACCTAATATATATATAGGAAAACCCTTGAAGCAAGGATGAGAACCACTGCACCATCCCCAATCCCCTTTTAGTGCAGAATGTACTCGTACTGACTAAATAGAGATTTGTCATGAAAAATCCCAGGCAATCAGTTTCTTATGATCATCTGAACCTTAAGGAGGTAAATAAGATAGGGGTTTAGATTTTCCTTGCAAGAGAAATCAAGGTTTATGTGACTATGTCTATTTGTTGCATGCTTTCCCATAAAAATTTAATTTTTTGAATGATCACAAAGTTTCTGAACAAGTTTTTCTGTATTCTTTCAACTTAATAATTACTTTGTTCATGCCTCAGGTTTTAGTATACATCACTGTGGTCCCACTTTGCCACAATTTGTAAAAGCTGTTAAGTAAACTGTTTTTTTTTTTACCAAATTTGCCAAAACCAAATATTGAAAAGAGATTGTTAATCAGGTCATTTTATACATTGTAGCCATCTGTAAGGATCCTTGTGTTAATGGGACTTGCACTCAGCCGGACTCATGTTCATGTAATGCAGGTTATCATGGACTACTTTGTGATAGAGGTGAGTTTATGTTGGTCATTTTGAAGGTTAGTTGAAGTTTAATGACAAGCATCTCCTCTTGGCAGCCCCAGTGAACAACTTATATTTAGAACTTAATTTTACTGTCTCATTGTTTAGGTTACAGTCTCATTTATTTCCTGAATATCCAATTGAGTGTGTTACTTGGCATCTTCAGCTGTTTGATTGTTATCTATCTCATGAGCACTAGTTGAAATCTGTATCAACTTTTTTCATGATTGAGATTGTTCCAGTGAGATTTATCAGTTACCAAGTGTGAACACTGTTGAACACTTAAAGTTAACATAGAAATCCCACTTCAATAAGAAAACCAAATGTCTGCGAGCAGACTATTTGGCTATTTACTTAGTACTACTTGTGACAATTAAGAAATGGTTAGTATGCAGCATCAACCACTTTTGCCTTGATGCACTGAGGAGTTTGCTAAGCATGAAAGAAGAGTAAGAGTTGCACAAGGCACTAGCCAAGTGTGACCCCTAGCTTCTTGAGTGCTTAGAAAACCTCCTGAGTGCATCCATGACTTGATGGTTGCACGCTGCATGCTAACAATTTCTTTTATAACATTGAGACTTTTAAACCCACAGGTAAATGGATCAAGCATATTAGCCCATCAGAGTGCATGCTTTAGTAAAGCTATGTTGTGATTTTCAATAAATGTAATGATTGGAAGGGTAGAGATGTGGGCATCATCTATCCAAGATCTTAAATGTCCTGAATTTAAGTGTCACTTTCAGCGTAATTCTGGTGTTGGGTCGTTATTAAAAATCATTGATATATGATCTCTCCTGATCTAAATTTCTCAGAGTGCCCTTCTCACAAGTGGGGTCCTCACTGCCGACATGACTGTAAGTGCAGGAATGGAGCCAAATGTGATTCACACACAGGTCAGTGTGCCTGCACTCCTGATTGGAAGGGTCAGCAGTGTGAGCAGTCATGTGACCAAGGTTTCTATGGTGATAAATGTCAGCAGAAATGTGATTGTTTGAATGGTGGAACTTGTGAACCTGTCACAGGAGATTGTACTTGTGCAGCAGGCTTCCAAGGTACAAGGTGTGTTTAATACAGTATGGTTTGTTATCATTCTTATCAGCATCAAGTTTCGAGTGTGTCAATAGAATAGTATCAGTTCTATGGAATAGATTCAAGCAACTTGGTCTACACTGATGCTGACAACTTGTTTGTCAATCTATTAAACATGTCCATCCACCTAATTTTTTTCAGGCCAGTCTACTCTTTCTAAATTTTAATGGTTTTATTAGTTAATTAGAACAGTAGAGGTTTCTCTGATTTATAGAAACCTTTTTGATGGTCAAGGAAAAGGTGAAACTGCTGACTCATCTGCTCAAATGACATGATTCACATTCTTCTTTATTTTTTGCAGTTTTGTAATTCATATTTCATAGAAATCTGGAAGAAAATTAGAAATTAGTTAAATTAAGCAACTGATTGCTAGTTAAATGTCAGAACTTGGGAGTTTAGGCATCTTGATCTATGCACTTTAAAAATTAATGACATATAATATTATAGGCTGAGGCCTTGTTAAGGAAATATCATTTTACCCCTATAGATGTAATCTTCATTGTAATGAAGGATGGTATGGAAAAAATTGTGCACAAAAGTGCACCTGTCTCAATGGAGGTAGATGTGATCACATTACTGGCAAGTGTAACTGTACTGCTGGATGGCAGGTAACTAATAAGCATGTAATGTGCAATTAAGAACTGGATCATCAGGTTATGCTATTTTAGAATTTGGATTGGAGCAGTAACCATAGAATGCTAGCCATTTTCCCATAGCTTAACCAGAGAGTGATCACTTGACATGCATAATTTGTGGAACACAACGTTTAAGCAAGTTACAAAATGTTCTGTGTGTGTGTTTTGAAATTAATTATGCCAGCTCCCTAAGTTGTAAATTGCATTTTGGTCACCAACTTTGTAACAAAAGTTGCTGATTGCATGACCTGTGTTAATGTCTGGTAAGGGGTGAAACCTCTTCTAATTGAATTTAGAAACATTTTCCACACTGGGTGCTTATTTTTTGTATTTCCTCATATCCAGTGCATGCTCTCATAGTAATATGATAAGGTTTAATCATTATTTTTCTTTCAATTTTTTATAACTGCTTAAATAATTTATTTGTGGTTAAATTCAATATGGAACTATCATCAATTTTAGGTAAAACATCAATAATGGAACCCTTTGGTTGTGTAACAAGCAGGTCCTTTAGATCCCCATTTTGATTGAATTAGTTTCACATGAGATGAAAAAATCCTAAAATTTATGAATAAGACCTTTCTATAATTGAAGATTCTAACTTCTCATTTAAGGGTGATTTGTGTGGTTCAAAATGCCCAAATGGTAAATATGGATATAATTGTTCCCAAACGTGCATTAACTGTTTGAATGGTGCAGTCTGTGATCATGTGAATGGAAGTTGTACTTGTGCTCCGGGATATCAAGGACATAGGCAAGTAGCTTTTTTATAGTCATTATCATTAGTTTTCTTTTTATAGTTATATCATCGTACAGGAATGCCAGCCTCTGTAAATCTGAAATTTGTTTTCCATGAAGGCAAAATTCATTTATAATTTTGAATTTTTTAAATTTAAATTGTTCTTTTCTTTTCAGATGTGGAGATATGTGTCCTTCTGGAAGTTATGGAAGTTTCTGTGCAGAAGAGTGTCGCTGTAAGAATGGCACTTGCTCTCCTGTGGATGGTTCATGTAATTGCACAGTGGGGTACACAGGGGTATACTGTGACCAGCCATGCTCTGCAGGCTCAGCGGGTCAGGACTGTACCAAGCACTGTAACTGTACAATACATGGAACCTGTAATCAGTTCACTGGGATATGTCAGTGAGTATTTCATTAAATGTGAAAGTACTGGTGCAATAAGTAATTGCAGTGGATGTAGAAATGGAACATATTGGGTAGGGCTCATGTCACATTTGTGGCAAGTTAAAACATTACATTTAACTGTCTCTCTTTTTGTTAACTTTTGTCAACAAGCAAAGTGCTCAGTATTTTCTTAGCAGAAATTATGCCCACTATCTTTTTTTCATGGCAGTGGAAGGCTGGGTAGAGAAAGAAATTTGTACCAAAGGGGATGGTTGATGGTAAAAAAAAAGGAGAGGGGTGGGGGTTAGGGAGTGAAGATCTTTTCACCTTTCCCTGCCCCCCTCCCCCTCTGACTCCATCTCCAAATCTAACATAGCTGGTTGAATAAATGATTGCAAGCTTCTTAACATGAACTCACCCTTGTAAGATGCCTGCACTGCAGATATAGTACATGTTCTCAAAAATTTGAAAATTTCTATTTGTTCTTAATGGAATAGTATTGAAATGCCCAAAAGCAAATATTTTCTCATCTCTGCTATCAATAGCAATGTTTGTAGCAGTGTTTCCAAATGTAAACTTTGAGGTGAGAAAGATAATTTGTACATGTGGGGTAATTTTTGTTGGGTATCTTGACTGACATGATCTGCTCATGATATAATTTATCATAATTTATATTTTTCAAGATGTCAACCTGGTTTTCAAGGGGCACACTGTGAAAATGAGTGTACTCCAGGATTTTTTGGACCTCAGTGTAAAGGGAAATGCCAATGTCTTAACAATGCAACTTGTGACAAAAAAGATGGCACCTGTGATTGTCTGCCAGGATGGATAGGTGTCCGCTGTGACAACCCATGCCCAGCTGGTTACTATGGCAAGAACTGTCAATCAAAATGTGGGTGTCAAAATGGAGGGTCATGTGACTCAGTGGATGGCAAGTGTACTTGTGTGAATGAATGGCAAGGGGAAAGTTGTGATATCTGTAAGTGACAGACTTGCGACAGTTTAGCTGCTCTAGTGTACCAGGATTATCAAAGCTAAAAATTAGACACCATCCTCAGAACAAAATTGGAATTCCTTGTTGAATGTGTGACTTGATTTTAAACACTTGTGATAGAGAGTGCTCTTTTGACTTTTTTCAAGTACAATGAGAGAGTTTGTGGCTGTATTACTGCTTTGGCACCAAAAGCAAATTAAGGCATATGTTTAATGGATTTCTCAAATTTTTTATTTTGTTTATAGCTTGCGAGGAGGCCCTCGTTATTAGCACTACAAGACACCCGTTTCTCGGAGAGATTTGTCGGGGGTGTAGGCATTATCAATAATGATGGTTAAGACCCTGGCAGACCTCTCCTGCGAGTGCAGACAAGCTTGTGCTCAAGCGCTTAGCTTAATATCTCGCTGACTATTGTGTTTTGTGATTGTGAGGCTTACAAATCTCCCAAAACCAAAGAACTTTTTCAGAGAAAACTGGAGAAATCTATCTAAATCTCTGAACAATCAATTTTGTTGTTGTGTTCTAGTGTGCGGAAACTGGACCTTTGGTGTCAATTGTAAAAATTCATGTCTTTGCAATCAAACACAAACTGAAAGGTAAGTGAAGTTTAATATCACAATTATCCAAAGTTAACATTAGTTAATAGAAATTACATTGTAATCTTATGTTGAGATTTTTTTCTCCAGAAATAAGCACAATGGAACCCCGCCTTACGGCCCCTTCGGTAATACGGTCACCATGTTATTACGAACCACTTTTTCATATCCTAGGAGAGCGACCATATGTTTTCTTGTATAAAAAAAGCCTTGCTTGTGCAGTCACCCGTTAAAAAGGCCAACGGCCATATTTTAAAATCCTAAACGGTAGAATCCTTTATAATTTCTCCGGTCATCAGCATTGAATTTAGAAAACCAAGATGCCTGTCACTCGGAGATTTCGCTTATCCCTATCATTTACTAAGCAAACAACCGATTCATTTAGAAGGAAGCATCACTCCTCCATGTTTTCATTACAAACATGATAGAAAAGATAAATCGTAACGCTAAGGTCCCTCCAGCGTGACAACTTGCTAAGCAATTCAGAAATATGATCCTGCCCCGTTCATACGGCCACCTCGTTTATATGGCCAATCAGTTTTGGCCCCTCGGTGACCGTATTAACAGGGTCTCACCTAATAGTCATTACATATTGTACTTTTTTTTACAGATGTCACAGGATTAATGGCAAGTGTTTATGTAAGAATGGGTTCACTGGCCTCTATTGTAGTGAGCAGATAAGTAAGTTCTTTTGTTGTTTTGTAGGTTACATACGAGTTTGACGTAATTATTAATTCCCAAACAGTATTGCATTCTCCAGGCACAAACTGGTGTCCAAAATAAGCAAGAAAAGACACATTGTTGTCTTTCGCTTGGCTCTAAAACCTTTTTTTTGTTGTCGGAAACTTGAAAACATGGATAATGTTACTTTAAAATGAGGGAAAAGCATGTGCATTGAAATTTTCCATAGCTGTGTCACAAGTGAAATTGAAGTGTCTTTTTTTTTATAATGTCCGGTGCTAGGGTAGCTGGTTCAAAGGACTTCTAGTTGCTTGATCACGCCACTGAACCTTCAATAAGTCCTAGCAGCAAAGGCATTCTGGCCTGTCGGCTGATTGAGTATTCGTAATGGTAATGGGACTGAATGGAGTCCGATTCGCTCTGTAACCATACGAGTGATAACGTCCGATTTATTTATCACGAGTATGATAACAGGCCGAATTGAACGACACGAAATCTTATGACCAGTTAATCATAAGAATTACAATTTCCGAGAAAAGAAGAATAGCCAAGTTATGAAATGAAGGGAAAACTTGCATTAAAAGGCAATTTAGGAGTCTGTACACTGTTTCTATGGTGATTGAAATCAAGGTTTTATCGGATGATTTTAACTACAACTTTCACTGTGATGGGTTGATTTGAACTACCTCTTTGAATGTGATTGGCTTACTGAAGTGTCTGATAACAACTCGGCAAGTGAATAAGTGGAAAACAGGAGTTTTTTAAACCAATCACAATCGAAGGAATTTTAATTTTTATGATTAATTATATTTATCAATGAACTAACTGATGTCGGTTGTTGTCTTTTTAGAGTGTAGTGTTGGATATTATGGTAACAAATGCGACAAGAAGTGCAACTGTAACCGTAATGCCTCATGTGATATCATTACTGGCTCCTGTGATTGTCCTGCGGGTTTCATGCTGCCAAACTGCTATAAAGGTAAGATCATAACTAGTTGTTCTTGAGAACAGCTATTACGATCATGTATCACATGGCTTCTTAAAACTGAACTGAACCTTACCCTGTTCTGATTGGAAATCTCAGGCTTTCTAATTAGTCTATTTGTGAGTTCTCGTTGGATTATGAGTCCCGTTTCTTTCAAACAATTTCACATTGAAGCTCTTTTAAAGTATAGAAAACTAAACATTTTATTCGAGGTGGGAAGTGGGAAGCAAGATCCACCACAACTAGGGAAACACAGGTGTGCAAACACTTTCCCATCATTAAATTTGCTTCTGGTCTCCTATAGTTCAGTGACAGAGCATCCAAAGTACTTCTACTCCAAAGACCATAGGTTTGATTCTTGTTGTCATTGTTAGGAGCGGTCAGAATTTTTCCCTTTCCCAATTATGTTTTTGCCACATTGTAAAAAGTGGAACGAATGATTTCGGTCGATGTTGTCACTGCTGTTGCTTGCTTTCTACAGAATGTCCATCAGGAAGCTTTGGAATCAACTGTCGGGAGACTTGTAAATGTCAGAATGGTGCTTCATGTAATCCAGTGGATGGTACCTGCGGCTGCATGGCTGGTTGGCAGGGCACCTTTTGTGAGCAAGGTGAAGCAACTAGTCTGATACTTGTGTTTTTTTGTTGTTGTTTTTTTTGTTTTTTTTTTTAAGATGCAGGGTCTATTTTAGCGAGTGTAACTGACAAAGCTGAACGAGATATTTTTCACGTTTCAGTGTTAACTATTTGACATCAGGGATGTGATAAAGTCGACCTAAATCATAGCACCAAATTATAAAAACCCCTGCGTATTTGAATGAATGGTAAAGTTAAATTAATGTGTTGAATTTACATGTGACGCGTTTTTATGTACAGTGGTCTTTCTGGGACACCGTCAGACAGACAATAGACAAACAGACTCAGAAAATTTATCAACTCCGCTGACAATGCAAATTAGCCACCGTAGAGAGTTTCTAAAAGTAACGTTCTTCAAGCCCTTCGTCAGAGCAAATAGAGGAATTATAGTTTGTGTGTGGTCTATATACAGAGATATAGAGCTTTGCTATTGTTGGGAACATGCTAACGAGAATAAATAATGTGAATGAAAAGTATTCGTTGATACGGTTTGGAGTAAGAGTACCGATTTCAGAGATAACTTAAGTTTTTGTTCCAGAGTTTGGCAGCTTTCCGAACTGCCAGCCTAGATGTAGGGAAAGGCCGCAGATTTCCATATTTTGCTTATAATTAAAGTGTCTAGCGACTGGTTTGGAAGCATGGATCTTTGTCATTCCTTAGAGAGACATACAGAGACACGCAGACACGAACAGACAAACAGACACACAGCAGACAGATACAAAAAAGACAAGCAGACAGACAGATAGACGAACAGATAGGCAGACAGAAAGCAGACAGGTGGACATACAGACAGATAGACTGATAGAGAAATAGACAAACAGGCAGACAGATAGACAGACAGATGGACAAACAGACAGGCAGACAGATAGACAGACAGAGGAAAAACAGACAAGCAGACAGACAGATGGACAAACAGACAGGCAGACAGACAGACAGCAGACAGGTATACAAATAGACAAACAGACAAACAGACAGGCAGACAGATAGACAAACAGACAGGCAGGCAGGCAAAGAGAAGAACAGACAGACTGACAAACGAACTTTTGGAAACCTCAGACGTTCCCTAAACCCTTCAGTAGTATGGCAGTATGTTGTTCAAAGCTGATATTACTATGTCAGCCTCATGGATTAATGGTTTGTTTTTACAGGCTGTCCTGATGGATGGTACGGTCCAGGGTGTAACAGCAGCTGCGACTGTTCACACGACTCGTCATGTCATCATGTCACTGGAAAATGTACCTGCAATGCAGGATGGAAGGGAGTCAAATGCAACCAATGTAAGTGGACGAGTATGCATGATACCTAGCCTTTAGGAAAAAAAAGATAAAAAAGCATTATATTCCAAGAAACATCGCTGAATAAGTGATCATCATAAAATGTTTTGAATTTGCCTCAGATACTCTTTATGCTTTGTTTTGTTTTCATTTTTTCTATCTATCTTTGATCAAGTAGCTTTTTTGAAGATTATACAGGATAAAATATCTTTCAGCATGTGACAGTGGATTTTATGGACTTGGCTGCCAGTCAATGTGCCAGTGCTATGAAGACAATACTATATCATGTGACCCTATCGATGGACGTTGCTTCTGTGAGCCTGGATGGTCTGGGAAAGAGTGCACGCTATGTACGTATTTATTCACAAGGGTTAGAGTCTGAGGAACGAAATAGAGGTTTAACCTCCATAAGTGACCAAGACAGAATTTCTCCTTACAAGGTCAATACAATATCAAGTAGACAAGTGATGAGAGTAAAGAAAAATATCAACAAGAGAATTTTTAGTCGATCCAAAACCAAATTCTCAGACTTAAAATCATAACAATTGTATGGATGACAGTAAGGACAATTATTAAAGAGATCCTACGAGAAAAAGGATGAAGGGATTTGTCTTTCATGTTTAGAGCAATTTTCAATTGAGTGTTGAAAGTAATACGGGATTGCTCTGGTTTGCATTACTTTGTTCTGTTATTGGGCCAGAAAACTCGTGCCAATCTCTTAACCAATCAGATGCAAAACTAACACCGTGTCACGTCTTGGTCGCTCGCGTTTTCCCGCGCCTTAAGCAGTTTGGTTGGTTTTATTTTGAGCTCTCATTGGCTCCTAAAGGTATTTCTCGATCATTTGATTGGCTGCTGTGATAACTTTGGTTTTGGTTTTACGCTACTCAATCTAGAAGTGCTGTAGTGACGATGCTATAGAACAATAATTATTTTGGTAGAGTCAGTATACATGCTGGAAGTTTCTGTTCCTAATTATTTTTTTAACCACTAGCGTTTTTTTCCAAAGAAAAATATTTGCCAAAAGGTCTTAAAATTAACCGTGGGACGTTCTTCGCTAAGGTAAACGAGATGATAATTTTTTTCCCTCTGCCAGTTTGTCCTAGAGGAAAGTTTGGTGCAAATTGTTTACAAGACTGCAAGTGCGTGAAGGAGTCCACAGAGAATTGTGATCACGTGACTGGAGCATGCACCTGTCTGGAGGGTTGGACAGGAGATATATGTGATAAAAGTAAGAATATCACGTGCACAGTGTGAGGTCAGGTATAGTTAGCTAGAGGGTTCATTTGACGGAAATAATCTTAAAAGATGTGCGTAAGTCTAATTAACGACTAGACACGAAAGTGTAGGGGGCTAGTGATGGATGTTTACCAAGCCGTGAAGAGATGAATAGTTTTTTTTATTATTTATTAATACAGTGAGATAATATTGCACAAAAAGATGATTTCAACTCATTAATTCCTGCAAAAATTACAATATTTTCGGCGTATATCCCAGAAATTAGACAGTTAGAAGAATTGCTAAAAAGACCTTAGGAGTGAAAGGTTTAAGAAACCAGACACGGGTTATACTTTGCTAGTTGTCGACATAAGTTTTTCTCTTAGCTTGTTCGGCAGGTTACTATGGTTACAAGTGCAGGAAAGAATGTGAATGCAGAATGCCTAATATGGACAAAGAATGTGATTATAGGAACGGAGAGTGTTATTGTGAACCAGGATTTACCAGTCAGTACTGCAATCAAAGTACGTCGTATAGACCGTTAGTGGTTTGACCTGTAAGACAGTTTTATGTTATTCTCATGGCTGTTACACCGTAACAGCCATGAGAATCTATCATGACCCGTCCTTCCTGGTCCTTTCCCTTACAGTGCCAAGAAAAGGGTAATTCACAATAACTATTTTAAAATGTCTCCAAGGTCCAACACCATGTTGGTGCAGTGTTCCTCTTTAATCCCTTTCCTGGAAAAAAAAAAACTTTCACATACCTCTGTAAACACATTGTTTGAGAAGGTGAATTACCAGCTGTAGGTAAGCTGATAAAAATCAAAGATGTAAACAACTATGTTGTAGCTTTTTATAGGAAATCCCTGACTGCGCACATTCTGTTTTCTTTTGTTTACAAATCGTGACTGAAAGAATTAAAGGATAGTACCATTGGTAATTGGTTCATTGTTAATGGATTGCCCTGGTTACCATTGTTTACTAGGCGCGGATTTGAGCCCCATCGAAGCCTGAATTTGATCAAGCCGCATCTTCATATTCAGTTTACCTGTGTTGATCAATGCGTGTCTTGCCACAACTCTTTTAGTTATTTGTATGATAAGAAAAACATCTTTATTATTAACTGAGTTGCTAACTGGCCATCAAAAGGCTGGCTGACGTTTCGAGCGTTAGCTCTTCGTCAGAGCGAGTGTATGTCGATTCCTAGGCGAATGTTTTTGGTCCACGCATGTGACAAGTTTTTAACACTGACCTCTATTTCCTTCTTTTATTGATTGACAGCCTGTCCTGAAGGTTACTACGGATTTAATTGCGAGGACAAATGTCTTTGCGAGAATAATTCGACTTGCAATAACGAAGTTGGTTATTGTCACTGTTTGACGGGATTTCAAGGAAAGTTCTGTGAAGAAGGTACTTCAAAGTATTAAGAGCCTCTTTACTCGACCTAGGGTTACTTTTACCTGAATTGAGTCACCGCTCATGGTAACCTTTTTGCAGTATGTTGTTACAGTAGTCAAGCCGGGTCAAGCCCAGGACAACCTTTCCAGCTGGGTAACCCAACGTTGTGGAGACCTGGCCTGTCGTGGCCAATGGGGTACAATTCCGTTAAAAGCTATCCTGGAAGTGCACTTCCACTTCCATAACCATATTTGTATTGCATTTCTTCTATGTTATTTTGCAGTTGTGTCTTTTTCCTTTTTCGTAATTGTGTAGGAGCCTAAATCAGACCTAGAGGAGCTTGAGTCTTAGAAAGAGAGAAGCGCTTACTTCTTTCTTTGGTGATTTCTTATTTCAGTTGTTCCCACGGAGAGCACTGTTGTCCCCAGTCCTGGTTTTAAAAACTCTTCCGGCTCTGGCCGGTCGACTGGCGATGATTCTCCCTCTGTTGTGACGCCTGTGGTTATCGCTGTAGGGGTTGCCATGGTAGCAATTATTCTTATCATCGTATTGGTTTATTTGAGAAGGAAGCACGTGTTGATATCCAGAACAGGAAAAGGGTGAGGCACATGTTAACAAGGAAAAAAATATTTAAATGTTTCAATATTTCTGTTCATGAAAGCCTTGGCCGTTGTGGTTTAAATCTTTTGCAAGGTGTTTCTGTGGCAATTATTTTATTTTATTTTTTTTTTTGCGTCCGAGGGTAATAAAGAAGTTAAATAATCTATCAATTCATTATATAGCTAACAGCACCCTTGGGCGATATGAAGCAAATCCTGTTCTCTGATTGGCTACCCAAGAGAGCAAGCGCTTTGATCCAACGCAATAAAAAGTTCGTACTCATTGGACAATTTTGACAGACAACTTTTATATGAAAAATGTGAAAAACAATGTGATATGGAAGCATGGAAGCGGTTTTGTTCCAGGTAAAACGAGACAAAAGAAGTTAGAGTCGTGACCAAGCAAGAACTGAATTAGCTTTTGTATATTCTATTTTAAAATGTAAAGAAAACCTATCTTACCACTTTATTTTGCAATTTGTCAAATAAAAAACGATCACGCACTACCATCACAGTTGGCTTTCTCTTTTAGCGCTCGAAAGTAAACCGGTCGTTCTTGATTCTGACGAGGGCGAAATCATTTTGCCGTATAAAAAATCCTCCATTGATCAAGATTGTTCAGTCAAAATGGTTATATTAGCCTTGTTCTTCTTTTGCGTTTTTATGGACCACGACTTCGTCTCGAAGTTCGCTAGTTTTTTCGTAATTTATTCACCTACTCAATCATAGTATTTATTTTTTCATTGATTTTCGTTTATTTGTTCCATATAGTTTGTCCATGAAGAAATTAATAAGATCTCCCAAAAGTTCAAGTAAGTAATCTCTTTCATATCACGTGGTTTAGTCTGTTCAGAGACTTTCTGTAGATCATCATCCAGAATGTGAGGGAAATCACTGAAAGCCGCGGGAACTAAAAAGCCGTTCGTAGACTTCTTAGTTGAATGTGAAACCAAATTTTACTATTTTTCTTGTCTGTTTCCTCTTTTCTGATAGAAAACGTGGATGGAGTTGACGACGAAGAGAATCACGCGGAAGATCATGTGTCATTAAACCCCATATATGGTCATATGTCGAACCCAGATTCCACTCCTTCGGATGTGGTTCAATCTTCAGAAGACAGAGCGAAATCGATGACAATAAAATCTGTCAATAACCCCAATTATGAAAGTACCTTAACGTTAACAGCAGAGTATGACAAAAGAGCCAGTAATCCAATCTACCAGACAGCCACAGAACTTGAACGGGACAATCCTTTATACGATACAAGTGCTGATATCAACCCGCTCTATGAAGCAGGCCCGTCGGGAAGTGTCAGCGGAGGGTCTGGGAGCTTGGCCGATATGAACCCCCTGTACCAGTCCGCTATCTCGTACCGCAGTCAGTGCGATTTTAATCCACTGTACGAGGGTTCATCTGATGTGAGCCCGCTGAATGAAGTTGCAGTGTCAGCAGCCGAAAAAAAGAATAGTAAAGCGCGCCGCCGAGCTGATTCACGAACGAAAAAAGAGGATAAAGTTCCAATCATGGACAACGCGTCATCCTGTTGGCTAAAGGACGAAGAAGATGGACTGGGAGTTAGTAACAGAGGTGTTGATGTGACTTTTAACGAACTGTACGGTGGCGTCGAACAGAGTTCATCCTCCCCCATCGGGAACTGAAGCCAACGTTCCACCTCTCCCCCCACGACAACATGCCAAGCGATTGTGATACGTGTGGTCGATAGGCGAGAATTGTTATAAAGATAAATAGTAAAATTTAGAGAAATGCAGGGAAGTCAGAGGTACGAAGATTTAAAGGACCTGTTACACCTGAAGTGACTTTAAAACCTGTAACTTCTTTCCATGTTATCCATATTTTATCTAGTAAACAAGTAGTGAAAATACTCAGTGTTATCATAACCTAACACCGAGTTCTCGTAACTAATTTACGAGGAAATGTTTAGCAGCTAAAAGGGAGAATTCACAATCAGATTTTGGGAGTTAAGGGTTAATTGTTATTTTGTGTCACCCAAACGTTCCGCATGACGTATTTTTATCAAAAGCGCTTCCTTTTCATACATCCCTTGGAAATTTTATTACAGAGCCGCCGCTATACAAATTTTAGAATTTTATGTTGAAAATACAAATGTTTGCTGATCTCTTGTTACAGCAAGTCTAATAGGCTGCAGGGACTTATTTCTTTACATCAAAATATCTTTACCGCTTTTCTCGAGATATAAATCAGACAAAAATCTTATGTTTGTCACTCAAATGGTTGAATTTATTTAATATCAGAATTGAATGGACTGAAAATATATCTAAAAACAAATTTAAACTTTTTATTGAAATAACAATAAAGCATTTTATACCTTTTATTGTTTTACATTCGATTACGACCCGAAATAAACGAAAACTCTTGCCAAAACAGCCTCGAAGTTTTTAATTTCAATTTTCTCCCTTTTTTTCTTATATGGCCTCAGAGAGCGAAACCTCTACAATTGTTCAATAGAACGAGCCTTCCGTGAGCTCAGACCAAGTGGGGCACTTGCACATTTTCCTCCTTTCCCTATCTCGCGGTCAGTTAACTGATATGTTAGAGTATGATGCCGTTGAATTTTTTTTCCTAATAGAATGGGATTGTCTGTCTTAGAGACCCAGGAACTTTTAGTTTCGATGTGATCATTAATTCAATTATATCTCCATAACTTGATAGTCGGATTTCCGTTCTTAATATTCAAGATCAGTCTTGAATTCAGACTTTCAATTTCATTATTGACCAAATCATCTTTTTAATTACTTACAAATAGAAAACTACTTCATTGAGAAGAATCCTGATAATGGACTGCTTTAGCGGTATGCGGAATTTGGTATTCTCATGGGGCGACTTGGGATTTGAGTTAAAAACAACAGCATAAGACCGAAATTATAAATTATAATAATGATAATAAATTGTATATACAAACGGAGTAGCTAATTGTAACTTCAAAGAAATGTGGAACGAAAATCGCTTTCAGAAAGGTCGTGTTAAGAGTATCTTAATGTTTTTAAGATTGCATGGTTGCATGTTTGCGTGATTTCCATCACTTTCAGTTTCAACAGTGTTGCCCAAGAAAGATGATTAATTTACGGATCGTGGCCTTGGAAAAGACTTCCTCTCAGGTGGCCAAAACGTCGATAATATAACGAGGGAAGCGGTTTCAAGTATTTTCGTGTTGATGCAGGACGAGTTAACGGTCTCCTGGGTTAAAACCACTTCACTAAAGTATTTATACTGAAGAACATTCGTTGGACGTGATTTTGCGAGGGATCAGGATTTAGTAAGAGGAAAATGGGGATGAAGGCTTGTTAAGTATGACTCACTCTAAATGTGTGCTCCAATATTTTTTCCTGTTTATTCAGCTTACTGAAAGTTATGAAAGTTACACCTTTGAAGCTTTTCTCGTTGAAAAGACTGGCACTGTTTTTTAGGCAAAGTGTCTTGTTGTGAGAATATAGTTGTGCATTTTTGGTAAGTCGTAAATCCTTGCTGGTTGTAAGCCTTTGGGATGGATACTGCTATAAATATCACTGTCAACGTGACCACTTTTCTCAGGCTTTTCGTCCCAGTGATGTTTATAACAGTATCTATCCCAAAGGCTCACAATCGGCAAGGATTTACGGTTTAGCAAAAATGCACAAGGAACGTGGACACAACTCAATCACGAGAGTATAGTTATATTTTTGCACCTAAGCTTTCCTATGAACCCTTCCAAATTTTTTTTTTAAAGGCCCTTGTTAAAGATTAGAACTTAATGGTAGAAAGGCAGCGTAAGAAAGCATATATCACGTGAAAAGGCGGAGGCCTGTAGAGATACAGGACTTCAGAGACCTGAGCGTGCAGGGATAATCTACCCGTGTCTCGCTTCACTTTTGTTTTCACTTTCTATTCTTCTTCCGAATAAAAGACTTTTAATGGCATTTTTGTTGTTTCTGTTTTAGCTGGGGTCAAGTTCACATCGGCGTCAAAATTTCAACCAAGGCAAAGGTGAGCGTCCAGTTGAAACTTTTGACAATAGCAACTTTTTAATTATTGTTATGCAGCGAATAACCCTATGGGATAACAATTTGTTTTGTTTAGTCGTACGATTTTAATCTGTAATTAATTTTGTTTTTTTCTTTTTTTTTTAAAGCCTGACGTTAAGTGCTCAGCTAATTTCAATATTTTTATGCAGCTTTACCTTGAGCCACTATGAAAGAAGTTTTGCAATGCTGACCTTAAACTTCTTTAACCAAAATATAGTTGCTATCAATAGCTAGAAAAATGAGAAGTTTTTAGAAAAAAGTCATTAGAAACAGATTTCATACATTATGTTTAAAACGATTTTTTCATTTGGAAGAGGATTGATAAATTTGAAAATTTTTTTTAGGGTGTTTTCCATATCATACGAGGTTCAACTTGAGGGATTTTGAGACCTGCGCGGCACGGACGGCTTGGTTTGGTTTTTAGTGAAACACTCCTTTCGAAAATGAGTCCCTAGAGATTGGTGGCGTTCATAGGCGTTGTGCATTGGGAGTTGTACACAACCACAGCAAGCTCCCCGTAAGATACGACTAAAGTTTATTTGCGCAGTATCAGTCTGATTACCGCACAGCTTACAAGTCGCAATTGTACCTGTGGAAAGCATTGTAGTGGACTTGCCGACATGGTTTGAAAATGCGCAAACGGTGGTTTAATGAAAACCCACTATGAGCAGTGCTTGCAATGGTTTCCCTTCGCCGCATTTAGAATAAAATCAGAGGTTGTCAGTGCTAAGTAATTTTAATGACAAAACATAATTGGATAAGGAACAATGCTAATTACTACAACGCATTCTATTGGTTGCTCACACCTTGTTCTGTCAAACTTCATTTGGAACGTGCGCTCACGCATGCGTAACCGCCCGTTATCCCATGTGCTGTTTGATTAATAATCTGAGATATTATTGTGGAGAGGGTATTTGGATGATCGAGGCTTGTTATGAACTTGTAGAACTCCTAGACTTGAAGTGACGAAGGTTACCCCTCAGAATCTCTGCTGATAGCCATGCAGAGTTCTAGTGAAATGATGGTAGAGAGATCGAAGCCGGCTAGCGCAGAGCAAGTTACAAGCACTTCAGGCACTGTTGACTTAACCCCATCGTCACATAGCGAACTTATTCAGTCCTCTACAATGCCTTTGCCTTTGAAATCGTCCCCTGCTCCAAGCCCAGTAGATTGCGAGCTGGAAGAGGCGGATAACCCAAACGCTGGCATCGAGCAAGCCTTGCAATCGTTCGTAAGGTAAGCTCACATGTGTTGATCGAGTAAGACTTGACTGATGTAATCAACTAAGAGACTTGCTCAAGAAATAGCTGCGTGCAAGATCGGAAATGTGTCGCGTGCAGCTGTGTTCATCACAATCACATCCATGAATGTGCTTTTTGTAATTTCTAGTAGAAGGCGTGTTCTATAAATCAATGACGGGTTTGATTCGAAGCCCTCCAGTGTTTTGATTGATATAGGTGGCAGTAGATGTTACCGCATTTCGACTTTTTGACTTTCCACGTATTTTTCTTGTAATTGCAAAGTGTACACTAGATTAGCTGATGAAACTACGAAATTTGATTTTGTTTTTGTCGAGGAATTGTCGTTTTACCTGAGCCATGTGGGTTTCTGCTTTGGGCAGATGTGACCCTGGAATGCGGGAAGTTGTTTAAGGATTTTCCTTCCCACACGTGGCTCTTAAAAAATATTTCATTCATTCAGAAACTTGGCACGATCGGGGACTTTTCAAGCCTACCCTTCTCCTTCGACTTGCGGGATTTGATACCTCTGCAGAAATTTCTACCGACTGAAAAAAATTCGTCTGTTTACAAAATTGTTTTATTCATCACAAAGTTTAAAATGCACAGCTCGATAGTTAGAAATTTAAATATACAAAGTCCTATTTTGTAAACACAGGCAACTTCTTTTTCATCGGATGAAATATGTAAGTTTTCGCCGTTCAATTTGAGGTGAAAGCGTAAATTCACGTCTGTTGGTTATTTCAAGTCTTTTGAAGCTTTTACGTTATTCTTTTCACCCTTAATGCTATTTTGCCAAATGAATGAGATGCAAATGATGTTCCGGCTTAATTTTTGACGGCATGATTTTGGATTGTTTTCCATTTGCTCAGTGGAGCGTGTTAACGGGCTGGTGACCGTCCGAAACCCCGTGAAACTTTTATTTATCTTCTGCGGGTAATAACATTTGTTTAGAACGTTTGATCAGCGACCTTGTACGCTAACTATTGACATCTTGCCGGTTGCAGACCACTTTACGTGATTTGAAATGTAATGAACTTAACTAGTGGAGTAGTTTATTTCGAGAAAATTCACCCGGCGTTACATCCCATATGAAGACCCCTGCGGAGTCCAATTTCATTAGATTGCAGGAATAGTTTCAGAAACGCCGCAATTTGATTCCTTGGCAATATATTTAACAAAAGAGTGCCTTCCAAAATAGGTTGGCATTTTTAATCATTACATGAAAAGTTTGTGGTGAAGCGAGTCAATGAAATGGAGTCTGTAAAACAAACAGGCTGTCATATAACTCGGCATCATAGATGCAATTCACATGCGATCGAATTCAATAAAACACGTGCAGATTAGAATTGACATCGCGATTAGAACAGCTAAAAAGTCAGGTGCTTTTGATCAAATATCACGGTGCAAAAGCTTTTCACGCAAGCAATTATTTTGAAACGCAATTTCATTTGGGCGAGTTTTAGCAACGTGACTGCCAGGAAAATTAAAAAATAGGGAAGAGAAAAACAGTTATTTTGTTAACTCAATGGGCATTTTTGTGACTCCACGGGCCGTGTTGAGATGAGTGAGATTAGTTAAGTATGGGTTGATGAAATTATGGATGAAGCAGATCAGTCGAATTTTGCGGGAAATTCGCGGGAAAAATTAAAGAGCACACCGCATGGTTAAATCGACATTTCTGTCGCAGAACAACTGTTTTTGCATTTTAAGACGGAGCGTGTTGAATTGGATCAGCGATCACAGGTGACGTTTAAATTAATTCCTCGAACGAATAAGAAGGAGAAAAACGCGTTTGCGATGTAATAATCTTTCTTAATGTAAGATTTCAAATATCGGTGCTGAAATTGACCTGTTTTTCTCTTATTTGGAATAAATCATCGATAGAGTTCTTATTGCATTTGAGACAATATAAAGGTGCGTTATGAAATAGCGCCATGTCTGCTGGCTTTGTTTTACCATGTGTTGGTGTGTTGAGTCATCCATCGGGTCGTGGGAACAGGTTATTCATTGTTTACCTCGAAATATTTAAGTTATTGCTTGCGACATATTGACCAGAATATCGGCGACGTATTAATTTTTTCCCTTCACCTAAAACAATTCAAATCCAAGAGCTAAGTGCAAGTTTTTTTAATAAAAGAACTCACCTGCACAAAGATTGAGGATCAGTTAAAAGAGCCGTTTATTTACATTTTAAAGCAAATTGTTGTGATTATAGTTTATAAAATTCGACACAGTAATGCGAGCTGAGTCTGGCTGAAAATACACTAGGAGTTTGGAAGAGGAAGAGATCTAAAAATGCGCTCTTTTTTAATGACTTAAATCATTTACTTAGTCAAATGCACGAAGGATGTCGCCATCGAGTATAAATAGTTAGTGCTAATTGGATATAATGAATATTTTACCTTAGGTAAATAATAAGTTATGAATTTGAATTTTTATGAGTGTTAAGTTTCACTGGTGAGCATGCTTTCTGCAATATTTTCAGTTACCTTGTAACATACTGAATCATGTTAACTTAAAAGGACGCCTCATATTTAAAAGAGAATTAAAAGGCGTTCATGAAGTCTAGTAGGTTTTTGGAAAAGATCCACCTAGTAATTCAATCACTTTTAAGTTGTTTATTTTAAAAAAAAGTTTCATATTAAGTAATTTCCTTTTATCTCGACAAGTCAAATCACATGTGTATGAAATCTGTCCATTGTTGATATTTTCTCTTTTTTCATTTTTAAGACATGTTTGAAGTTTGAAGGACAATGCAATCAGTTAATCGTGCATACAATTTTTGTAAAGTAGTTCATGAGTGGGATTCTAAAGAAGAAGAATCAGTTATTTATAGCATGCATATATTATGATAAACCAACAACAGACCCAGGTGCTCTATACTCTGACTTCATTTAGCTAATAATAATCACTCACCTCTTAATAGGAAATATGCTTTTGTTGTTTAAGTGGCAAATTCTGTTGAACCTTTTACTGCTCAAATTTCATGAACTTGGAGGGATCATAAATAAAGATACTCAATTAAAACCACCCCAAGCCTTTTGTAACAAAATATTCAACCAGCTGGATGAAGGAATAGTATTCAAACAAGAAGATTGTTGTCAATGCCCCATAGAGAAAATGGGTGTGCACTTTTATGATATTTAAAATGTTTATCTCTCAATGATGTGTCATAGATTAAAACATAAGAAATCTACCTACAATATAACTTACCAGAATACAACTGCATTTGTAAAACAGCAACAGATCCTGATGATATGCTTAAATTATCAATTTATTGGATGTAATTAAATGGGTGAGATGTTCCATAGCCTCACCTTGGATCAATTTTGATTTGCTATTGTTAACACAATCAAAAAGGTATATAGAATGCAGTATATTTTAGACTGAACATAAATGATTGGAGAATAAATATATTAAAACCTCTTCCTTTTTTCAGCAAAGAAATTCAAGAGCGGATTCAAAAAATATTGGTAATCATCTTTCATTTTTTACATAATTAATCAAATAATTGAACAACTAATATATCATTTAGTAAAATACTAAAAGTTTGGTACTCTGCACATGTTCATGTGCTTAATTATTTCGTAGTTTCCTTCTGTGAAATTATGGGGGTGGGTTTGCAGTTTGAAAAAAAAGCACAAGGTTGTCTTATGATTGCTATTAACAAACATTTTTGTTATTTAGAAATTCATTTGTATCATGAAAGAAATTTGCCTTAAACCTGAAGAAATAAAATTATTTTTCATCTTAAAATGTAACAACAGGATTCCTTTTCAAGTCTTGTAATTTTGAAAACTTTTCCTTACTCTAGGAAGAAGTACAACAACTGTCAGATACTGAAAAATTGCTGCTTTACCTTCGACTACCAGGAGAGACAGCAACAGATTCTAAAGATGACTTTGATAAGTAAGTATAAAATACTGGCTTTGAACATAAAATTACCAGCATTTTTAACATGTCTGTTCTGTTTCACTCCCTTTGTTTCTTTGATGCTCAGGGTAATACCCTGAATGTCTACCCCTTATCCTGAACCACCACCTTCCACTCCCCACCCCATGTGCCAACCCTTTACTTCAACCTCCATCCACTGTTAACTACTTTTACCTTCCAGAGAATAGTTCTTGTCAAATATGAATATGTCACTGTTAATAAATAATGATAAATCAAGTAAGAATTACTATTTGGTTAATCTCCTAGTAATCAAGCTCTTCCCATCTCCACAACAAGAGCAGAGCAAACACAAGCTTTTCATTGGTGAGTTGGCTTATGTAGAATTTTTAATAATTTTATGCTGGCTTTTTAGTTCCCAATAAATACCTAGCTCCCAATATAAATGAGAGACTCAATTATCTCTAATTACACATAAACAAGGAATATGAAAGAGAAAATCTTACTCACACGTAGTGAATTGTAGAAAACAGATATATGCACCATTAGACAGACATTTTTTTTTGAGCTTCAGGCAATGATCAGCTTATTTCAAACAAATTTAAAAGTTAAAAAATTCAGAGTACATGGAAGTCTCAATAAACCTTTTGACTCCTAAGAGTGACTGGCATCTAAATTCTTCCTACAAGATCACCTCCAATTCACACATTAAGTCATGAGAATAAAGGAAGTGATCATTAACCAAAGAAGCTCTTGATTGTTATACAAATTCTCCTTATAAGGACACTAGGAAATGTAAAGAGAACAGTATGGAGAATATGCATACTGATGTTTGTTTGTATAAATGGGTTCAGGGTTTTATTCACATGTCTGTTATTTTTTTCAAAGGATTCGTTGTCATTTGGAGGAGTGTGATAATAACTCAACACTTCCAAAACATGAGGTCTATGATGAATACAAGTAAGGAACTTATAAGGATTATTATTTGATAACAAACTATTTACTTGGAAACTCAGAAAATTCTGAAGACTAGTGGTGTGATTATGGAATGTTTTTGTGTTTCAAAGGAACAGTCAATCAGGCTTCAGAAAGGTAGAAAATCAAACTGCAAACAGCAATGATAATTAATTGCTGGTTTTTCTGAACTTTCGTGTGAGCAGTCAGTGCAAAACAAACCTGTCAGATTATTTAAAGTGTTCATGGTAATTAGAGTGATGACAGTGATACTTAACTTTAACTTTCATCTTTTTATCAAAGTTGCAGTTATTGAGATGTGTCATTAAAATTGATAAAACTGATTTCAGAGCTCACTGTGAAAGCATGAATGCTGCACGGACATTGAGTGCCCCTGACTTTGGAAAAATAATCAAGTGTGTGTTCCCAAGAGTAAAAGCAAGAAGGCTTGGTACAAGAGGCAATTCCAAATATCCTTTCATATTGGTTTAATTCTATATACTAGCCTTTTTTTGCACAAATCCCTGCATTGTTCAGGGTCATCAATGCTAATTCCTTTCTGGTCGTAGATCATTTTCCTGTAAAGTAAACTTCTCAGAATGCAAATCAGCATAAGGATAGAAATTTATTGCGGTCATCAGGCATACTAACTAATTTGTATGTGAGTTATGCACCTTAACCTTCCTTAAGTACTGTTACAGTGGAATCCAGAGAAAGAAGAATGTCAAACCACCCACCCTTCCCACCCTTCAAATTCCTTCACCCAGTGAAAAAGAAAAGGTAAACAAGGGTTTTAACCCGCCCACTACTAAGATCTAATTGAAAATTCTCTTTACTTTCTGCTACACAATACTTATGATGTTAGTGCTGAGAATTTGGTATTGGAGCAACTAATAATCCCTTATTGATATTTTTCTTTATTCTAAAGGCTTGCTTGCTAGATATTGTATTGATATTGTAAGGAGATATTATGTCTTGGTCACTAATGGGAGTGAAAGGGTTAAATGGAATTGAATTTCCCTTGGGCTTAGAGGTAGTTTAGATGTTACACTTCTTGTGATGAATGATCGTCTTCCACAAAAATTGCTTGAAATTTATCAGGAAATTTTGAATTTCCAACCCCTTCAAATTTCAGTTTGTTCTCTCAGGAACTCATAGATTAACAAGTACCTGGACATTTACTTGTCTTTCAGAGTTCAATGAATTCAGCAAACAACCTTGCAGGAGGTGACAAAATAGAAGAGGATCAAACTTTGTCAGCTGCATGTCTACTTGTGTGTGAGTGGGCAAACAAACTTCTTGGTCGAGTGTTCAGCACTCTCATTGAATTGGCCAAGTTTCTTGTTAGTGGCAGTTATGTCTCCAGTAAATCCATGGCAGCATATGTTGTTCTGTCTGATCTTAATACTCCTCAAGTGGGCCACTCATCAGTGTCATTGATTGCACCTTTAAAGCAAGTGGAGGAGCAACTGGTGCTGACACATAAACGGCGACAATCACAACAGTTACCTAAAAAAATACCTCAACGACAACAGCAAAAGCAGATTCAACAAATTCCTGTAAACCCTATGTTACCGCAAGGACAAGCTTTGTGTAGTGCTCCACAACAGCTTCTTAATTTTAAGACACTGGTAAGTCCTTTTTCATTGTCAATGTACATTACAGTTAAGTATATTTAGTGTAGATCACTGATAAACTGCGGATAAGCAAGAAAAAAGGGGTATCCTGATGAAAAAGTTTCTTCTCCTGTTCTCCATAACAATTCACGTTATCGCCTGGTTATATATATTAGTTGGATATTTTTGTATAAATAATAGGAGATTGAGTGCATTCTACTCAAGGAAAAGGAAAGTATCAATCATAAAAACACAATCTATTTTTTCACACCTGTCATCTATTCCACAGCCCTGTTTAGTTGTTGAGGAGAAACTGAGAAATTGCAAGATCTAGGTGATACTTAGAATGTTGATAGGAATGTACATGAAAAAATTACTTGCATCTGATTGGCTGAATGCTTGTGCATTCTCATATAACACAAGTGCAAAGTTGTAACACAAGTGCAGATTACAAATAGCGTGCACATTTTCAAAATTTTGTCTATCTTGACTCTTAGTGATAATTTCTCCTGCAATTTGGTGTAGCAAGGACATGTAAATTTTTCAAAGGCAACAAAATTGCATGAGCCCATCAAATTGCACTTGAAATCATGTTATTACCTATACTAATAATCCTAAACCAGTAAACTACCACTTGAAGCTGCTGAAACACTTTTCTGTCATTTTTTTTAGGTTAGTATATCAAGTCAGCAGAAACCAGTACACATTCAGCCCAAACCGATACAGCCGTCACTTCAAAGCCCCCCTGCTCAAATGGGACAGTTTTATCAGCAACAGCAACCTGGTGGCAACCCAACCACCCCTCCCAGTGGCTATCCAACCAAGATTAGACCCATTACTCCATCCATGATATCCCCCACCACACCCATTCAACCTGCTGGGCCCCAGATAACATCACCTTTTCAGTCATCTCCAAAGTTCAACACCCCAGGCACACCTCAAAATCGTCCAGTTACTCCCAGCTCTGCGAGCGCAACTGCAAGGCACACTCCAAACTCAGCTGAGCCAACTCGCTTTCTTTTCACACCTATTCCGAATAGTTCCCAAGAGCAGAGGGTCACCAGGGGAGAAACAAGTCCTCCTACATTGCGGCCAACTGCCACCCATCCCAGCCAGTTGTTGAATGGAGACTGGTCCCAGTCACAGATGGGAGTAAATGATGTGCCAATGTCACCAAGTAAACAACCACGTCTAATAAATCAGAATGCACCCTCCACTCCAACATCCAATCGCAGACCTGGTTCATTTGCTTACCCCTTACCATCACCAAGGACACCGCAGCGCATTGCACCACAGCAGTTTGTTACTTCCCCAACAATGGCCTCTCCAGGGTGTGGTCGGCAGCTGAACCCCATCTCTCCCAATGTCACACAGCGGGGACAAGAATTTATGCTTCCTCTAGGGATCAACAATGCAGAGAATGTGGCTCAAACAGGCTTCACACAGAGTGTGAACATGACAAGTCCTCCATCATCTGATGGAGATGGGCATATGTCTCAGCAACAGTCAAAGCAGGGGTAGGTAGTGCAATGACTGCTGTTCATTTGTATCTGAATAAAATTAGCCCGTTAGACACATTGGAAATGATGCAGTTGCGTTTCAACTTGCTTAACCTTTAAACCTCAAGAGTGACTAGGTTCTAATTCCTCCTTACAATATCACCCCTAAGTCAAACACAAAGGTCATGAGAATAAATGAAATGATCACCAACTTAAGAAGCTCTTGATTGTTAAACAAATTCTCCTCATCAGCACTTCACAAAATGAAAAGAGAATAGTATGAAGAATATGCATATTGACCTTGGGTTATTAAGGATGAATAACAACTGGTGTGAAGAAAAATTCACCATGAAAGTTAACTTTCAGTCATCACACTTAAGTTGGAAACCCAACATAGTTGTAATAGGTTGCTAACAGAATACAGTCTCTTTACAGGATAACCACTTTGTCAGTAAAAATGCCAATGTGTACCGTTTTTTTCACTCTGAATTTTTTTGTTTTTCTTGGACATTTTGTAGAAGTTCAGGGATTATTGCAAAGTCATGCAGATACAGTAGTGCAGCAGATAATGGACACATTTCACAGGCTCCTATCATGCAGACACTGGATTATTCACCAGAACTGGAGTCAATCTGTAACCAAGCCACAAGCTCTTCAGGGCAGATGCCCCCACCTTCATATCAACGAAGCCAGTCAGTTCCCCCTTTAACACAGCATGCACTGGCAGATCAAAGATTTCATCCCTTAACTCCACAGAATAACCCACGCCCACGTCACCTGACTCCGTCACCCATGGAGACACAGTCAAATCAACATCTGAATGGGTTAAAGGAACTTCGCAACAGAGTTCTCCATGGTGATGTCAATAACAATGGGTCTCGGCCATCACAGGAAAGCGCTTTTTCTGCACGAAGAAACCTCACACCTATGCTCAATGCTGAACAATCAAATGTAACTGCTTCAAACTGGGGCGTGTCCCAAGTGAGGACAAACAACAACCCCAGGGGTGCAGAGGACCATGAAATGACAATACTCGATGCAGGCTTGACATTTGCAGATCTCAATCATGAAAATGATGAGACCTTGTCTGATCTGAATACACTGGATGATGCTACAACAGAAGCAGTATTAAGGAACATTTGTAATAATACATCAGGGGTGTGGCCAACTAGTGATGTCCATGCATGGGGAGGGTCACAGGCACTGGAGATTATGGATTAAGAAAAAATGCATCATTTTTTCTTGGTAAAAACCTGGATACAAGCTTATTTATATATATACATATATAAATAGATATGGAAAAAAGACTCAATACCATTTCATTCCTATTTGCGGGCTGGATTTATTAAAACACCGTAGTTCGTGTCAATGTTAATTGATCCCTGCTTGTGAGTTTCCGTAATTAAAAAGATTGTTGTCTTTATAGTTATCAGCCTTAGCGACGGTGTGCTAGCGTGGAATAAATAATTTTAAAGTGTAATTTATATTTTCTTACCTGTACCAAGCACTTTTTTACTTTTTCAGTGCGAAATTTTTATGCAAGAGTACATTAAAGAATGAAAAATTTATTTTATTGACGTTTGCCATCACTCTCGTATAACGTATTGCCTATGACACCTGGGCCGTTTGTGTTCATTGCCGCAAGTTCTGACGCCAGTGAATCATGAGAAACTACTCAGGTCGTGCGCTCGCTCTCTACGTCGTGACCGAGAGCCAAACGTTTTCTTGTCCAGCCTGACCTTACTTTTTCAATAAGGATTTTATCGTACGACCTTCGCTCTCTCTTTCTTCTCTTTTTCCAATCTTGTAGCACGAGGGACTGTAAAACTTCTTCCGGCCTTGCGAGTGCCATCGTATGTGGCCCTCAAACTGGTATAAGTGGAGCACGCGTGGAGCCGAACGGGTTGCATGATGACATGCCGCTCCTATTACATTAACCATCGAATAAGGAATTTATCATTCCACCTCTTTTATTTTCTAGCATTTTAGCTTTACTCGTGCTGATTTATCTCAAAGTGTACACGAAATCATATGATAACCAGCTTAACAGTCGATTCGCCACGACAACAAACTCGCCACCGGTGGTGATTTGACTTAAACGTTATGTGAAGCCTGTTGTATGAAACTTACATCAAATGGAAGCCAAGGTGTAGAAGTATTTTGCAGAAAGAGAAAAAGACTCAGAAGTAATGTGTAACCTCTTCATTATGGAACATTATCCGTTAAATGAAATGAAATGTGTTGATATCTCGAAGACTACGATCAGTTTGCGCAGGGAGAAATCAGTGATTTTCGCCTCGAATCTCATACCCTTAGATTTCGCTCCTCCGTGAGTGATGCATAACTTAGCTTCACATGTGAAACGCATCGTACACATCGCTTGGATAAGAAATACTGACTGCGTCATGTGTGGGGATTGGGTAAGAGGAGTTGTAAATGTAGAGACCGGTTATCGTTCACCGTTTACGCAATATCAGAATGCATTTTCTCCATAATGTTCTCCGTGCATTTCCAAGATGCTAACAAGGAGAACTTGTTTAAGAATCAAGAGCTTCTTAGTTGGTGATCATTTCTGTCATTTTCGTCTGGTTTAGGGGTGACTAGAGCAATAAGATGCTAGTCAATTCCTATTGTCAAAAAGTTGAAGAAAACTTTTGTAGATCCGACAAGAGCAAACAAGAAAAAATCACTTTAGGTGGTAACGTGAAGGCCAATCTATTGATACATCATTGATTATTTAATAGTTAATGCACACTGATGAGTCAACGTCTCAACAAAGATCAGTAGTCCCATCAGTACTTTCAATCACAAAGATACTTGAAAATAGTTGTGAACACAACACTCATCAAAGAATTTAGTTTTACACTGAAAACATTTCAAAGACTGATGATTTAGTTCTAAAACTATATCACGGACAAGGAATTCTTAAATAGTTTAATATGTAATGCAATTTTATTTCATTCCCTCAACAGAATTAACCAACACAATTTTCCTCTATCTCAAGGTATGCGGCCATTACGTTCATATTTTTCTTAATTCCAAAATTAGCTCCTGCTATTGTGAAGGACTTAAAAGCCTTCTTAAATAAATTTATATTTTACTTGTTTTAAAACGTAGCGCTGTTATATACAAATACCAAAAATAAAATAAAAACCAATAATTCGAAGAGTAACATGTATGTGATAGAAAAAAAATTGGAATGACCTAACTGGTTTGAAAGCAACAAAAAAAATTGGTATCAAAAATAATAAATAGTATATCATTTAATTTCATATGGAAAAGCTTGTTATAATCCAGTGTTGGATAACTATGAAAAAAATACATGTTTTTGAGTCCAGTTTCACGAGGTGAAATATGACATGTTTGCACGAGGATAAAACGCCATGAAACCTGTAGCAAACCCGATGTAATCAAATCATCCAATCAGAGCAGAAGATAAATATCACTTTAGCCAACCAGAACTCAAAGTAAGTTCGTAGTCTCAAGCGCGGAATAACACGAGCGACAAGACGCAGTTGTTTTAAATCACCTCACTCTGGTCAAGAAAGAGGTACGATTTTTCTGGATCATTAAGGGAAACCAGCAAGGCAAAATCTTGTAAACTGCTCTGACTGAAACAAATTCTTTCTTTTAGTATTTTCTGGGTACATACGCATTTTACCTCACCGGTAAGGAAGAAGTCAGCGAAATAAAAGGGAGAATTGAGGAGCATGTCCAAACGCATCCCATCCTTCCTATATATTTTGGATTAGAGTAAATTGAAATACCTAGATTGAAATATACATGACTTAGCACTAACTTTCCTTTCTATATCTTGCCAATAAATATCTCAATTTTGCCTAAAATATTTAACATTTTCACAGAATAGCTTCAAAATCCAGAGAAAGAGACGAGCATAAATTTTTCAGTACTCACAGGGAAAACGACTGCCCATTTGTACTCTCCATCCTCTCAGCTTGTTTGTCATTTGTTACAGCCTCTGGTCAAACTATTGTTTGATTACTTGAGCACCTATATTCCAAATAGTGTGTGGATTGTTCACAGTAGCACAACCAACCCCTAATACTTTTGAAATAATATCAGGAGCCAATCATTATTTATCGCCCGGGGAGGGGTCAGAGGATTTTAGCCGTGTCACGAAAAAATTGACGCGATTTCATTACCGCCCCACCCCTGTAAGGCTCTGTGATGTTCTTATGGTCTCCAGTCAATTTCTAAGGTCCACCCTTTATACTCTGTTGCCGACGACTGATCCCCCCTCTCTCCCCCCTGAAAACTATGTGCCCCCCCCCTCAGGCAATAAATGATGACTGGATCCTAAACTATTCCATTAACTGTAAATTCTATGCACATTTTATCGATAATATGCTCGAAAATAAGAAAAAAAAACAAACTGATTAGAATCTCTTGTGATTGGTTACCATGACTACAGCAACATTTCAGAAAGTAATTGCTACAAATTGTTAACAATTATAAATCATTATTAATTTTTTATATTTATAATAAATTAAGCAAGCTAGAACTACTCTTCATACTAATTTTTGATTGTATTGTGTGTAACGAGGTTCTGTTGGTCCATCGGTCACTGTACAAAATTTCACCCCACTAGGGAGGTCAGGGGGTTGACGTGCAAATATTACTCTGATGTCTGTATGAAGATACAATCTGCCAGATTTGGAGCTTACAAATCTGAAATAAATCAAAAAGAGCTCTCATTTTAATACATAGTGTTGTGCTACTTTTAACAAGGGATTATAGTTGTCTTGTTTGAACAAAGTTCAAAAAGAATATGAAAAAAGTTGAAAGACCAAAGTAACAGTCCAGGTTTAAGTTTCATGTAATAAGCTGAATTACATGTGCCGCTTTATGATTGCTTCTTATTTATGATCTATTGGGGGACAGACCCATACATAACATCTCCATTATTCTTTGCTCCTTTCTCGTATAAAACAAACAGACTCCATGTTGCCATGGGTCTGTGCAGTAATAAATCACAGAAGATCTAAAGTGTGGTAAGAAAATCAGTGAAACTTAAGGCTGTGCCTCATGTACCACTTTCTTGTTCTTACTACATTTTGACATCATCTGTGATCCATTACTAAACACAGATGCACGACCACCTGGGATCTATTTGGTAAGTTATTTACTTGGTTAGGACACTCTACAGGGATTGTTAAATGAAGACTTGTCAGAAGGCAAATTGTGCACAGTTTGGTACAACCATAAAATCTTATCTGAGGGGAGTGCCAAAAGCAAGAATATATTTTTTTTAGAAGTCACATCATGATACAGAAACCTACCTAAACCATGCTATTCTGGGTGAAATAGAAACCAACAATTTACCTAGTACTACATGTTAAGTAATGTTAAACTCTATCTCCTGTAACATCCCTTATTTATACTTTGTATCTGTCCTAGAATCTGAAGGTCTCTCATGCCACATTGTAACAAAAAAAGAAAACTAACCTCAAGTGTATGAGATAGTGTAAGGAATTACGACCCTGTAACAATGGTAACAATACAAAAAATATCAACTCAACATCAGCTTATTCTGCACTCCTTCACCTAAAGCTACAATGAAATAATTACAAATAAGCCAACACTCAGTGTCTCAGGTTCAAAAATACTCCAAAAATGCATCAGTCACATTTAGATCTATCCATTGTCACTTTTGAAATAGCGATTGCCTCTTCAGAGTGGGTAATTTGCAACTCCAAAGTAGAGAATCAAAAAAGTAGGGAGAAGAGTCACTTCAAGGGTGTGAATCTCTAGTTAAAAGAAGCATAGAGACAAAAAGGCAAATAATTTAATAATTATTATTAGTTCAAAGTGGTGATTGCCACTTCAAAAAGTGCCAGTTACAAGCACATGACCATCCCCTCCCAACCCCTCCTTGCAATGTACATACCACTACAGAGCTAAGGCTGTACGTACCTCAGTTGATTGACAAGTGTGTCTCCAGACAGAAAACGTTCTCTGACGTAGAAATGTTTGAGATCTGGGAGGCATATCACTGAAGTCAAAGAGTACTACAAACATTTTCACCACAGTCTTGTTTGGGTTGAACAGAGTCTGAAGTCAAATCAAACAAGATTTAATAAGTCACCATCACTCACCCCAAGAAACAGAGAAAACTGCTGCCCTAAAATGCCATGTCATTTCCTTGGAGGTTTTATTCCTTTCAAAGCAGAGCAACGGAAGGGCATTGCAACCAAAATTTTCCTATATGTTGCTTCGATAATTTCAAAACTTCAAAACACCTTTTCTGTACGCATTACAGTACTATGGCAACATGACAGCCTTATAAAATCACCTTCAATATTAGTTTTACGCTCTTGAAAATATAAGATCAGTTTCTGAATCAGTGGCCCCTGAATTTCTTTATTTATTATAAGCTTCCTGCAATCATCATATCAAAGTTTCGACAGGAAAACTCAATTGCACAGTCAGTTAATTGTAGATGTTTAAGCGAACAAGCATCTGAACAATCAACTAACAGATCCAACATAGCAAGATATATTAATCCATTCACATCAACATGTAAATTCCAGAGACTACAATTGTAAGAAATTGTTATTGTCAAACATTTTGTCTTACCAGCTGTACAGTTCCCTTGTTGGGTATGTGATAACCTTTGTGGCTAATACTTGGATCACTTAAACTTATGTACCCCTGCAATACAAAAACAAACTGCATCCAATTCTCGCTCTTTGTCATATGCAGGTAAGAATATAGTTACCTTTTGAACAAATTTTGCACATGTAAAATCATCATTTTATTTGTGAGGTGCTGTATCTAATTTTTCTGTGAAATTAATTTCATAAAATTTTACAGAACTGTTCCCCTAAACTAAACTAATTTTTTTAAGCATCTACCAGTTAAAACCAAAAACATGTTCTGACCATTTCTCTAGTACATGCAATCAAATGGCTCTCACAACCTTCTTAAAAAAAAGAAAAACAAGATGATCATTTTTTGTCAAGGTTTTCTAATCAAAGTGGCTCCTGTTCTAGTTACTGTCCAATGTAATGATATTTTTTGCACAACTGTAAGTCTGTGAATTCTTTTTTTGGGAAAAAGTTTGAAAATCAAGTCCAGCAATGAAGCATAGCAGAACTAGATTGGTACAAATACTCACCAAATAAGGAGAGGGAGCATTGTCATCAGAAAGGCTAAAGAAAGAAGCTTTCACAGGCAGCTTGACATGAGCAGGACAGAAACTTCCACTGGCACCTAACTCTGCAGTAAAACCCTGCAGTAATACATGTACAAGAAAAAAATCAAGTCAGATTTCCTCAGTCTGTGAGTCAACTGCAATGTACTGTATGACAGTTTCCTAGTTGTAGTAAGTTTAACTACTATACTCTCTATAAAAAGTATGTTAAATTCAAAAGGAAAGTCACACAGCTATTACCAAAATACAAAACAAGATGTAAATAGTACTGGCTTGAGTATAGGATTTGTTCAGCCTATTAACACAGTTGTTTTATATCCTGGCTAAGTTCAGGCTAAAGGCAGGATAACACAAACCAAAGCTTGTACGCATTCAAGCAAATCAAGGCTAAGAGTTATCTTGAGTCCTTACTTGTAAAATGTGCTTTGAATGAGTTTTCCTCAAATAGTAATAATTATAATAATATCAACTACTGGTAGTGATGAATGAAATATTAATTCTGTAACAGACCATAATCTTAAGGAACATTTCACATTATGTCCAGGAGAAAATTACCTCAACAGTTCCCAATGGCTCCATTCTACCATTCAACACAGATTCCTACATAAAAAAGTGTAGTTTTGATAGCCATTGATTTTCAATTTTGTATCTGATTAGTTTTCTAGAAAATATCAGTATTTTATTATTACATTTTATTGATGTTCAAATACATTATTCAACCAGTTATTTTTTAACATGATACTTGCAAACTATGGCACAAAATTATTATTAATTTTAAGATGGTTGCTTACCTCAAAGTTTCCCAAGAGACTCTGGGTTGTGGAAGCAGGTGCACTTTTGCTAAGTATGGATGTTAGGTCTTTTGAACTTGAGTTGTTTGAAAATCCACTAAACAGAACAGAATGATCATGCACATGTCAAAAATGCATGAAAATTGATGATTCCCTTTTCCTCATTATCACAGTAAATGGTTACCATTTGGACATGTGACACATGACAAATGAGTGAAAGTGACAAGTCAGGGTACCTACCAGAGGTGTATGGGACAAACCTTTCCCCTGTGGGGTGTGCATGGGTGTAGATGGTGTGCACGATCAGGAATTGTCACAGCAAACTCACTTTGAGAATTTTGCAGCTCATTGTCCTCTCAAAATTAATCTTTAACAACAACTTCTAGTTATGAATGAGTCATTCCATGCATTGCTGACTTTTTTTAGTACATATAATCATGCTCTATTTCATTTTGTATCACCATACTACATATTTGCAGGCAATCTTTTTATCTATCAATCACTTACTTGACTTGTTCTCTACAGTCATCCTCAATGTCCAAATCTGTAGCTGATCGACGCAGAGGAGCCTGATGAAAAAACAAGCATTAGTCAAACTATACAACAATCTGCAAGAAAATTTTCGTAATTAGTGACCCTACTCCTTTTTTGCTTGTCCCAGGAATTTGGTGCACTATAAAACAATTCCTAGTTAAAACATTAATGTTGTTCATATCCTTGAAAAATTCATATGACTGCAAGGAAAGAATAATGAATACAGTCACATACAACATTCTCAGTCAATACTACCTAACCACAAGTCAAGTAATTTCAATCAGTAATTGCTAACTGAGATAATGCATGAATCAAGAATTATGTTCCCAGTCTGTTACAACAGACATGCCATACTCACTGGACTTGAGGATACCGGAAGACCAGTTCTTGAATTGAAGATGGGAAGAGTACCAGCCCCAACACGCTGAGTCCTAAGTGCTTGGATGACTCCTTTGGGAATATGGATACTTGAAGAGATCTGAGTATCACAACTCTGTTAAAATTTAAGTCCTTTAGTCGGGCAAAGTGCAAGCCACCTCAATTCCAAAAAACTTCACATCTACTCAATCAGTTTCACTAAACAGACAAAGCCTCATAAACAACAGTTTTGCCCCATAACATAACAACTGTTAAAGTGTAGTTAAGGGTGCATGTAAATCTTAAAATCAATTAAAGCAAACAAATACCAACATGTTTTACGGACCCTTAGGAAAGAGCCACACTCCTAGCTTGAAATAGACCACTCGTTTACTTCTTTAGTTTTGGCCAATTTTAGGTATGGTCTCCCTGTTTATAAAGCATCTGAGTCTGACTTGAGCAATATACAGATGTTATAAATTCTGTTCCATTCCTTACCCTCACCAGTTCTATTTTAAGCATGATTGTAAAATTTTTAAGCAAGCAAACTCCCTAGAGGACTAACCCCTCAGCATGTATGACTGTTTTGAGAAATGACTAAAGGGGGAGAGTTTCCAACAAAACTGTGGTGCTGCATCAGTGGGAGAGTAAAACGGGGTCAATTTAGTATTATCAACTGAGTTCATAATATAAATTGGCCACCATAAAGAGTTTCAAAGCTGATGTTTCAAGTGTTAGCCCTTCGTCATTTGCTCTGATGAAGGGCTAATGCTTGAAACGTCAGCTTTGAAACTCTTAACAGTGGCCAATTTACATGATTAACTCAGCTGATAATACTAAATTGCCCTGTTTATAGAAAGATGGTCAGAAAAAAGGACAAAAGGGCACAAGACAATCTTGAAAGGTCATCTGGCTATCAGGTAATCAATGAATTTTAATGAGTCAAATAAATAAATATTAACTTAATTCATGTATTAGAATAAACTAAGGGTTTGGGAACTTCCAAAGGCACATTTTGCTGTCATGTGTTGCTTTAAATAGCCCCTATCTTCTCCAACTTTCGGTAACTGGCTTTGAAAACTTGGGATGCTACAAACACTTACCTTTTTTGTTTCTATGTTGTGAGTGGGTTCGTGTATTTTATTTAAGTCATGTTGTTTTGTTTGTGCCTGTAGAGACATTCCTGGTGTTCCTTCACTAAGACTTCTAATATTCAAAAAGCGCTTTTTCAAGCTTTCCTGTGACATCTTTGGGGAAATCAATACTTTCTGGTCAGAGTTTCTTTCTATCTGATCATCAAAAGTTCTGCTGGTTGAGGGATTTGTGACATCCAAACGGTTTTGTTTATTTGTAAGATTATGTCCATTTAATGTCTGTGAATGGTTATTAGTTTCAAGCTCTTTCATGCATGATTTCTTCTTCAAGGGTGAAGTGAACAAGTCATCACTTAAGTCTGAGCCCTGCAGTCCATTTTTGTGCACTTTATGACCAGCACTGAGTTGATCGATCTTTGATGCCAGAATTTCATCCGTAAAATTAAATATGTCACATCTTGGTAGTGAATGAACACTGACTTGCAATGCTCTGTTGCTATGGAGATTTGCCAAAGGAAACACATGCAGATCAGGATGTTTAAGAAAGCTAGATGATGAGTATTCCTCTCCAGTTTCAGATATTCTGTAGATAGCAAAAAAAAACACTTTGATGTATGCACAATTAATGATTAATTGCAGGTCACGTTTAAGTTGACTTAAATTTCTTTGTTGTTTAGTGGCTGGACACCTGTTTGAGATTTCACCCTCATAACGAAGGAGTTTGCGCCATGTAATAAAAACAGAGTTTTCATTGAGAAATGTACTAGTATAATTATGTGCCCCTCCACTGGAAAACATGCACTAAGGTGAATGCATGGGAACTACAAAATGACACACTGAACGATGGGCAGTGAGTGAAATGACACAGCTGCTTCTGAGTGCTGTGTCCAATGGAACAACTAATAAAAATATTTCTTTTGTATATATGGCATGATAAAAACAAAGGTGCATGTCAAGAGGAACAGTACCAAGTTTGTTGGGTAAAGTGGCTTTCTCATGGCATTATTTGGGATGATGAAACTATTTAGGAAAAAAGTTTTAATCTTGTAGTAGATTAAACATTTGATTTAAGTTTCACCAACCTGTAAATGATTTTAGAAGGAAGGGAGCCTTTACTTCTGCTTAACCAGGCACTCAGCTGTGAGAAATGAATGTGTGACCTTATGGCCTGCATGAGCATGCTACCACTACGGCCATGAACAACATCTGACCTGTTATAAAAAAATGAGTGACTAATTACTTTTTTTGCCTTCCCATGCTCAATTGAATAACATCACTCAGTATTGAGTGACCACATTCAAAATTCACCATCCCTCTTATACTAGGCAAAAAACAAACACTTTGAAAACTACTGATCCTTGCAGTATGTAGCTGGTTTGTGTGATATCAATTTGCTATACAGCCTAATTCACCAATCTATATCAGAGAGGTAGAGCACCATACTTTGAAATCTGAAGGTGTTAGGATTGCAATTCTCAAGGGGACTTAAAATTTTTTTTTGGCCCATGCTCAAGACAAGTGGATAAAATGTTTACTATATCTGAAGACAAAGCCCAAGGCCTCATATCTTCATGTACTTGTGAAAGAATAAACCCCAGAGGTGAAAGAGTTAACATGATCATAATTATGCAACTTTTAATTGAGTAACGAATAAAGAACTAATAATAAGGAGATTCATATTGTGTTATTAAAAATAACAACAATCAATCATTGATTTTATCAGTGCACAGGTAGTTTAGAGAAGAGAATTTGTCTTTCCTTAATTGATAGTTTCATTTGCTTTGCATCCAAAACTTTTTCCCCTCTTTATTTTTAACTACATGCTATAGTGCATAGATGCTTCTACACATAGGTTAATTAATGCTTCTAAAGTTACATATTAAACATCACATTATGACCAGCAAGCTACTTACTCATTCACTACTTCCACTGTCCATCTTTCCAGTAAAATCAAACTATTCTGAGAAGGTTCTTCTATCAAAACACTTATCACCAGAGGAAAGCTGTTCTCCCATAAAGCATTCATCTTTTCTTTTCTTTCACATACTTTCTGGCACTGCCCCAAAATTCAAAGACAGGAAAGAGTTTGCCATTAGATTTAATTTTTAATTTATTGTAAAACTGATATTGCTACAATGATCAAGAGAAAACAGAGTGCAGCTCACTTAATCTTAGTGAACATCTTAACACAGCCACTAGGTGCAGTTGGACCCCTCCTTTTTGATATCTTTATTCACAGACACTTCCAGTAATGAACATGAAATCTACACATAACACAGTAAACTCTCTCAGCCGACCATATTTAGAGCAGGAAAAAGAGGTCCCTTTGAGGATATGGTAGCTTTAGGAGAAAATCAATATTAAAAGACAAAAAACAGATCTAATCCACCAATTATCTATTATTTCACTATTAACTGTACAAGTATACAGTTCCTCTGAGTAAAACATGCATTAGTCATTGTTGGCTTTTGCAACATGCACCTTTGCACTTCAAAATGTGTTACTGCTGAAAATACTTGAAAGCTGGTCACCTCAGAAGACTTTCAACAAAATTGCTAAATGATAGAGACAATATACATCCTTACAGTGATTGCTTTTAAAGGTCAAACAGGTCAAGTAAAAGCAAGAGTTTTTGAAACAGTATTAGACTGAGAAACAAAATGAATATTTATAACAAGGATGCTTGAAGGATTAACTGTTGCTTAAAAGACTGGCCAGTGAAGAGAGAGTCAACTGCAATTATTTAATCTTCTCTCATCGAACATGCACCTGTATTTAAAGGATGCTTCAATTTAGGGGACACTTTTTGTGGTACTGAGGCTGTACTTTCAATAAAGGCCCCACTACAATGGTTGACTTACACTATAGTTTCCTTTCTGGTCACAGACATGAGGCACAACATTGAAAAAGGACAAACAATGAGGTCCTTCCACTCTGCCTTTCTCTGAACACTGTGGTGTACGCCCCTCCAGTATAAGCATGCCAATGTGCACAAAGAACTCTCTTGCTTGCATCTCACACTCCATTTCCTCAGCAGAAATCTCACTTTCTGCTCCTGTGAGAACTTGACATTAAACAAATTTGGAAAAAACTTTAGATGAGTATTTTCTCTTAATAACATTATGAACCTTCTAATGAAACTTTGCCCTAAAAAAGGGCTAATGCTCCAACTGGCAGTGTACCAAATTTAAGTTTGTCAATGTCCTATAACTAATTAACAGTTAACAGGTTTTTTCATTTTCCTTTTGATACAGGCTTCTCACAGTTACAAATTATTAAGTCAAGTATACAGCAATAATAGAACTAAGATCATACCTCCATTAGACCTTGCCATGTTATGTAACTTAACAAAATAAATAAAATCAAAAGCCTTTATATATTTGAACTTAGGTTCAAATGCAGTGAACCATTTATTAAAAACACTAATAAATTTGACCTTTGTACCAAAACAATGATCATGCTTTAACTAAACATCTCAGAGGACTACCTCTCTATATTCTTACAAAATGAAAACAATAAAAAAATTAAAAAAACATATTATGAAGAAATGTGAAAGAATCCAAGACCAGAAGGGTACTTTCTATTCCTTCTCATGAGGTCATAGTCTATCAATACCCAATTCATGATGCAAGAGAGAAATTTTGTACTTTCATGCCCTGAAAACATTTCCAGAAAAGCTCGTTGATGTGTCCTGTGCTAAGACTCAAGTTTAATGTTTCAATAGAGGGTGCATACTAAAAGATGAAGATCAGATATCCTAAAAATGGCTTTAATCTTGGGCCCTAAAATGTTGATAGGTACATTTCTAAGATGGAGAACAACTAGAGCGCAAATTTCTCTTTGTGTCACATTTCATTTTAAATTGCCCAATCGTGATTCAAACTTTTTATTGTTGTTACCACATGCAAGTTCCTTTGGCTACGATAGATGAATACTGTGTTCCTTTTGTTAAAAAAAACAAAACAAAAAAAAAAAAACAATAATAATAACAAGTCGTTCTGGACAAGGTTCTTAAGACAACCGAAACATGAAAGCTTTATTTATTGCACAGCCCTCAAAAACCTTACGCTGAGGTTTATACCAGACAACAATCATGCATTTTATATGACGAAGAATATTTCAGTTACAAAGGATAGCATGTATTGCTAGATTTACATAACAAAGTTCACACTGTATATTCCAGTGAAGTGTGCAACACAGGAAATTTACTTGTAACTCTTTCTATGTGATGGACGATTCAAATTACAGCTCCATATAATGGTTATTGTAAAGAACTGTCCTACTGATAGCGAACATAACTTCGTGAAGTAATGAATAACTTCGGCTTTGTTGAAAAATCATCAGAGGCTCAACTAAACGAAAGATTAGTTTTCACTGAAGGTCGAATGCCGAGGCGAATCGTGCCAACCAATTAAGTACTACTCGAACTTAATTCATAAACAGAGCTATTTCAAACGAGAATTCTAATTTAAAATTTATCAAAACAGCAAATCTCGACCGCACAACTTTCATTTAAAAACACGTCAGCAATCTGCTTTAAAATATAGGAATACCTTCACAAACTTACCTTCACTTGGCTTCATAATTTTTCTTCTCGCAAAGTTAACTAAAGTAAGGTAATCATCCTTGTAATCTTACGGGCGAAAGTACGGCTAAATACACTCTTACTTATTTATACTAGCGAAGGAAATGACATAAATTGCGGAATCGGCGACAAGAGAAAAAACTTTTCTGTTTTGCGCTCGAATATCATAGAGCCAGACAACTGATTCTAGAGGAGTTATGAAATCTGATTGGTTCGCGTCACCGAGTAGATTCTGTCATCAATAACGAGTTCACGTGCCGGAAGTGAAGTTTGAAAGGCTGCTAAAAATAGCTACACGTGCAATCCCTGAGGTCTTGCCTTGTTGCCCGACAAAATAAATAACAAAAACAAATATCTAATTTTACATCTGTCACGACGATTGCCTTGAAAGATAAGAGATTCACGAAAACATCAACAGCAAGATCGGTGAATAAATTTCCAAAGAATGATTGCGTTACCACGGTATTCAGTCCGAATATCCTCTACTTCATTTCAGTTTAAGGCTCTGAACTTATGCAGTACAGGTATAAGGGTAATTCTATGAGAGCTGAAATTTTAACCGTTGACCCTTCGTCGCCGAAACGTCAGCTTAAGGAACTATTTACGGTGACCAATTCTCTTGTGTTACCCCCACCAACGTAGGCCTGCAGTTTGTTTAGAGACTTGTCCTTGTTCTAATAGCGTTGCTTAGCTACAGTCGCATTGAAGCAAGGGCCTCTCTTCGGCTTATACTCGTCACGAGTATCTTTGAGTTACCGAGTACTCGGTCAAATGCAAGTCACGTTAATTTCACAACAATCTTCTTAACTTTCCTTCCTTCAATTAATCTATAGCCGTGGTTACATACACCTTGGGTTTGGGGCCTTACGGAAGGTAAATGGCTTGGGTTTGGTTAAGCTCAGGTTTCATGTTGCCCTTGGGGATGCGGTTACAGAGTGAAAGACTCCCTTCAGGGATAATCTCTCATATACCGGGTTCTGAAATAACTAATAATTAACAGATAGGTGTAGCAGGAGTGTAAAATGAGTGGGTACAGAGGATCAGTGAACAGAGGGCACAGAGAATTAGTAGTACAGTGGAAATATAGGAACGGAGGATCAGTGAACAGAGGACTATGGGGTACAGAGGACCAAAGGAACAGTGAGACCAGAGGAACAGTGGGTACAAAGGAACTTTTTAACAAATTCCTAGACAAGCACCCACAGAAGGCTCGACTCTGCCAGGAACACCATATTGATCCAGAGGATGATAATATTGATTTGGCCTAGGTGACAGAACACAAAGCGTTTGTCTATTGTAAAACTGCTTTGCCATTCTCTACATATAGTTTAGGATCTGAGAATTTGGTGGCCAATCAAACTCAATCCCTTAGTTGATAATTTGTGTGAAATTTGAATGCTTTGGTGTTATGGGCATTTATATTACTCCCATGAGGAGTGAAAGGGTCAAATCATAAGGTTATGGAATACCTACTAGGAAGATTTTTCTGTGAGAGGGAACATTTATTACCCTCTAGATCTGCTACCTTAGACAAAAATTTTCACTGAGAACTTATAGGCTCCTGTCGTAACTTTGAATTCTCTCAGAGAAATCCTGGCTACAGGTTGCAATGGCACATCCAAACAATAGAGATGAGTGTCATAAAGTGATCATTCTATAAGAAGTTACCAGCTGATATATAACGATTCTAAAGTGTGTCAATTTGAAATATTCAAGGAGAAAAGTATGATTTAAGTTCTGGTTAGGGATTTTGTCATAAAAATGAGAAAGCTTTTAATTATTATATAATTTGGTTTATAATGAGGAATAGCTTTGTTTGTGGTCAAATAAATTGTCTGTTAAGTGGAAAAGGTATAGCTAAGTTGCTTTGACTGGAACAAGGTGGAAGTTTGTAGCATCCTTATTGATTATATAATAAAACATATTTTACAACAAGTCTGAAAAAACTTCAACACTTAAACTTTAGGGGAATATGATGTGGTAACTAGAAAAGCTTAATATTTTTCACATTTTGCATAGGGAAAAAATTTTGCCCTACACCTAAACTCAGCCTTTTAGACTTGTGACCGAAAGGAAAAAAAACATTAAATAATATTCTGACAGTACAGAAACACAAGGTTCAGAGTTGAAAAATGATTTGCTACCTTATATGAACAACTTTAAATGCAGCCATAGGATTTCAACAATTTTGGGCGTCTTCTGGCACTGTCCCAACTGGTGCCTTTATGTCTTCTGTTCCCACTTTTTCTCTGGTCCTCTGTACCCACTGGTCCTCTGGTCCTCTGTTCCAACTGTTCTTCTGGTCCTCTGTACCCATTGGTCCTCTGTACCCACTGGTCCTCTGTTCCCACTGTTCCCCTGATCCTCTGTTCCCACTGGTCCTCTGTTCCTACTGTTCCTCTGGTCCTCTGGTCCTCTGGTCCTCTGTTCCCACTGTTCCTCTGATCCTCTGTACCCTCTGGTCCTCTGTACCCACTGGTCCTCTGTTCCCACTGTTCCGCTGGTCCTCTGGTCCTCTGTACTTACTGGTCCTCTGGTTCTCTGTTCCCACTGTTCCTCTGGTCCTCTATAACCACTGGTCCTCTGGTCCTCTGTACCCACTGTTCCTCTGGTCCTCTGTACCCTCTGGTCCTCTACCCACTGGTCCTCTGGTCCTCTGGTCCTCTGGTCCTCGTGTGGTCCTCTGTTCCCACTGTTCCTCTGGTCCTCTGTACCCACTGGTCCTCTGGTCCTCTGTACCCACTGGTCCTCTGGTCCTCTGTACCCACTGGTCCTCTGATCCTCTGGGCCCACTGTTCCTCTGGTCCTCTGGGCCCACTGTTCCTCTGGTCCTCTGTACCCACTGGTCCTCTGTTCTCACTGTTCCTCTGGTCCTCTGGTCCTCTGGTCCTCTGTTCCCACTGGTCCTCTCTACAACCAGTCCTCTCACCCACTGTTCCTCAGGTCCACTGTGCCCACTGGTCTTCTCACCCACTGGTCTTCTGTGCCCTCTGGTCCTCTGTACCTTCTGGTCCTCTGGACCCACTGTTCCTCTGTTCCCACCGGTCTTCTGTTCCCACTGTTCCTCTGGTCCTCTGTACCCACTGGTCCTCTGATCCCACTGGTCCTCTGTTCCCACTGTTTCTCTGGTCCTCTGTGCCTACTGTTCCACTGGTCCTCTATTCCCACTATTCCTCTGTTCCCACTGTTCCTCCGGTCCTCTGTACTCACTGGTCCGCTGTGCCCTCTGTTCACTGACCCTCTGTACCCACTCACTTTACCATTCTGCTATATCTATCAGTTAATTATTAGTTATTTCAGAACCCGCTATATGAGAGACTACCCCTTTTCAGGGTCAAATATAATTAGATATGAGTTCACTGACCTGACAAATTGGCAGGAAAAGTACAGAGCAACATGGATGTTACAAATCGAGATCTATTAAGCTAAATGTCAGTGATTCTCCTGCCTGCTATACGACAGTCCTCCATAAATACAACAGTCCAGCAGTTTTTTGTGAGAAGACACCGAAGAAGGCGCAAAATCAGCCAAGCACATCAGAGGTCACCTCAAAACACTGAAGGCGATTTCCTATATTAGCTACATTCTGCTTTATGATTGGTCAAACCGCCTCAGGGAGCAGATAAACCGAACTTTTCAGTTCAGGAACTGTCATGGGAAATTCTTTTGTTCTTTTTGATGTATCTATGGAAATAACCCTAGGGCAGTTTCAGTCTGGGGAAAGCGGTTATGCACAAAAATGTCCTTGCCCGTGCGCAAACACTATTTACCCATGGGTAAAAGGGCTAGTGTAACCACGACCTATATAATTATTATTTTCATTATTGTTGTCATTGTTATTATTATTGTTATTATTATAGATATCATTTATCTTTTCTTTTACCTTAGAATATTTTAAAAATATATATATTTTTGGAGGCTTGAAAATTCTTATTATTATGACAATTATTATTATCATCATGATTTATCATTATAGTTATTATGGTTATAACTGTTGTCGTAATAAAGATACTTACTGTGCAACACCATTATGGTCCTACAACTTACCAATACTACACAACAGAGAAAAAAAGCGCCTAATAACAGATTCAGATTTCCTTTGCATTTAATATCTCCGAAAGCTACTAGGTTATGTCAGAGATAAACAAAATAAAACTAGCATGCTTTAATTCATACTCACCAAGTACAGCAATCTACTTAAAATACACTTACATTGTGATGAATCATAAAAACTCACTGATTCGTAAACCTAAGGTACTCTTAAAGTTAAACTTCAATTTGTCTCAAGTCAGAAGTTCTGATCCTATCTAGTATGTCATTCCATTTTTGAGGGGATACCAGGTATCTAGTGGAAGGTAACTCAGTTGGTGTAGTTCCAGGGTATGTGTTCATCTGAAACTTTATTTGATAGATCAAGTGACCAGTTGTTCAGATAAGTACCTTGTTGTATCCAATTTTGGATGTGTTCAACAGAATGATCAGCAAGTACTATCCTCCTTCGAGCAGCCGATGAGACAGAATCACGCCGTCTCGCAGCTCGGTTAATATCCGCCACTATATATACACCTTCACCTCTGTGAGAAATTCTTAATTGGCGCGTTTGCAAAACTGAAAACTCTTATTTAGAAACCGTAGTTAAGGTTATCTGGTCCACAAATTGAACCATCAGATCTACCTAAAGCTAACAACAAAAATGCTTATTCATTGTTTCTATACGTAACCTTAAAACTGAAACAATTCTCCCCTATTCACTATGAGCTTCATTTTCTTTGTTGTGGTACCCAGTCCCTTATTGCAACACGTTGTGCAACTGTGGCCCTGAAATTTTTTCCCGGCCTCCCCTCATATGTCTTGGCACTGCGCACGTTTCTCTCTCTTTTGGTCTTGATTCGAAGGCAAAACCATGCCGGTTAGTAGCAGGCGATTCTGCCCCTATTTCGCCCCCAAAAATGCACAGAGAATGCCCAAATAACTACCATAATCTAGTATAATACTTACTTCACTAGTTTCGGGGTTAATATTGTGTATTGTCGCAGTGTTAACACGAGAACAATCATGACTTAGCTCTTCCTTAGAAACTCCACCAGCACTTTCACTTTCAAACAGGCACTGTCTCCATGTTTTATGAGGATAGATCTCCTCGAGAAACGTTGGTGTTTGATTTCAGAAAGTATTGGTCGGACCATGTAGTATAGATGGTTGATTGTAGATTAAGATCGGTTATTCGAGATGTCCTTAGGACGAACTGAAAAATCTCCAAAGGGTAAACAGCCTTCTGCAATGAACAATGCTCCTTTCCAAGGCACCAGTATTTCCTATTTATTAAGTCTTTTACTTCGTGTATAACAATCATACAAGAAAACGGCGGCTAGCTTGACAACGTAAGGGTACAGTTTCTTGTAAAGTACCTTTCATCAGGAAATTTTTAGATTATTAGCGAGTAAATGTTAGTCTGAGTAATTTAGATCCTCGTTCAAGATGGTGAAGTTATCGTGGGAAATGTGCTTAGTTGGTATATGAAGAACTTTTTGTGAAATTTGCAAACTGGGGACAATCAAGGTGCTTGTCAGTGAAGGCATAAGAATCACTGCCAATTTTAATCCTTTGGGCACCTTTCAAAACTATTGGTACTGTCTGTTATTCTGGATCTTACTTTTGTTATGAATTGGTTCTTTAGTTGTTCAAGGATCTTTTGCATCCCTCTGTGGAGGAAGAGAAGCGGAAGCACAAACTCAAACGGCTTGTGCAAAGTCCAAACAGCTACTTCATGGATGTGAAGTGTCCAGGTGAAGTCATTTGCAAGTAGTGATGTAGAGTGATAAATTTATGGTAAAGGTAACCAGGTAACAGTAGGAAATAAAATGACTGAAGAAGAAGTAAGAGATTGCAATGATCAATGAAATGGTAGTATTTATTCAGAGGTCTCAAGCCTCAAGCAGTGAGTGTGAGACTTGCACAAACAGATTCAATCTCATGCTGAAACTAATATTTCTCAGGCATTAACACTATGGCTGGGAAATGCGTCTTGACAAAAAGGTGTAGCTTGATAATCTTGTGACTTATATACTGTTTTGTTCGGTAAAAAAAAAGTGCAGTTGGTTTTAACAATGCATTTATTGGAATCTGAGCCACCAAAGTAATAAAATAGAAATCAGGAGGCTAACCTAAAACAGCACATTTTAAAGGTTTTCATTCCCATTGAACAATGGCAAAAATAAAACAATTAAATCTTAACGTTTTTGTTGGTCGGTGATGTTGAGGTGACCAGTGTTAAATGTCAAATGAAATTTTGGTCTTCAAGCACCTTTTAATGCTCACAAAAAAAGCAGGTCTGGTAACCAGTAGGTTTCTGCTGCCTATTGGTTTCTTATGACAACCTTGTGAAGGAATTGAAAACTTTATAAAATTGGTATTAAAAAGGTTTGGGAAAATGGACTTTTGTATGTTTGAAAAGCCCTTCAAATGCACTGATTATGTTTCATTTCTTGAATGGTCCAGGTTTCAGAACATGCGCAGTAAACTGTTAACCCCTGACCAAAGTCACAGTATACATCTTTAGGGACTAAATTTCTGTTTTTAGTTGGAGCCTGTACAGAGTTTAGTAATAATCATCTTATTTTTCCACAGGTTGCTACAAAATCACAACTGTGTTCAGCCATGCCCAGACAGTTGTTCTGTGTGTGTCATGTTCTATGGTGCTCTGTCAGCCTACAGGAGGGAGAGCAAGACTCACAGAAGGTTAGAATGAACATTGAACATTAGCTGTAATTATAGACAGAAATTGTCATCATATGACCTCATGAAAAACATTGATGGAAAAATCCTAAGTTCATGGTTAACCAGGCAAACAGTGCTGAAAAAAAAAAAAGAAAAAAAAAAAAAAAAAAAGCTGCACAACCGTGTCAGATGTAAGCTGAAAGAAGGAAGGAAGAAATACTTTATCCGAGAGAGAGAGAGAGAGAGGTCATGATGGAAAAAAATATTTGGCTCTTGGTCATGAAGAATAGACCTTGTGCAAAATATATTCATGTCAAGCCTTTCTAACTAGTCATTAAGTGCATATTAAGTCCATAAATAGTTTGGTTAGAGGTCTGCATGTGAAGCCTTAAAAGTTGCAAACTCTAAATGAACCACTGGGTATTCAGATTCAGTGTTAATTATTGCAATGCTACATAGAACTCTAGGAAAATATGTAAAAAAATGGCAATAGTTGAAAGGGGATTAGATGGGTAAAACTGGACCAGAAGTGCTATCTCTTGGTTAACTAAACGCACTTGTCTGGTATTTTCTTAGCTCATTATTATTGGAATGTCAGTGTGTTATGTTTTGAGACCATCCTTGGTTATCTTACCTCATTTGAAACCAGCCTTTACTGTTTCATCACCAACAGAATTAAATGGTATAATAAGGAAATAATTGTTTCTTTTACTCCAAGGATTTAAGAGCTCCACAGAATTCTCTTAACTGATGGCAAGGATTTTTTTTTTAGTTGTCTTACTCAGAGAATTCTAAACTTCATTGACACATTCTTTTATTGTTTATCTCCTTAATTCTCCAAATTCTAATGGGTATATTAGATAAAAGAGTGAAATTGTAGTGGGTTACTCTGGGGTCTTTTGGGAATCAAACATCTTTTCACCTGGGGGTATTAATGGGTAACCACAAACTTTAAGGTAAACTGGAAAATTGCTGAGCTCTAAAGATGACCATGACATCCAAAAAGAGTGGACACACTGGCAGTTAAGGGCCGCCTGGCCTGAACCCCTTTACTCCCAATGTCTCATTAGTGATTCGCTTTTCTATCTACCATACAATTCCTGATATTATTGTGGCAAATTTGGTCTTGGATCAGCTATAAATCTCCTAACTGATATTTTCTTCATTCCCATCTCTTGTTTGCTTGATATTGTATTGATATTGTAAGGAGAAAATCTTTCTCAGTCACTTATGGGATTTGAAGGGTTACAAGGCTAATACCTGTAACTTAAGCATTTGTCTTTGTTGTTGGGCTGCTTGATTTTAATGTCTGTTCCACTGTTTGTTTATTTTTATTTTAGGTTGCTCCTTCAGGAGGAAACAGAATTGAATTCCTCTTCAAAGAATATTGCAGAATTAGGAAAAAGCACCTTTAAATCAACACTGATTTAAGTCTCTTTTTTTATTAGCTTAATTAACAACAAATCTCTTGTTGGAGCTTCCTGTTTTCAGAAGTAATGTAGGTGTTTAGACCAAAGGAACTGTTAGTGTTACTACACTTTAAGTTGGGTGGAGTTGAGAAGGGTTAAGTTTTGTTCACTGGTAAGAACAGCGGTGTCGTTGCTCAGACAGAAATGATCTTGCCGCTGACATTGCCTCTGTAAATAAATAAAGTCAGTGTTGATTTATGTCGTGGTGTGTTTCTTGTTCTTATTGTCAGTAGCATCCTGCCTGATAGCTAGAGGCAAGTGTAGAAGCCCAAGGTTTGCAACCTTGTTCCTCTTATTGCCAATTAAGTGTCAGCAGATATGTAGCTATTATCATCTTGATTGCCACTCTTGGGTTTCTTAGGCCGGGATGTGTTGCACTACTGCATTGTCGACCTAAGATTAAAATTGTCATATTTGGGAATCATTTTAGACCGTCTAAACGAGAAATTCCTGAGAATCATTCTCTAGGTTTTTTATTTCAGAGATTATCTGGACTTGATTCTAAGTTACAGATTCTCAGCGGCAGAATTTTCACACTTGATCGGATGTAAAGCACTCTTCCAAGTTAAAGCATGGGTTTATTTCGTGTCCCCATACATAACCTTGTTACCATTTTCTCGCTACACCGGAAGTCGAAAGGTTTTATTGTAAGGGTAAAGCATGCTATTATTGTTCATCAGGGTTCATCCACTTTACTTTTCAGATAACCCTTTAACTCCCAAGATCTGATTGTCAATTCTCCCCTCTAGCTGCTACACATTTCTTATAAATTAGTTACACAAATTTGGTGTTAGATCGAGATAACAACTTCTACCTGATAAGTTTGAGTATTCTCATAACCTGTTTGCTGAATAATGTGAGGATATTATGAAGAGAAGAGTCGTGTTAATCACTTCTGGCAGTGAAAGGGTTAAAACGAAATTTTCACCCTTACATTTGAAAACACATGGCGCGAAAGCAAAACAAATCATATTTTCATTACCTTTTAACCATCCTCTAACATCCAAACAAGCTAAAACATATTTAAGACAGAAGGTTACTTAAAATTCATATGATCAAAGGCCTAACATAAAACGCTCCATGGCACAAACGAGAAATTATTGGTTTACTTCAGAAATATTGTTCATGGGCAAGTTAAAGCCAATGACAGTGTCCCGAAGTACAATAGAGAAGAATGTTGGCGATGCTCAATCTTGCGTTACGTTTGTTTGTTTGAGTGACTCAGCATACTTGGTGAAGTGACAGAGACTCGTTTTGTGATTTTGAGGTTCATATCCTGTCCAATTTAAGACCCTCCTGCTCCAAAATTTCGCTTTGGTCAATTATTTATGAGCATGAAGATTACTGGCCGCATCACAATTCTGTTAGTGGGTTTAATTCTTCCGCTCGTTGCAGGTAAGTCGAAGGCGTTGAATTTAGAGCTCCGCCGATTACGTAATTAAACATACGGTTTGTCAGCTTTTTTCAATATGTATTGGTGTATTGGATCATATTTTTTGCAGTGAGAGAGATTGGTTTTTCGTGGGGCAAGTTTTGGCCCACCCTTGTATACAATGGCTCTCTAGTCTGAATCTCTCCCAGATCAGCTCCACTTGAAGTTTCGATACCATGTTTAAGTTTATATAGAAATCCACGTTTTCCTTCAGTAAAATCGCTGACGAATACATTTATTGATGATAGCTCTATTGAAAAAATCTCAATAATGGCCGAAGTAACTTGCAATGAATGATTAACAATATTAATATAGTACAAAACAAAATTGCCCAGACCTGGTTTACGCTGTGTTACGTGACCCTTTCCGTTAGCGCATTCCGTGTTTTACGGGCACAAGCTAAGTTTTAAGAGCGTTCTTTAAAATAGGAGATGAACAGCGGGCTACGTCCCTAAGGAAAGTGTGGTGTTGCGTCGGTGGAGTCTAACTACATAAACTGGCTTTATCATTCAGTTGACAACGTAAATTGGCCACCCTGAGAGTTTCTTCGAAAGCAAATTTCCATCATGAACTCAATTGATGAAACCCAATTATTTTCCTTATAAAAAACCTTGTCACACTTGGTCATATGACTTGTTAGGGGTAAACTTGCCGCTTCTGTTTTCATAGCCAGGAGTATATTTTGTTGAAACTGACGAACTTATCGTGTCAACCCCTTAACTCCCAAGATCAAATTGTAAATTCTCCCCTTTAGCTGCTATATATTTCCTTCTAAATTAGTAATGAGAATTTGGTGTTAGATCAAGATAACACCTTCTAACTGATAAGTTTGAATATTCTCATTACCCATTTGCTGGATAATGCTAGGATTATAGGGAGAAGTTTCATGGTGATCACTTCTATAAGTTAAAAGGTTAACAAAGAGGAGGTCACGCAATGAGCTATCGCCAAAGGCCCTTTATATTAGTTGTATGGGAGTGTAATTTTTAGAACTTTCGAGATATTACAAGCATTAGTTGATTATTGTCCGTCAGGAGAGCTTATTTGCAATACCATTAAATAACGAAATACATGTTATTGATCATGCATGTAGTCTCGCCAAAATTCTATGTCCCGGATGCATAATGCTGAAATCTCAGGCATGCGCAGAAATCTAGTCAACATCGCGAGATATTTAGCGTTTCCTTTCTTTTATAATCATTTTTTTTGTGGGGGAAGGCACTCTCCTATCAATGTTTAGTGGCTGAAGGAAATGAGGAATCAGAGTCCCCATAACAAAAATCGTCCCGCTAGTAGCTTTTTTGAGAGGAAACTCTTGTCAATTTAGCTTTCAAAACTCCAGGTGATCATACAATTGTTATTCACATTAAGGGTAGTTTGTTTCTCCTTTATCGCAGTTAGCGGTTTGAAATGCCATCACTGCCTAAGCTCGTCATCGCTGTATGATTGTGGCAAGTCAAGCGAGAAGATTGAATGTCCTGAAATAGCAGACAACTGTGCTAATATTTCCACTGAAGTCGAGGCTAGCGTTGGTTCGATTAAAAGCTATTTCTACGGCTGTGCTACCAAGAAAATGTGCGACGATGCCAGGGAACAACTTAAAGTGTGTCAAAAGATCAGTGGTGGAGGCTATAAAGTGAAATGCAACATCACTTGCTGCAATGGAGATTTATGCAGTCCAATCGTTACTTCACAAAGTACCATGCCACTTTCAGGCCACTTTTTCCTACTTCCTGTAATAATTTCCGCTCTTTCTTATCTTAAAGACTACTGAACAGCAACTGTTTTGTGCATCTCGAATTTCCCTTACCAAATGCACTTTTCATTATTCAGATTTCGTATTTCATGTTGGACGAGAGATAAAAAAAAAGGTGACCTTGAATTAGCCTCGTTGTTTAAGTTATTTTTCAACTTACTCGATGCGGAGAGATAAAATTTCATGAAAACAGTAGATCACAACATTCTAAAAAATTGCATTGTTGCTGTGGAACTTAGGCATGCACATGATTGGAGAAAAAACACTAGTTTCGATAAAATAAATAAATGTGTCAATGTTGTGTGATTACTTGAGCTACAAGATGCTGGCTTGCGCCCAAGTTCGAACAAGTCAGCGGACTTTTAATGGATGCTATTTTCGTCTGATATAAACTGAAACACGCGCTTTACATCTTCAGTGAGCATGAACAATAGTTGGCCCCTCGCAACCATTTTTCGCGTGACCAGAAATGTTAGTGAATTCATAAGATGTACAATAGCTTGGCTTTAAGGGCTATGATTGTCACGAGTCATGTGACAAAATGTCACGCCAAAGTATTTTGGAGGTTAAGCAGGGTGAGATGGGAATAAGAAAACAAAACAACAGGTTTTTCAATAAAACTATTTTAATATTAAAAAATTCCTTAAATGACAAGCGGAACATGTACTCTTCCCCAGTGGACAGCGCCCAGCACATCATAAACAGGAAAAAACAAGCATTCGTGAAGTTCTCACAAATCAGTCAACATGGCTACCGTTTCTATATCCTTGGGTGTCAAATGCTCGTAGCCAAAGGTGATACCCCTCTATCCCTATGTTTGATTGGTTGTGGCTGTGGTCACGTGAATTCTTTGACCGATGAGAAGGCAGGATTTCACCCGTGGACCAAAAAATGGCCGACTTGAAATTTTGGTTACGTTACAAAATCACGCAACGCTCCTGGTAGTGGTCACGGTACGGAAAATCACGAAAGAGTGTCACGCAAAGCCATTTTAACAAATGTAAATTATTATCGTCACAGACCAAGAAGGAGTGGCTTTCCATTCAGACGATAAAACGAACACAGAGACATCGGGCGTTCTTGACAAACGTTCGAGAGGATATGTTGCAACATGCCAACTGTGATCAGATCAATGCCGCGAGTGAGTTTGTGTTAAATTTACTTCGAGTACCTTTGTCACCTCCAACCGCAGCTAGATTAAAACATCACAAACAAATCTTGCGAGAATTGGCTAAGCGAAGAAATTCATTAGAACGACGCAAACAAGGTGCTGGCTTCCGGAGAGGATTGAACAAAGCATTTTGCAACTGTCTCCGTTAGTATGGCTTCACAAGTGATACAAAACTTGACATGTTTATTGCTGGGATCCAACGAGAAGGTGAAACATTTGGAGAGCAAATGTCACGAGTTCGAAACCCGTGAAGATCAGTGGAAAGACGAGTTCGAGAGATACAATCTCATTGGAAATGTGCCTTTCAAGGACAACTTGGCGAAAGTGTACAATTTACCGAAGCAGGCCGTTTACGCTGAATCCGTTTCTGGATCGACAGAGTAGAGATGGGGCAATTTATCCCTCAACAAAAGTTGGTCGGAAAGCTCACAGATGTCATTCACCGCAGCCCACAAAACCTTATTCAGCTTTATTCGTCGCTACCGGATCCCTGAAAACGGTCGCGTTTACTTCCATTTGTCCAGCGGACGACTCCGGAAGTCCTTCGATTATCATGGTTTTTTAGCGAAAGAATGGTTAAATGGAAGTGGTCGTGTGGATGCTACGCTACAGCAAATGGCTCCTACCTTGAATTCCAACGAGAACTTTGAAATGAATGATTCATTCCAGATTTCTTTTACACATGTCCGAAGTTCACCTCGTGGAAGTGGTGAAAAGAGAAAGATGAAACCTGGCCATTCGCATCCTGAGACTTTCAAACGCATGAAGCAAACTGTGGTCACCATCAAGAATAACGACAGCCTCTGTTGTGCTCGTGTGATTGTTACTGCCAAAGTTAAAGTGGATGGCCATCCTAACTGGGGAAGTTTCAAAGATGGTAGATTCAAACTCATACAGCCATTGAACTTCATGCTGAAGCTAACGTTCCGTTCGTTCCATGTGGCTGCGAAGAACTGACCAAATTTGCATTGGCTCCCAGTTTGTGCGATTTCCAACTTTTACTAGAGATGCTACGCGCGGCTACTTGTGACATCGTATGGACCTGCGAGGGAAAAACAAGTCATTCGCTGTAGCACTGTGACCTTCCACACGACCACTTCGAGTATTGTGAGTTGGATGTCAAGGGATGTCTTAGCTTCAAACGTCTCTTCGAAGAACAAGCCAGATTCAATCCTTTTGACACTTCACTATCGCTTCGACCTGCAATCGAGACCTCCATCAAAATAGGATGGAACCCAACACCATTGCTTCAGAACCCTTGCTCGGTTGGAGACTCAAAACCAACTTTTCTACGGATTGGTTGCTATGGGAAGAGCAGAAAACTTGGTCGTTGTATTCATCATGTTGGTAACCATACTGTGGACGGGTACGATGCTGAGAACAACACCGTGTAGGAGTTTCAAGGTTGTTTCTGGTACGGGTGCAGGGTTTGTTACCCTGACAGGACTGAAGAACATCATTGTCTCGAGGACCGTTTGTACGCAAGAAAAATTGTAGTTCATAAGAGATAAAAGGTACACCGATGTGGTCAGTTACAGTGCGCAATTAAATAACCCAATACACGAATACAGTTCGAGTCACGACTTTTGAGAATTTCACGATGATTCAATTCAGTCTTCCACACTTAGTTACTAACTATACACGTTAGAGATTCTCTCCAAATGCCGCGTTCCGAAAATTATAATTCGCGCCAGGCTAAACATTTTCCTGAAGAACGTTTGCCCTAAAATATGAATAACCATTTTATCTCAGTATGCGAGTGAAATTGGATAATGTGACCCCTTGTAATGGAAGGAAAGAAATTGGCCACGCTACCAGTTGTTTATCATCATCTTTTAATTAATTTTAGCATTAATAATGTTCGTAATCATTTCTTTAATAGACGTCCTTCAAGCACTGTTGCAAAGCCTTAATTAGGCTGCGAGGATCATTTGCAATAGCCTTCTTTTATAAATAACAGGAACCCTTAAAAAATTATAAGCAATAAGTTCACTATGGCAAAGTCTAGGAATCTCGCAAACAAGAACAAAGGGAAAAAATCACCGCTGTAATGTTAGAGATAATTCAATTTGCTGTATTTAAAGAACAGCATCCACTGACGTTTCATCTCTATCTTACATCAGGAAGAACGGTCTTGCCTACATTCCTGACAGGTCTTGCGATAGCAAACAATTCTATGTATTTTCGTATGGGTGCCACGAAAGCTAATCAAGACCTACACACCTTATCTAGCGTGAAACATTAATTGATTCGTATTTTCATCAACGTTAAAATAACTTTACAAACGATCCCTGTTGGCAATTAATTGCGAATTGACGCGAATCAGGAGACGTAGAAATACAAGAACGACAACGACAATGGTACTCAATAGAAAACCACTTAACACCACAGCTGTTTCTCGCAACATTTCACCGCAGCCTAGCTCTGCTTGAATCAAAATTCTGTGCGCATCCTTCAGGGCTGATCTCACTTCTAGTGAAATTTCCAGGTAGGCGGGGTCGAAGTATGGGAATCGGCTCAAAATGCAGGAGCGTTATATACAATAAAATTTCGTTGTACATCTCGTCGACGGCAGTTTTTCCCCTTGATTGTTTGGGTCAGGGTACATCCATTTTTCCTCAAGAGAATAATATCAAGTGGTATCACCATTTTTCTTCGAGAGAACTCCGTATGGCACTGCCTACATTCTATCGCTTTAGGTGCTTGAGAAAGGAAGCGTGCGACGAGAGGCTTGTCGTCGTGGTGAACTACGCTGTATGGATGGTTGTTAGAGGCTTCATAGTCGACATCATAAATATGCAAATGTAATGGTCCAATCAAAGTTCATGAAACTTGACCCCGTTGACCTAAAGTTTTCTGCACCACAACAAATGACAGTTGGCTGTAACTGGACACCTGTAATCGGACAGTCGAAGCAGCCAATCATACAAAGTCCACTCAGCTAATACATCAATCACAGAAATGATCACAGTGACCATAGCAACAACCAATTATCCAAAGAAAAACTGGGGAATTTCCAAAATAGAGGAATTTTGAACAAAAGACATTTTCTCCACTGGAGATATTTGTTCTTGTTGTTTTTGTTTTTTCGGAAATTGAAGTGATTATGATTGATTGGTAAAACGATTTCTTGTCGTCCAATTCTGTCTGTAATCATACTGTGATTAACAAATCAGACTCCCGCTTCGCGCTCGTCTGATTTTGTTAGTCACTCGTATGATTACAGACCGAGTTGGACTCCTCTCGGCCCCATTACCATCATAAATCACAACATATCCAACGTCCCAAATATATCTCGGCATCCCCTTTGTTTTACATCATGAAAGTTGTGTGTGTATAGGAAGAAATGCGGTCGCTAGGCCGCAAAACGACTTTACCATCAATCTGCTTCACACTAATTTTACAGCATTTGGTTCAAAAGATAAATAACAATAATAATATTAATAATAGACTTACCGTCTCTCGTATTCTTTACAAAATAATATTTTGTATGGAAAACTAGCTCTACCACACGAAAAAAGATGAACTGAGCTGGTCTGGAAGTCATGCAAGAGAGCCGCGATCGGAAAAACTGATCTTAAAAATTGCGTTTAAAGTTTCCCGAAAATTGAAAACAGGAAACGCGGCACATCGGTGAAAGCATATACTAGGAGGATAAGGAAACATCCTAGCAAAGAATGTACTGAAACTCTGATAACTGCCTTTATTTCTAACCGCCTTGACTATTGTGATAGCCTGTTATTTGGCTTACCAGCGTATCAGATTCAGAAACTACAATAATTGCCGCTAAACATGCAATAATTGCAGCTAAACTCGTTGTCCGTGCGAAAACATTCCCAAGAGCGTGGTGCATTCATTCCAGCAACTGTGGCCGTTAAGAAATTAGATTTCTCCACTTTAAATAACAGCCGCTATTTCGATTCTGCACCTTTGACACCAGTTTTGCCGATTATCTCACGTTTAATAATTTCACGTCGCTTGGTGGATATAATTTTGGCTGCCACTGGATTTTGATTTTTAGCCTTCTGAATTTTGTACCTGACACTGATTGAGCACATCTGAAGCCATCGTGAAACGAATCTCCAAGTCGCAAGTTGACAAAAGTATCCTCATCGTCCTTGTCCTGAATCCACAATTCTTCATCAGGAGTAAATTGTAAACACTCTAATTTATTCCTTACGATTCGCATCAGATTCGATCAGATCATCAAAGGTAGACACCATCGATCTTCCGGAAAAGAAATATAGAACACTTTTAGCTGGTTCATGTTGTATTACTAAACGAAAGCGGATAAACGACGACAGACAGCAAAAGCGCGGGCAAAGAAATGCCAAGGAATGTTATTACGAGCGTTTGCTTTTTGTGCTAACACCTTTTTAGTCACGTGACCAAAAACGATCACCTTTGTCGCTAACGGCAACTGTTACGCACGTCTGCGGAAAAACAGTCTACCTGTTTCGGTGGTAAAATCCACAACTATTCCTCAATTTCTAACAAGCCTTTTGATGTAACGACCGTATCTCTAGTACTAACGTTGTCTTACTTTTTTTTACTCGACATTGACTTTTTTGTTTTGGTAATCGGCCCCGCCGTTTGCAATTCATGTCAAAAAAAATCTTTTGAAACAACATAAACTTCTGTAAACTTCAATTTTGCGCTAAAATTGGAAGTACATTGCACTAGTTCAAGCTCTAAAAAACGCTCTCACGAAAGTGAGTACTTCAAATAATGATCAACGTAACTTGAGATAGTAATAACACGATAAAGGTATATTTTTCAATTCGTTTGTCCTTTTCGACAGGCCTCTTGCATCCTTCATGAGGGGGGCATTGCGGCCTATTAGAAACCGCAAACCCGTAGAAAAGATAATCCAAAACCGAAAAACCGAAAAAAATTTGATCAAAACCGAAAACCATACGCAAAACTGTCAAAAGCGATAGATTTTCACATCCCAGATATTAAAACCCTGATCGATCCGATACAGTGGTGACAAGTGGAGCATACAGAGTAAACTGCACTAATTTCATTACAGGATTTATGAATGCCATGGACTTGGCATTCGTATCTTCTAGTATCTGCTTAAATTAACAACTGCTCTCTCGAGGACCTCGAGCATGATCTCTGGGGACTCAGCAGCTGGTAACGGAGCCTAGTTAAATTAAGGAAATTCGCACCAAAGTCCTCTATAGGATTGCAATTTTGCAGTCGCAAAAAGCTATAGCTCTGGAAAATTTCATCGAAAATCCCTAATCTTAATCTAACGTTTCAATTCGCGAACTAAGACCTGAAAGTTTGGAGATTCTATTGGAATGTTGAATCAATCAGTCTCGTGTGGCCTGTAACTTGGTCACCAACTTTGAGGTGGCGTTGATAAAGAAACCCTGGCGATATTCCGTGCTTAGCCGTACCCTACCTGTAGCCGTACCCTCCCCTCCCCCCACCTTTCAATTGGTTTGTCACGCATTCCTTTCGATAACATGTACGTTTAGCGGCTATTCGAGATCAGTAGAGGCGCGTAATTGCCGCTCAGATCGAAGAGAAACCGGAACCCAAATAGGTCAAATAGGAAAAACCGAAAACCGCATCTGATATCAAATCCGAAAACCCGTTAGTATTTATCGCGAAAAACGAAATATCCGCAAACCGCAATGAACACCAAAACCAAGAAACCGAAATTTTTTTAACACAAAAACCGAAAAACCGAGCTAAAAAAATAGCCAAAACCGCAAAACCGAAAATCCCAATGCCCCCCTCCTTCACAAATAACATCATCTACATCGATCGCTCAAACAATCACTAGACAAGACTCCAAGTCGTTTGTATCCACACACCACACATAACAATTTTGAGACTTTGCCGCCTCCATCTAGTTTCAGAGGGAAAAATGACAAGAAAGGTTGTCTCAACTACTCGACCTTTTCCGACGTAAATTCCCGCTTCTTTCCTGTCGCGATTCTTTAGCGGGAAACCGATGCATACCAGCGGTGTCTCGTATCAAACGACACAGCGGCAAAATGAGTGCTCATGCTCGGCGGATTTAGCGCGATTTCCGCGATTTGTGATTCCAGTGTGGATAAAGTTCTCCGAAGAACGAACAGAACATCGTTTTACACTTTTTGGGACTGATATTGATGTGATCCGACCGGAAAATTGAATGGATTTTGTTCTTATGGCAAAGTCTGAAGGGTAAGTAGAATTATTTTAGACAGTTCAACTAAAGCTGATTTAAATTTATTCAGACAGCTCGTTGCGTGTTCCCGTTCCATTCACCAAATTTATTTTCAAAACTCATTTCATCATCGGTATTTGTTCAGTACAAGCTTTAAACTTAGAAAACTTTTCGATGTAACCTCTTGTGGTAGTTAAAGCTGTTTTACAATCGAAATTAGTCTTGAATCTGTCGGTCGTTTTGTTTATGTGAACGTTCTTTTGATCGACATAAGCTCAATGTAACAGTGTACCAATCAATACCGCCTGATTGCTTCCTCAACACAACTTAAACGTAATAGATGCAATAACATTTATACTTGACACATTTCTTAACCTTTGTGTCGGGAAATATGTCGATATCACTTAACGATCAACCGCCGTTGACGTTTACATGCATTTCTTACTACACAGTGTTACCTGAAGTTGATGAAAGTAACCGTACACAAATTCGCCGTCGCAGATAGCTTTAACTTCAGCCAGTTTAATAGTTCTTTAATGTCACTGCGGTGAGACTGTGCAAGTAAGGCGCCTTTTGGTTGGTGGAGATGGTTATCCATTAAGATGATGTTGTCATTTGCATCGCTTACAAATGAAATTGTTAAACCATTAATTATTATAAAAACAGCATTTGTGTTGGTAAGTCTTCTGCTTAGGTGAAAACTCAGAGCAGATTCCTCACTTGAATTAGGCTCCTTGATAAAACAAACAGTTAACCCCTCTTCATAGCTCACACTACCCAAGCTGCTTCTGACAAGAGATATGGCTTCAACAACACCAAAATATGATGGTGACTGCATGAAACTGTCATATACCTGATTTTCCCCCATCATGACATGAAGGCTAGAATTCAGCTTGGAGTCAGTGGTTGGTGGTTTTTCAGTGAAGGAAGGATTTGTTTGTTACCGGTACCGGTCTTTTCTAACAACAAAGAAATAACTGTACAAGCATTGCTACCTTGATGACCTCCAATTTTTGACTGAGATAGGAAGGCTGGCAGTTCCCAGAATGTGACTGATTGTGTAGTTGAAGATGGAACATGTATTGAAATGGATTGTGGTGGTACACTTAAGTTAGAAAACTGTTGTTGAGCTACTGATGGTGTTTGTTGTTGAGATTGATTGTGTGATTGTAATAGGTTGGGGCAGGTAATGGAGAACCTCAAGTGGTGTCTGCGTGAATTTGTGACGGAAGTAGGCCTTTCTGTGTTATGTTGTCTCTCTTGAGTTCTGTGTGGAGCACTTGGCTGTGGTATGCGTGGTATTTGCTAAAGATTTCTCATTATCATGTTCTTCCAGTCATGGGACTTGTAAAAGTATGAAGTCCTAGAAGTATTTACTTCTGGCTGGCTTTCAGGTTGTTCATGACTATTGTGGCTCTTTGCAATGTTACTACTCATATCATGCTCTATAAGACCACAAGGCTGAGCTCTAGTGGCGTCCGGTCGCCCCAGGCAACTAACATTTGGTCCCGGGCAACTGAAAAAAGTATTCTGGTCACCCAGCTGTGCACTCAGCCCCTTGTGCAGCATTCGCCTCTGAGGTAAATCTGGCGATTGATTGCTACATTTTTATTTGGTTGATAAAATAAGAAAAAATACAAAAAATATTCTTTTGCGCAATATGTAGTCAAATTGTTCACTTTCTAAGATCTCAAAGTTACTGTTGTGTTTCATTCCACATGATTTCATATGAACCCAAATTACAATAATTATTGAAACAATAGTTCCTTTCACCTCACACGTTTTAAACTGCACAGATATTGCAAAAATAAGGGTTGAACACTGGGATTTTCCTTGAGATGATCAGTGTCTGATTTATTTCAGTGTTTCTATGGATTTGGAAAGTGTAGCATGGTTATCTTTATTTCAAACAAAGATTCTTTCTATATGCAAATTTCCAGTAAGCCAGCTTTGTTTGTAGGTGTTTATTGATATCTGTGATAAGCGACTTACAATTACTTTATGAAGATTTGGCGAGAGCTGAGCTTATAATGATTTCATATTTAGACTTGATGATATTGATGCTTTCAAATGAAAGTTCAAAGCAGTTTTAAAATATCCAAAGAAGCACAATTTTTGAAAAATAACACAAACTCACCACCACTAAAAACAGCAACACACTCTGTCACGCAGTGTGAAAAGTTTTAATTTATGGTTTGATTAAATATTAACTGATAAAAACATGAAATAAATTAATTATAAATTACTAATTGCTTGGTTGATTAATTAATTAATTAATTTTTGGGTGACCAACCTGGAGGGCTGGGCACCCTAGCTGGAATGGTTGGGAGCCCAAAGGGTTACCTGGAAATTTTCCTAGAGCACAGTCTTGGATCATTATTGAATGAATCACTTAATTCGTTTACTCTTGTTAGAAAAGGATCCTTGCAAATAGGACACCACATTTCATTTCTTTCAGTCAAGGTGACAAGTGTCAAAACATACAAGCCGTGTTATCTCTGAATTGCTTTCATTGTTGCAGCTTGGGAAGTCACATAAGACATTGGGGTTTGACTCAAGATTCTGTTTAATTCTGTGGTGACTGTATGCTAGTGGGAGAGACCTTGAATCAATTATTGTGTTGCCAAATGATGGAAGGTTATACTTTGGCTCTCCTAGTAGTCTTCCATTGTTGCCAATTTCTCTTGATACCTTTAAAATTGTGTGAAAGCTTATACTGAATCAGGATGGCATAAACCCAGTGTAACAGATTTCCTTATGACAATAGGGGTGTTTTATAACCTTTGAAAGGAATCTTTCTGGTTTCTTTTTTTGTATTTTGATATGAGCTTTAAAAATAAAGCCAACTTTTCCTTTTGAAAACGATATGACAGCCAACTTGCATTATTTTCATAAACTGATGGGCACACAAAATGAAGAGAGTGAAAGTATTAGGTACTTCTCAAGTGCTATTCCGTTTCATCCAACCTACCTGCTTTGAGCCATGAAGATTTTTTACAATAAGTTCCAACTTTTTTATTGTAAATTTTGCTGATCATCCAGCAAGGAGAGTTTGATCCCTTTCACCTGTCCCTCTAAGATACTCCATTACAAAATGTTTCCTGACTTCCATCTGTGTTCAATAGCTTTGCATTCAGCCTAATCCTTTCTGCTGGGTAATGGAGCTTAATGGAATCTCTTTAAAGAGAATGCCAGATGTCCACCTTTTTTTCTGGTAAAGAAGCTAAGATGCGCCATTTAGTGCTGTAGTAATCTTTACTGTTGAGTTTTTGATGTGCAGTGTCACTTAAAAATGATAATGTGGATTTGTCATAATGATTTCTCTAACAAATAAACAAAACAGCAAACCTCATTGTTTGAAAATAGTTGTCAAGGTTGGAGCTTCTAAAAATAACCAGACAATTAAAAAATAACAGTGGTATAACTTCTTCCATCAAGTACAGTAGACTAACATACTCTAGGTCTTTGCAAAGTTTAAAAATGGTCTTTAAAACTGCTCTTATTATTTGGTGCAGTAGGCACATTTATAAAGTATAATAATGATAATAAGTTTTTTGGTCTGAAAGAAAAAAAATAACATTAACAATTTGATGTTATTGTTTTTTACTGTTTTATTGTCCATTCTATTTTTTTCTGCTGTACCTTGCAGGCTGTCTCCATTGTTTTGTGTACAACTTCCTTATGGTTTTTTGCTTGCTGCTGTTTAAACATGTCATTCAAACATTCAAGTGCTAAAGTCCAAGACTCTCCCTGCAGTCTGAGCAGACCTGGTTAACCCATGCATGGCAAGGAACATTCCACCCTGTTCTTGGAAATGGGATGTTTTCTGGGATCTGAAGGAAATTAAGTGTCATTCCTGTTAACATACTAGAAAGGCTGGCATGGAAATTGTGCGAATTTAATAAAATGTTACAATTTTTTATTCTTTGAATGACAAAACTTTAAGCACATACAATAAAATTTAACTGGAGCGCTTTTACAAAATCTAATACCTAAAGTGAGCTAGCAGTGAAGAAGTGCCACTGTTCTTTGCTGCAGTAAATGTGAATAGCTCTCACTGGTGGCACATCCATCTGCACTGGTTAGTGCTTTGATGAGGATGTCAAAGAGATGTGGTGCATGGGTTTCAAAAAATGCCTGCATCTCTTTGGATCTGTATAGAGATTGACCCCCACTCTAGTGCCTGCACAAAGCTAACTGAAATTTTTCCATCAGCTCTGAAAAACTATCTAGAAAATGCAGTAGTATGTTTTAGACCAGACCCTGTGAGTTATGTAGAAATATTTTTAACACTGAACACTAGATGTGTTTACTTGTAAAGAATATGCACATTGCAAAAACTTTCATAGGTGATACATGTATGTTACCTGATTTGTGTTGTTCTGGAGTAGTTTCACCCTGTAGGTGCAATCATAACATAGACATGACTAGTTAACAAATAGAGAAGCCTTGACTGTACTCTGGGAAAAATTTCCGCACAGCCCCATACTTCATTATGCATGCACATCTTATTAATTATGCATTCTACTCTTTGTCTTTGAATACAATAGACAATTCCCTTGGTAATTGAATATATACATCCCTAATTATTGCTTACTGCACTAATAAAAGAGGTTTTTTTCACAGCGTTTCTTTCCGCGCTGTTTTTCCCTCTCTCTCTCTCCATTTTCCCCTCTCTCTCTTCCCCATTTCTCTGGCGGACACTTCACTACTCTCTATCCTTCCTTCGAGGCCCCTCTCTTTTCTTTTTTTTACGTTACCTGCAGGGTTCGAACTCTCAATTCTCTATCGTCTTCGTCAGACTAGCAGTCTATCTTCTATACCATTGTTCTACATGTGCTTCTTGCCGATAGAGGGTAACTTTCAAAATTATATTTCTAATACCTTATTCAAATTCCAAAAATTAACATTGAAATCATTTTCCTCACCTTTAAAACATGTTGGATTTTGCACGAAGAAATGAGATGTATCACCTCGGTCGCTACGTCGAAAGAAAGTGGGTCTGGTAGCATTTGCCGTGAAACCAAGGCCCGCTTCCTTGTGCCGGTAGAGCGCAGGGATAAAGATACGCTCATACCCATTATACGCGCTCAAATATTGCCGGGAATATGCGTGATGAGCGGCATGTGGAAAGCTTATGATTACCTACAGGGACGAGGGCTACAATCATCTCACAGTGAACCACAGCCTAAACTTCCGGTAGACCCAGACACAGGCGCTCATACTCAGCGCATTGAAAATACACGGTGGGGAATCAAACGAAGTATACCTCGTACAGGAATATCCAAAGCTCTCCTCGGTAGCTACCTACAGGAGTGGTTGTGGCGTAAGCAATATGGAGAAGATCCTCTTAGAAATATAATCGAGCACATCGCCGAAGTATATGATGTTCGAAAGACATCATAAAAACTAAGCTCCTCGTGCCTCTTTATGTGCTGGTGTCTGTCTACGCAACCACCGCGGATGAAACTAAACATTCAATGAAGAGAGAAAAATAAGCAACTCTACTTTTAAAGGGAAAAGGAAAAACGACAACGAACAACTTTAAAGGTGAGCATCGATTTTATTTTCATCGTTTTACGAATGTTCGCTTTCAAAAACAACAATTTTGAGGCTAATATGAGGCGGAATTAAGCCGTTTTGATTTAACGATTTTATAAAGCATAGTAATTTTTTTATCTGACTGTTACATATTATAAATCAGCGCTCAATTAAGCGCAATTTTAATTAAAAAACGGCGATTTTTTGAAGGTTTGAATAAAAACTTTAAAAAAAAATTCAACTTCTTAAAAACAAAGCGAATAGTCCCAAAGGTAATCTATTGTTTGCGCTATTGTTTGCGCTATTGTTTTCTTCTAACAAAGGACTGTATGCATAATGAAGTATGAAGCTGTGCGGAAACTTTGCCGCAAAGAACTTCTCTGTTCTGTTGTAAAGCACGCAGGAAGCGCATTAGACAAATTTACTAGCTATGTTATAAATTCAATTCAAATTATATAAAACAAATAGATTCCAAGTTGCCGTGCGTTTGTCCAGTATTAGATCACAGATGACGTCAAAATGTGGTAAGAACAAAGAAGTGGCACACGAGACGCAGCCGAGTATTTCATTGATGTATATTCCTAATGTTGTAAAGCACGCAGGAAGCGCATTAGACAAATTTACTAGCTATGTTATAAATTCAATTCAAATTATATAAAACGAATAGATTCCAAGTTGCCGTGCGTTTGTCCAGTATTAGATCACAGGTGACGTCAAAATGTGGTAAGAACAAAGAAGTGGCACACGAGACGCAGCCAAGTATTTCATTGATGTATATTCCTAATGTGCACGCTCATGACGTCAGTAAGTTTTGGCGCATACATCTAAGTTCTGAAGCTTGTTAAAGACATTGAGCATCTGTCAACTCTGCTTGGCACTCCAACTGAATTTTGCAAGGTACTCATCTTCATTTCGCATAAAGATTTTTGTTTCAAGTTATTGATCTTCTTGTGCAAACAAGGTGAGAATAAGTCATTTCTTTAGTTTTTGTTATGTAAATTGTATGAAGTATATAAAATTAGAGTATGTGTCAAGAGAAGACAGCCGTTGAATATCACTATTTATCGTTGTTCTCCTTACTGGCCATTGGTGATCTGCGTAGCAAAGGTTTTATCGGCACTTATCCGACAAATTGTGCACCACCGTGTCCCTGGTCGGTAACTTTCTATACTTCTTCCACCCTCGTCAAAAACTTTGTACAGCCTAGTGGTGATGGATGTCTTACTTAGTGTGGAAGAATGGGAAGGCAGCAGGCACGAGCAGATGTTGTTCCTTTTTCGTAATTGCTGATAGTGGAATTCACATACAAATTTTCCTCGTTTGAACTCCGCTACTCGAGCCATTTCAGTATTTCAGGCAATAGACCCATTTCAAGCGTGACGTCACATCACGTGACTTTGTGAACTGGAGGACAAGCAAATGTAAACAAACTCTTGATTCCACCACGCGTTACGATCGAAGAGAGCAATAAGGCAAAATATTTTGAAGTTCTTGCACCATGGTTAACTTTTGTGCCGTTTATGGGTGCTCAAATCGTTCTAATAGAGAAAAGGATCGAAGTTATTTTCGACTGCCAGCGATAATAACAAGACCGAACGACGAAAAGCAAGCCCTTAGAAAGAGACCGGAGTCTGACACTGTGAAATTTATATGCTTCTCTTTTTGGTATCTGCAGTAGGCATCCCTTGCGGTCTTCTTGTGATGACAGCCCCATTTGGTTGCTTCAGTATTAAAACGCGCCATTTCAGGGTGGCAAATACTCATAATCAATGAATGTGATGGACATGCGGGATCGGTGTGACAGGCATTCTTGAATTTTGAAGCAGTGATCCGCCCTGTCCTCATTCGAAACCAAAGCCTGGAACTTGCCTGTTCACGGGTCTTTTCTTCCACCAGTTCCTGCTGCTTTTTGGTCACCTGAAGTAGTTCAAATGCTTCTTCTGATTTTTTTAGTAGAGTAGGGTAGTCTGCATCAGCAAGGCTGTTGTCAAACAAACTTGACAACACAACTGGAAGTTCAGGATTCACAGATTTAGGTACGTAAAAATCTGAATGAGCAGGGATGAGAGACAATAAGGCAGGTTTAGAAGGGCAGTCCTTGATGCAATTGAGGAAGTTAGTCAGTTCAGTCTCTGAGGGGGGTGTAACACTAGAAGGCTTAACTGTCGAAGTTGAACATGGGGTCTTTGAAAAGTTTATGTCTTTGACCCTTGCATATGGAACAGTCTTAACTGATGTTGGTAGAACCCAGTACGCCTTTTTGTCGGTCACTGTCAGCGAATCCCTTCGTTTACATCCCGCTTCAATGGCCCATAGCAACGAAGCAACATGGGAGCAGCTCTCTCCAAGACCAGCCATGCAATCACAATGAGCAGACAGAACTTTGCCCGAGTTTTCACACACGACCCAAGGGGTCAGAGGCTTTTCTGACATTCTTTGAGAATGATTAACGATCGGCGCGAGAACAGCTTGATCCATCATTTACGAGTGTAAACACTCTTTAACAAGACGTTATGAAAACTTACCTTTGCTATTAACAAGCGATTTTCGCCGAATTTCTTGCACATAACTTCCCTTACCCAGCCGTTCGCAAAGTTCTGATAGCAGTCTAAGCTTTTATAGCTCAACAATTGCTCCTGGGTGTACGGCGTGTTTTTCTCCCAGACAACAAACCTTTTCGACGGGCGATTTGCCTACTGAAGAGGCGATCAAAACAAGTGCTGTAACTAACACGGGCTACGAAGTTCTTTGCCCTGTTACGACCGCTCCACTTCAATACCAAAATTTAAAGAAACTTTCTTGAAAGTGGGAACCTTATCTGTTGAGTCTAGGGCTTATCCCCGCGAAATAAAACAAACAATGCGAATTTTAAAAATGCCTTCTTATCACCGTTATAGCGTTACTATGAAAATATGATCATTCCCATTCCTTTTCGCGCGTAAATTTTCGCAAGCATCTCAAGCATGCGCAATAATTTGGCCGCTGTGTCGCATCAAACAAATTTACAGGACATGCGCAGACAAAATGCTCCCTCCCTGCTGAGCTGACGTAGATAAGTTCAAAAAGAGTGACACGTTGCCAGAAATAATTGATAAAAGAGTGTGAAACTTTCTTATGTTTAATTCCTTTGGGTGTCAAAACTGAATGACAAGGTAAATGTTGAACTAATGAAAATAAAGTTAAGATATTTAATTGTTAGAGTAATGAATATCAACAAGTTTGTTCTACGATTTCAGATTTAACTGAAGACAGCATGCTAAATATAAGGATAGTCAAAGGTGGCTGCCGTGGACGTGAAGCGGTTAGGTTTGGAGTGGTAAGTATTTTGCTGTTCAGAATATTTGACTCTAGTCGAGACCTTACGTAAAAATGGAAAATTAAAATTTAGCCTCTAGTTCACCGTTACGCTCTTAAGTTCAATTCTTCTGAACAGGAATTAAATTCTTTCTGGACGATTCATGTCTCTTCAGAGAATAATTTATTATTTCAGTCATCGTTTACACGGACGCGGCTTCCAATCCAAACGGTTTCATGACCTTGAAACCGCATCGAAAACGACACGGTTTCGAAGTGTCTACACAGAACCTATGCAACTGTTTACGCCATGAAGATCTCGTTCTCAGGCCCTTGCATTTCGTCTGTTGGATCTGGGGAACGAGTAAAGAGTCCAAAAGAAAGCTTATCAAAATTTATGGACCTGCCACCTATGGCAAAATAATAGACAATTTGTTATTTGTATTTAATACAGTGCAACACCCGATTTTAATCGTTTGCTGTTTTCCTGAGTCGTCCTTCATCTGACAAATAATATATAGTCGAGGCCACCTGTGTTTCTACTGAGACCGGAAGTCGCATGTTTGTTACTTTCCTTTCGATGAACGGTCTTAACTCACCACATAACTTGTAAAAATTGTCTTTGCCCATTCTGAAGTTTTCCTTCCATTCTTCTGCAAGCATGACACCGTCCAGAAAGTTGTTCCACCAGACACTAGTTCTCCTAGGCCGAGTCCAGAATCGTCGTTTTGCTTTTCTCTTCCTTACTCTAGAGCGTATTGACGAAGAAGCCAGCCAATTTCGCGCCAAAATAAGTAACCGTTTTTAAATCGATGCGGTTTCGCCGTTTACACGACCAATCGTTTTGAAAACTCTCCACTTTTTAAAGCGTTTTCGGAATGACCCGGTTCTGATAACGAACTCGACCGGTGCCGTGTAAACGAAGGGTGAAACCGTATCGAAACCGATGCGGTTACAAATGAAACCGCGTCGCTCTAAATTCCCCAAATAGCATATTTTCCTCTTAAGAACCAAAATTCTTATCAGAATAATTATTTTAATGGTGTTTTTTTCGAGGAAAATGAAGGTTCTTGAAACAAGATTGACTATAGAAGAGAATTCTTGTGGTAAGAATACATTACATCTGAATATCTTGAGAAGAATCTCTATTTCAGAAACTCTTGCCCCAAGAACCGGGAATTCTTTTCTTAGGAGCGAGAATTATTTTCAGCAGGTAATGAAGTAGAGAGTTCTTCTGGAAAGAATGTTAAATTGCAATTTCAGAAACTCTTGCCACAAGAGTCGGGAATTCTTTTCTCAACTCAAGAGAATTCTCGTTCGGAACGAGAATTCTTTTCAGCAGGCAGTGATGCAGAGAGTTCTTCTGGAAATAATATTTAATCGCAAATCTTACGAACAGAATTGCAATTTCAGAAACTCGTGCCACAAGAATCCGGAATTCTTTTTCTCAAGAACGAGGATTCTTTCTAGCAGGCAAAGAGGTAGAAGGTTCTTCTGGAGAGAATGTTTAATTGCAGATCTTATGAAAAGAATCGCAATTTCAGAATTCATGAGATAAGAGGCAGAATCTATTATAACCAAAATTTTATTAAGGTAACCTCTATTGCAAGTAACTTTGATAACTACAGACCAAATTATCTGATGAAGTCTGATAAAGCTTTGCTACAATACAGCGGTGGAGTAGGTACATGAACGATACGCTCACATACGCTAGGAAAACAAAATATGGTGTCGTAGCCGCGATAATTTACATTAAATTTTCGTGTGAACATTCACAACACCAAAATTAATAACTTTGGAAGTGAAAGACCTATCTGGAGGTTTGAGCAGTTCCAAAATATTCCTTAAATTTTTGTCGTTGGAATCTGTTGTACTGGCAAGCGAGAAAACGCGGTCGATTCTAAGCGCTTGGTAACCGCACTATATCCGATTTCGGTTGTGCGGGCTCATTTAACGTTTTTCACGGCTTTTAAGAATGCGTGCCGAATAATACGTTGTCGTTGCCTTGTTTCGGTTTCGCATGAGGAAGGAGATTTCAGCGGCCAATACTGCTTTCTGCTCCAAGGTTAACTTGTACATTAGGAGGGCATTCAAATCTGGGTTCATATAGAGTGATTCAATGGGAATATTCGGAGTGTCAGGTGGGCTCTTGTTGAAATAATTCAGTGTCGACCGATCGACGGAATCTCGTATCAACAAGATGAGGTCCAAGAAACTAAATCCTGCTTGATTGGACCCAACCTTCCTTGGAAACATGCTGATAACAAAGCTGTTGGAAGGAAGTGCTCTTCAGGAACTGATTGAACCTTGTTCATATATGATCTACTGATTGTATGAAGACTTGAAGGCTTCAATTTGCAACAAAATTTAACTATTTTTGCATGATTCAAAATTGAGTATTCCCCTTCCACTTTCAATCATGTTTGCGAACAGATAAATACTGGATTGCACAGCTAGAGAAGAGGTCATAGGAAAGGACTAGGGGTTGCAATTGGCATGCTATTAATTCACTGATGTACAACAACTGCTTTGATGCAGATTGTGAAAGTAATGAATGGTATGGAGTATGATCAGGGAATCATATATTTAACTAATATACAAAGAATGAGATATGTAGATAAAAATTGAAAGAGGTCAATAACAGGGAATGAAGTGTATGTTGAAGAATAGAAAATGGGGTATGATTGAAAAGTGATATTATGTCATTATAAGATACAAAAAAATGAGGTGATAATCAGTAAATGTTTTCAATACAGTGAGTGCTGATATAGTTGATCATAGATAACTTGATGCATACGTATATATTATAAATATGTGATTTAGTTTTATGTTATGTTGATTGTATGTTAAGAAATAAATCCAAAGGAAATGAGATTCTTTTCAGTGTAATTTATTGTGGTAGAGGTAAATCAATCCTTTCAATAACTCAACAAACCCAGTAAAGGCAAAAGATTCTTCTCAATAGAATATTCAGACCTCAGAAGAGCACAAAGACTTTATCAGCAAGAATACTTTTAAATGTGATTCTTCACCCAAGCAAATTCAATCTCTTATGAAGAACAATCAATTTAAAAAAAATTTCATTCTTGAATGAAGGGAAAAAACTCTCATGAGGAGACTCAGAAACTGACATTCTTCCCAAACAAATATTGTGTCTTCAGGGAAGAGCAGTAATTCTTCTGATAAGCTTGCTTAAAAAATGAGATTCTGCTTCAATGGTTATCATCTTGAGAGGACAGTAGTGTTTCTTCTCAGAAAAATAACTCATTAATTGGTTCTGGGCAAAATAATTTTGTTCTTGTGGGGAAAAACTAGTATTCTTCCAACAAGAATCAGACATATATGAGATTCTTCTCATGAGAATTATTAACCTTGGGAGGAGACCCACAATTCTTTCCTTAAATGAATATCATCTTGGGAGGAGAGCAGGGTTTCTTTTCAGAAGAATACACCATTAAATAGTTCTTAACAAAATAATTTTGTTCTTGTGGGAAAAAACTAGTATTCTTCTGACAAGAATCAGACATAAACAAGATTCTTCTTATAAAAATTCTTAACCTTGAGAGAAGACCCATAGTTCTTTCCTCAAGAACCAGCTTTCTTCTCTTCAGATTCTCCTCTGGGGACAAAGAATTTGAAACAATAAATTCTTCCCTGAAGAGGCATGAATCTTTCAGAAAGAATTTAAATTCTGCTCAAAAGAACTGAAGTTAAAAGCGATTTAGAGTGTGTCCGTGTAAACAGTGCCTCAGACTCTTTGTCCCCAGAGGAGATATATAATTCTGAGGAGAAGAAATCTGGCTCTTGAGGAAAGAACTGTGGGTCTTCTCCCAAGGTTAAGAGTTCCCATGAGAAGAATCTCATGTATGTTTGATTCTTGTTAGAAGAATACTAATTTCTCCCCAAAGGAACAAAGTTATTTTGTCAAGAACCAGTTAATTAGGTATTCTTCTAAGAAGAACTGCTTCTCTCCTCCTAAGATAATATCCAAGCTTATCAGAAGAATTACTGCTCTTCCCTGAAGAACTAATATTTGTTTGATATTCCAAGGGGAATAAATTAATTAGCCCCAGGCCTACATGCTGTGCCTGGCTTGATGTTGACAGACATTTAGTTGACACTTTATATTGTGTTTCACTCCTTTGTTTGTTGTAGTTATTGCTTGCCCTCCTTCCCACCCCAGGGGCTTTCCTTGAGCCCTTAGGGGCTTCTTGTTTCCTCATTAAAGATGCCCAAACAGATTCACTGTCTCATTTGTTGGTGGTGTCGTGCGAGTGGGGTGTGGCAGGGGGATAATGAATGTCAGTTTCTGAGTCTCCCATGAGAATTTTTGTCCTTCACCCAAGAATGAATATTCGGTTTTAAATTGATTGTTTTTCTCCAAAGATTGACTTTGCTTGTGTAAAGAATCACTTTCAAAAGCATTCATGCTGAGAAAGTCTTTGTGCTCCTCTGAGCTCTGAATATTCTATTGAGAAGAATCTTTTCCTTTTACTGGGTTTTGTTGAGTTATTGAGAGGATTGATTTTCCTCTAACAGACTAACACAGTTAATTACATTGAAAAGAATCTCATTCTATTTGGTTTTATTTTTTAGCAAACAATCAACATGACAGAAAATCAACTTACATATTCATAATGTATGCATCAAGTTATCAATGAACAACTATATCAACATTTACTGTATTGACAACATTCACTGTTTATCTAGATATCTCATTCTTTGTATCCTAAATAATATCATATCTCTTTCAATTCATACCCCATATTTTTGGTTCTATTTGTTAACATACAATTTGCATTAAATATAATTAACTTACATATTCACAATAACATGATGTATACATCAAATTATCAATGAACAACAATCCCAACATTCATTGTATTGACAACTTTCAATTTTGTACCATAAATTTATCATTCTCTGTATATTAATTATAAATATATCTTTCCCAGATCATACCCCGTACCATTCATTGACTGTTACAATCTGCAAGAAAAGCAGTAGTTGTACATATGTGAATTAGTAGCATGCCAGTTGCAACCCTTAGTCCTTTCCTATGATCTCTTCTCTAGCTGAGCAATCCAGTACTGTTCTGTTCACAAACATAGTTGAAAGGGGAAGGGGTATGCTTAATTATGAATTATACAAAAAGAGCTTAATTTTGATGGAAAATTGAAGCCTTCAAGTACATAATTTGGCCCCACTCAGTTGTAATTTATCTTAACTTCAAGCTCTGCAACTGAAATTAAACTTGCCAGTCCTGCAATTAGTGCAGTATGAACAGGGTTCAATCAGTTGCTCGTATGAGGTCCAAACAAGGAAACAACAACCTAATGTTCAGCGCATTCTTTTGGGGTTGTGCCTAAATCCTACTGGCTAGAGGTACACTGGAGGAGTGCTAGTGATGAGTTACTAAGTTGGGTGATTATTGGAAATTGTCGGAAATTGCATTACAGACTTTGCCAGTAACACCATTAGCAATTTACCTACAGTCAAGTGAGGTGATTGAACCAGACATGAACATTATAACATGCTATACATGTGAAGAGTACATTGTTGAGTTTAAATCAAGGAAATTTTGTTTGGCTGTTTCCTTCACCCTTGTCAATCTTAAGTTTCTTGTTCAGCAGAGTTTTAGCTGAACACTGTAGCTGCTAAGACTTAAACTTGCAAGGGTAAACAAAACTTGTGAATAGTATTGCCATCATAATGCCCTTGTCATAGTGCTACTGATTAGAAAGATCCCCAAGATGAAATTTCTATTGTCTTGTACATCTAGCTGTTAGGATCTCAGGAGGCTTAGAAAATACTTCCAGCTAGAAGTACAGCTTGCATATTTAGTCAACGTTGCCCAATTGTTACAAAAGTTTGCTTGACATTTTATTTTTTCTGCACTCCAAATTAGTCTTACACTCCTTCGAAACACTTTTTTCAAGAATATGTATAAATTAACTAATTTTATTTTGGTCTTGTACCTCTAGCCAGTAGGATCTAAAGGGGCTTATAAAATAATCCAGGCTAGAGGTACAGCTTGCATATTTAATGGTCTTAATGCCCAATTTTTATTACAGTTTGCTTTGAATTTTACTTTTTGGCATTCCATTTGTGTTTGATTAAAAGTACCGTTGACAAGGCCAACCATTGTCTGAAATACTAAAATCAACTCATCTTTAAGTAGTCATAGGATAGCATGATTTTAATTCACTAAATTGACATTTTCCCTTTGTATTTTCAATGATATTTAACAGCATGTATGACTGTATGAAAACCTTAAAGCAAGTTATTCTTGAAAATATAAAATTGTCATCTACTATATATACAGAATTTATACAATTATATAACTAAAATGAGATTAACCTGTACCTGTGTTATTTTTGATAAAAAGTGCTATTATTAAAAAGAAATCAAACTTTTCTTATTTGAACATCAACCAGAAACCCTTTGCTTATTGCCTAATAATACCTGCTTTAACGAATATAGGCGATCCTTGCAGTTATGAACACTAATGAACTAGTAGTTGAAATAAATACCTGCTTTAGTTTCAGCTGATTCCCCATAAAGAGTCATTGGATGCTCAAAGCTTGTGTGCTGTGCCATCAAATATTAGCAGTGGTAAGTACATGACCAAGGAAGAAGAAGATCTTCTTGAAAAAAAAAGGATTCCAATGTAGTATAAGACTAACATGGAATGCTAAAAAGTAAAATGCAAAGCAGACTGTAAAAAAATTGGGTAAAGTCAATTAAATATGCAAGCTGTACTTCAGTATTTTCCAAGCTTCTTAAGATCCTACTAGCTGGAGGTTATAGACTGAATAAGAGAGAACAATTTGTAAATGTATTTATGAAAAAGTGATTCCAAGGAGTGTAAGACTAGTTTGGAGTGCAGAAAAGTAAAATGAGCAAACCCCAGTAAAAATTGGGCAAATTTGACTAAATATGCAAGCTGTACCTCTTGCTGGTAGTCTTTTCTAAGCCTCCTAAGATCCTACCAGCAAGAGTTTAACAAGACCAAATAAAAGAACAAAAATTCAAATATATTTTAACAAAAATGACTCCAAAGAATGTAAAACCATAAGTTGGAGTTAAGAAAAGTAAAATGTGGAGCAAACCATAATTAAAATTGGGCAAAGTCCACCAAGTATGCAAGCTGTACCTGTAGTTGGTAGTTTGCTCTAAGCCCCCATAGATCCTACCAGCTAGAGGTGCTTTTTACAGTGTATTCGTTGTTAGAACTGTTTTTTCAGCTGCTGTATTGTTGTTGAGGTGGCGAAAGAAAACCTTTTTAAAACATCGGCCATTGTGTCGCTCGCAAATTTTCAGCGTATCCAAATGTTGCGACATCTAAGGCTGGTACTCGATTGGCTATGTGTGAGTTTCTTTCATTATTGACCAATCAAAATGTCTGGTTTGTACTACTTTGCACTGAATTAACCCTCTCTTGCACTGAATTACCTGGAAACTGCATTTATCTTAACCAATCAGAATTGAGTAATTTTTTCATGTATATTATTAGTAATGGAAATCTAAACAAGGTAAAAACAGTACCATATTGCAAAATTTGGTCATATTACAACTGAGGTCACATTGTGTAAATTTTTATTGAGGTTCAAAAAGAACGACTCTATTGTCAATGCTGCTTTTATAATCACAAACCATCTTAAATTATGTTTTAGTGGTTGCGTACATGTTCCACACTGGTAAAAAGCAAAACAGAGACACATGCCAGAGTACAGTCAGCTAATTACCCATCCGGTGACTTTGCTGATGGCTTGAACGGTGGGAAATTACTTTCTGAGAAAGTGAAAAGCCCAGTGTGTTCATACAACGAATGGGATCCTCTTGAAGAAGTCATCGTGGGACGCGTTGAAGGTGAATTTGTTAAACTGGAGTGCTGTCTAGTGACACCCCTTCCTAGCTTTCTGAAAGAAGTTCACTCTGTGTCAGTACCAAAATAACTCTTAATCTATGAATATGTGTGAGCCAGTGAATGATCCAAGTGCTAAGTGACACATCGAGTAATGTCTTTGCTTTACTCTCTTTCTTCAGGGGCAACCGTGCCCGAGTTTTCGATAGAAGTAAAAGCAAATACTCATGAGAAAAACTGGCCGTTTTTCAATACTTTTGGCGGCCAATCGTTTCCTGTATTACATCTTAAAAAAGCGCATCTGGAAATCGAAGAATTCTGCAACATTCTACGACACGAAGGAGTGAAAGTTCGCCGACCTGAACCAATTGACTTCTCAAAGGTAAGAAAAAAAAATCTTATCTCTCCTTACTTAAGGAGTTGAAAGAAGAAACATGGCTAAATTAGGATTTAGTTTATTTATTCATTTATTTAAGGATTTGTACAAAGCAGTACCGGAGCAAAAACAATAGGAAATAAGTCTCTAACTAGGTTTAAGCTCCAACCCAACCCCTCCTCTGTAAAATAACTGAATAATATAAATAGACTAAATAGGTTGCTTAACAAGTGCACGCAACAAGGGTATTTACCAAGCGACATTTAGGAAAAATTATTTTAAAGGTACGGAAGTTGTCGCCACCCAAAACGTTGAAAAGTCTCTTGAAATAAAACGAGTGTATGGGTAGCATCATTTACAGCCCGACTGATTTTGTTTCAAGTTGTGTTATAATATGCTTAAGTTATCACAATGTAACATAAAATGTCACTTGGAGTGATATTAAATACTTAGGCTCAATTTTTATATTGTTAAGAGATGATGAGCTCATGGTCTCTTGTTTCCATTTCATAAAGAAATCTGTGTAAGAGTGCTCGCCTGGTTTTTTTTTTAGTAGATGGACATCTAGAAATGAATAGAAATACCCTGTATTTAATTTATGATTATATGATTTTTTATGATTTTGACCCTGCCCCCTCCCATTCCATCTCTCGAGGAGCACAGCGCAGTGTTTTTTTTTAATTATAGTGCAAGCGGCAAGAACATGTAGGCGCCAGCGTAATCTGTTACAAAATTAAGATCAGTGTATTCTATGGACCAGTGTTCTACTTTTCACCCTCTTCTAGTTGTTTGCACAATTTCTAGTTCATTGATGACATTCTCACCTTCTCACCCATCGCTGCTTCCACTGTAGAAAATGTACTCATTGTCTGACTGTTACTTTCACACTCACTGTCCGATGCACTTCAAAAAGATGTCAGACTCCTTATTATTCAAATTAAAAAAAGAAAGCCCACCCCCAACTACTTTCAAACACCTCTGACTCTTCATCTTTCACAACAACCTAACCCCCCTTGAATTGTTCGGGTATAAAAATATCCGAAGGGAGTTCTAATAAAGTGAATGGCAGGAAAATGAAAGGAGGAACTATAATTGAGTTATGTTTTCAGGCTTGGCTTAAACTAAAATTTAAATGTCTTCACCAGGTCTATAAAACTCCTGACTTCCAATCATCCGGGTTATACGCAGCCATGCCACGTGACATTCTGCTTGTGGTTGGCGACGAAATCATAGAGGCGCCTATGGCATGGCGGTCTCGATTCTTTGAGTACCGTGCCTACAGGTCCCTGCTTAAGGAATACTTTAGGGGTGGTGCTAAATGGACGACTGCACCTAAACCCCTCATGAGCGACGACCTATATGATGAGGTACGGGCTTGATTGATTATGAATTTTTTCGCTTAAAAAAGATCTTGTTTTGCGGCTGCTTAGGAGATTGTCAGAATTTTTTTGCGTTATTTTATCGCCATATAAGTAGCTTGTTTAAAGTAAAATCACTGAGTGAAATTTGGTTTTTGCCGTCATAACTTTTAGAACTATGCCATACGGTCAGTGGAGGACCGCCACAAGCTGGCTGCTTCGGGAAAGTTTGTTACCACAGAGTTTGAACCCTGTTTTGATGCCGCTGATTTCATCCGAGCAGGCCGTGATATATTCGTTCAAAGGAGTCAGGTAAAACAAATATATCACTCCCAAAAAAACTCTCACTGCTTACTGTCAATAATGAAGTCCTCTACTCAGCCTTATGCTCTTTTTGCGTAAGATATATTTACACGGTACACTGATCATAAGCCGGATATGGATTCCTATAAAGGCGGAAAGTAATTCACAAGTTAAGAAGTATTCAGATAAAAGGTCTCGGACAATGCATTTATTTCTTTGATTCCATGTCAAACAAAGTATTTCAATTCTTTACCTTGTAAATAATCTTATGAAATATGGTATTGTTTTGTCTTAGTCATAAAAAGAAAGATATCTGAGTGCCCCTATTCCCTAATTTGCCATTTTCCTCATCATATTTACTCACAATCGTAACAAGACGAGAAACAGCTTTCTCCATTTGACAAGCGAGATTTCGTATTCTACTCGATAAATAGTCTGCCGCCTCGTTCGTTGCAACAGGTCACAAACAACCTGGGCATTGAATGGATGAGGCGACATCTTGGAGAGCGTGGATATCGTGTGCATAAATTATCCTTTGATGATCCTAATCCGATGCATATTGACGCTACCTTCAACGTCATTGGACCCGGATTGGTTCTATCCAATCCTGACCGGCCTTGTCATCAGATCGAGCTGTTCCATAAAGCTGGGTGGACTGTGGTCAAGCCACCATTGCCTCTCATACCAGACACACACCCCCTGTGGATGTCGTCCAAGTGGTTGTCCATGAATGTCCTCATGTTGGATCCGACAAGAGTCGTGGTGGATAAAAACGAGACAACTACACAAAAGGTGAAATAATACTTGATTTGATGGGTAAGAAGTGGAACAAATTGCAGATGAGGTTTTCACTTCGAAAGTTAATTTTATTCGCTATACCCCAAGATATCGCGCTGTTACTGAGTTTGAGCATGATAATTACGGCTACGGCAAACAGCAAAATTCGAAATAAAATCTAATTTTATTTACTTACCTTAAAAATTTTTTAATCAACCCTATAGAAGAGTAAAACAAGATGTCTTGTTCACAGCTAATGCAAACTTGAATGTCTTCACTCCGAGTTACAAACGGCTGAATGCATATTGTTAGAGTTTTGTCGGTTTCACATTTGACGTTTCTCCTAAAGAGTATCCATGAACTCTTTCATTTTTAAGTCGGAGGTCATGGTCTTAAAAAAGAATGAAACGTTGAAATAAAGACTTAATTTTTTTTAAAAATATTAACACGGATTTCAGATAAGAGACTTAAAATTTGGAATTACGTTTTAGAGGTACAAAAACCATGATTTGATTTCATTAATTCCTAGGTCTGTAAGGTTCACATGTTTTTGATAACACAATCACTAGTAAACCTCATTAAAACGAACCACACATTTTTTTAAATTCCACTGAATTTTTATTGTTCGACGATAGTCACCACATGAACTTCTGATGCATATGAGAAGTTGAAGATAGCTCTGAATCCCAACTACAGAGTATTACACGCTGCAAAGCATCTGCTAGCGCTGGAAGCTAAATATGATAACGCTTGCACGTATCCAGTTATTTTTAACGCTTGTACGTGTCCAGTTAACTATGCGTGCTCTCTTTGTTTTAGAGCATATTGGTGTTAGGAAGTGACGTGTTTTGCTTAAACGCTATACTCGTTTTCAACAGATGTTCGAGAATCTTGGAATCAAATGTGTTCCTGTCTCTATCCGCTTTGCCAACTCTCTTGGCGGAGGTTTCCACTGCTGGACATGTGACGTCAGGCGTCGGGGAACCTTGGAGTCGTATTTTTAACTCTAACAGAAAAAGCCTTTTTTAATTGTACGCATACATATTTTAGTCTGCTCGCCTGCTTGAATGAAACGTTCAACATGTACCACGTTTTTCATATGTTTTAGCCTTTGGTCAGTAAATATGGTGACATGGTGGTGCGATTTTCTGTTCCTATTAAAGATATATTAAATGTGATTTGTTGTCTCGTTTGTACTATTTAAAGCTTAGTTGTCTTGATCGTCCTAGTTGAGAGAGCACTTACGAGACAGCTCAACTTTATAAAAAATGATACTGATTAACCGACAAAAAAGAACTAAAAAAGAACAAAAAGAGATAGGGGATAGAAAAGAAAAATCCAGTTTTTGAAGTCTCGTCAAAAATTTATTGGGAACATACCAATTTCAGCAAAGAAGTTATGGATTGCTACAGGAGGAGAAAGTGAGTTCTGTTGATTTCTCTAATAGGAAATGAAACAATTTTGATGTAAAAAATTTGTGTGCAGATGTGACACCGAGCTGAGAGAATCGCTCTGGTTACAAGTTTCTATGCAGAGCACGCCATTCTTCATTAAGATCTCTTTAAAAGATTGAACAATTCCACTGTAATTTGGCACCCAAAAAGCTCGCTTTTGTCTGTAGATTTTTACTCAGAGCTAAAACTTCAGAGAACTATTGGCAGTGTTCCTCAAAATAACCAGCAACACTCTGTTTCTTTTCCTCTTTTTTGAATATCATCCTGAGTTAGTAAAAACCCGCATGAAGAGTACTAGTAATTCCCCGGGGGAGGGAGGGGTACTTCCGTAGAAAAGGTCTGGTACCGCTGTGTGGGGTCGCATTTTTTACTGCTGGATGCTTTTTTTAGAGTCACTAGGATGGGGCTACACAATTTCGGGGTTTTGGGAGTAAGAAATTCTGGTAAGAGGGAATTTAAAAATGGAAAGATTCGCGGTTAAAAAGTCGTTAGACTTGGGGAATAGACAAATGGACTGTCATGAGAGGCCAGCAGCGCCTACCAAGCATCAAATTGACCAAAGTAACCTCCCCTCCCCCCGGGAGTAATTTTTACTCTTAATGAACTCCCACTTTAAGTCGATTGAAATGCTCAGATTTAAATTCTTTATCTTGTCATCTTACCACGTTTCACCTGCGGAGAAGAAGTTTGAAATTTGGCAATTTTTTTGTGTACTATAACGCACAGGATGGGGTTTAAAGAAATACGATAAAAAAAGCGTTGGAAACGGCCAGAAGAGACCACGCAGGCATGGAGTAAGGTAACGAGGTTTTAAAACACGTTTAATTTCTCGCGTTGTTTATCATTGTTATTTTTTTTTCTGTTCTATTTATTTTACGCCACGCGTGAACCCTTAAAATTCAATCTAAATTTACCCCACAATCGGCACATTAGATATTCCTGTTTATGACCTTAAAACCCAGAAATCACACATAGTACGCTTAAGGTTCGCCTGTGGTTCTATTAAAAGACAATATGCACTTTAGATAACAAAAGCACACTTGGAAAGGGTGGATTAATTATTGTACCCTCATCCTCAAAGAACTTCAGCTGTTTTCAAATCACGCACCCTACACCCATTAGGAATATTTTGCTCACCGATAAACAGAAATACTGAATGTGGACGGAGATCGCGAGATTTGACGAGTATTTTACTTGTTTTTTTTCAAATCTGGCCGAGTTTCCCGAGCGATAGCATAATTCATCCACACAGCCGTCATAAGTGGAGAGGTTTTGCAGTTATGACTCGTCGCTTGTATTTGAATTTCGTTGTAACTTTAGTTGAAGTCGTATCTCTAACAACTGGCGGTGATTTCAACGTTCCTGTTGGTCATTTGAAGCCGTTAGGATCTCACAGGCCGCCAGAAATAAACTTAGTGGACGATTTACAAGAAGTGCCGTCTCCTCAAGAATTCTGGACTAAATATGTTCGACCCTCGAAGGCTGTTGTGTTGCGCGGAGCCGCCAAACTTGGGAGAGCATTTACTGAATGGACTGATAAGTATCTCAAGGAAAATTTTGCAGATTTAGAGGTTCGGCTAGAAGGAAAGAAAGAAAAGAGTTCTAAAGTTCCGATCGGAGCAAAGGGAGTCGGTAGGGATACAATTGGTGAGTTAAGAAGTTTACATCTTTTTTTCATTAATTTCAAAATTTTAAGGAATATTTAATGGACTTGGAGTTGGAGTAAAATTTCAATCCTTGCACTTATTCTCAGTAGAATGTTGATACACGCCACAAAACAGAAGCATCAGTATTGCATACAGGATTTTGTTACTGCTCTGATTTGTAATATTTTAATCACTAGAGCGAATAAAACAATCAAACCAATTGTGTGTTATAAGACTTTTTTTCTGGCACAAGAATCAAGCAATAATTGATTCTCAAATATGAATACTTTAATTGAAAAGAAGGATCCTTCGAGGCTCTCAACCTTTAGGGTAAGTGCTCTAAAGATAATCTTGGTGGGTATGTCAACTGTTCAAGGCCCATCTGATTGTTAATTCTATCCCTCTTTACCTGCTTCACATTTCCTTGTACATTAGTGATTTGAATTTGATGTGAAATCAAAAAACAACTTTTACCTGATAAGTTAGAGTATTGTCATCACCTGTTTGCTTGCTAATGTATGGATATGACACGGAAAGTTACATGTTTAAACACTTCTGGGAGTTTAAGGGTTAGTTGTTCCCCCTGCAAACTGCAAACTTGTTTCAAAGTTCCAAAAATTTGCAAATTCTTCTCAAATGAAAAATAGCTTTCAGACCAACTTCTATTACTTGTTCTGATTTCAGTCCAGTGTGATTATTTTCCTTCTTGTTTTTAAAGGAAACTTCATCAATAACTACCATAAAGAAAACAATAATCTCTACATTGTCTCGGAACTCCCTACTCCCATGTGGCGTGATGTGACAGTCATTCCCCCCCTGACTTGTGGCCTTTTGAAGGACAGACTTGTGGAAGTAGATTTATGGATGAGTGGGGGAGGCACCAAAAGTATACTCCACAAAGATGCGTACAATGCTATCAACTGTTTATACAATGGTACCAAGGAATGGAAACTGATAGAGTACAAATACGAAGATAAGATATACAAAGCATGGGAACCTCCACAAAATGTTGGTGGATTTTCACGCGTAAATATTCAGCAAGTTGATCTGTTGAAGTATCCTAAGGTTTCTGAAGTCCCCTGGTCCATTGTTACCATAAATGCTGGCGACTGCCTCTTCTTACCGAAAAGTAAGGTGGCTCTTAAAGTTAAGTTACTGTTTTTTATTTGCTGAAATGTTACTCTCATTAAATATTGTGATATCATGAAATGGTGTGTTTTTTTCTCAATGGATTCAAGATTGTAGCTAGCCACAAAACCTTAAAAACATATTTTTAATATTAATTGAAAATTTCTTGACTTATAGGTAAAAGCAACTCACCTCATTACTTTATATGTTATTCAGCTTTGGAAACACATTGCACCTGTTAAAATGATAGTTAAGAATTTGATCTTCAGACTGGTGTTCCTGTAGTTTGTCTAACTTTTGACTTATGTAACTTGAAAACAATTTTACTTTCTGAGATCATTAAAGAAAACTAATTGAAAATAGCTTACTCAGACATGTTCCAGGTTTCAAATGAATTCATCACCATTATAGTATGTTGACCTAATAGATTTGTTTGAACTGAAAGTTTTGAGATACATTTCTATTGAATGTTGTTTTCTTAAATGCCAAAATAATATTCTATTCAAAGGTTACTATCACCAGGTGAATTCATATGGTACCAATAATGTGGCTGTAGCCTTGTTGTTCTCCCGGCTGGATGGTGTTGATGACATTGATTTCACTGGCTGTGATGAGAACTTAAGTTTCAAACCTCTGAGTGAGATGGAGTTAGACTGGGAATACCCTGGACATGGCAATCTGAGTATGGGTAACACAGACTTGGAGTCAGTTAGGTATTCAATTGAACTTTATTTTTGTTTTTATTTTCTGTTTGGTAATAAGGGTTAATTTGGGAATTTGGAAACTAAAGCCAAAGTTTAACATTACTAATGCTCTTATTTGGAACTTACTGGACCTAATCAGGAGGAAAAGTTTCCAAGAGGAATTTGATAAGAAATGAAGGTTTTGCTGTGACAGCTTCTTTAGTGGTAATAGGCTTAAGAATAGTCCAGTTCTGCCTGTAATCATACAAGAGAGTATAATTATGTCTACCTAGTTGGAAGACACAAGGTCCTGTTACCAATTAATCAAAACTGTGACAAAATTGGATCAACAAAGTAGCTTTTGGTTAATATGTGTTTTCAAATCAACAGTTAACTTGGGGAAAAAGGAAACAGCACCAAATGACACATATTGTCAAATTTCACTCCAACCACAGGCTTCATGCATGTGTGGCACTTAATTTTCATTTCAGTTATTTTCTAATTTCAACTAGTTAATGTTTTCTTAACAACTGGTTGTAGATTCTTTTTACACCATAAATAGTGGGTCACTTTTTATTATTTCTGCATCAGATATGACAAAATTATAGTTGACACTAATAATGTACCTGTTAACAACTGTGTCAAGCTTAGTATAAATGCTGCCTTAATGTCCTTAGGTAGGGAGAGGGAGGGGGCAGAAGTTATCTTTAGTATGTAGACTTAGGCTCTCAGATACATGCTTCCCATTGCTCTAACATGCCACCATAAGGATAAGCTCTGTGCAAATTTTAGCAGTATGTGTGTGTCCCACTCGCTGCTAAAGAAAACAAACTTTTCTCTTGGTTAATTTAGTGGCATGCCATTTTTTTTAATATCAAGTAAATACAGCTCCTCATTCATTCAATAATGCTATGAAAAGCCTTTCAGTGACTCAGGTCCATAGTTTAAGAGTGAGAGTGTGGCATATCAAGGGCAATATAGTAACTAAGTGTTGACTTCTGTTTGATGTCACACATTAATGAGATAAGTGCTCTGGGGATGATGATTTAAACTTCACATTGTTATTTACTCTAGGGAAGGTATGCTGGACTTTTTTGGAAAGGATGAAAAGCTTGATAAAGATGGAATTTTAAGAAAAATCCAAAACGTCACAGAGGTAGATGAGGTAAGGAGAGTGTACCACTCGCATTTTTATTAATTGCTCTGAATTTAAACAAATGATGTTACACAAGAATTTCATATTGGAATCTTAGATACCCTTTGCTGATGTTTATGGGCTTTGGTTGTGATTTTTAGGGATGCTATGTTATTTTAGATTGGTTTGCTGTGAAGTTAAAAATTTCCTTCAATGTGACAAGTAGCCCTTTTGAGGTCCCTGTGAGTGATGTTTGAGACAGAAAAGATGTAAAATCTCATAAATCATATTTTTGCAAAGTGACCCCCACTGGTGAGCTGTTATTATAAATCTGAAATGGCAGAAAAAGTAGCCTTCAAAAATAATAAGCATTTCAAGTTGTATGATCAACAGGAGCATTTTGGATTATTATGTGTGTCAGGTGAGACTCACTTATTATGTCTAAAAATTGGCAAGGCATATGATTGTGAAGAGAGTTTACTTTTCCCTGAAGGTACACAAGCTATATAGCTATGTTGAAGGAGTCAGGCAACAGGCTTTAATGGTCAGTATAACATTTTTTCATTGAAATTCAAACCTCTGGTATCTGGAAAAAATATTCCTGGTCCTTAGAAAGTTTCATTAAATGAGTCTTGCCATATAAACCTCCTTGAGGTATTAGGGGAAGAATTCATTTTAGATGCTAAGGGCTTCAGGTATTGCCATGATAAAAAGTTAAATATACATGGGACAACAGAAATCCTTTTGATTTTCAAGTTGTCTCTCGCAACCTTTTCCCACTATATTCCAATTTGTGTCTCTATGGGGCATTTGTAGCTGTCCAAAGCCCATCTGGGGAGGGAGAGGGGAATGGTGCTTTGGTCAATTTTTACTGGGTATGTGCAGCTAACCCATTATAGTCTATTCTTTGGGCAATTATAGACCCCACCTTAGTTGCTTTTGGTCTTATGGTTACAATTTTTAACTGCAAATCTTCCTATATTCAAATCCCTACTTACCAGAATTGTCTTACCATTGTAGAAACTGTAATGGAAATGTGACCCCATTATAGTCAATATACATGGTCTTTATGTATGGTGTGATGGCATCTTAGCAGCCAATAATTTGCAATGTAATGCTTTCATTTTAATTTGAATTGTATTCCAGTTTCAGCCAGTCTTGATTTCTTCATGGCCTGATATGTCATTTTCAGTCACAAGAATGATTTTTTTTAATTGATGAAAATGCTTTATTTGGCTGGCAGATGTTTGATTGGCTTGGTGGTAACAAAAAAGGATTTATAACCAAACAAGAGGTTTTGAAGCTAACCCGTGAACAAATGAGGCAAACTGTTCTTGCGTTTGAAGGAACAGACGTGAGTAACACAGAGGAGGCAGAGTATGGAGTCATTGATGTAGCAAATGTCAGGTAAATACTCATATCTCTTGTTTAAGTGAGGATGATTTTTGAGGGATTTTTATCAAAGTCATGCAGAACTTTCCACATCCCAAGGTAGCCCTAAGGGACCGGTCGTTATTTACAGTGGGGGGTTGGAGTTGGGGGAATTTGTTTGTGTCACGATATAATTTACTTTATTTCTCCTCCCTTAAGGCTCTGTAATATCCTTATGACCCCCCCCCCCCTTTGGCAATCAATTTCGCTTTCTCCCTCTTTATGCTCTGTTGACATCGACTGACCCCAAACCCCTGCACCCTCTGAAAACCCCCAAAATCTTCCAACCCCCTCCAAGTCATAACTAATGAGTGTTCCCTATGTATCTTTGATTAAACCCCAGGGATGTGATTAGGGAACTGTTGGCTCTTGATGGTCTCGTGTCAAGGGACAAGTTTATCCGAGCTTATGTGGAGGTGAGTGTTAGGAGGCTTGCTATGTATGTGTGGCATGCCGTTTGACAAGTGCTTGCGTGTCGTTCCTTCTGCTATTTTTCCTGCTTTTTTGGTGTATTTCTTTTCTTTCTCCGCACAGTTATCACGTCAAAAAACACACCTTTCTTTTTGAGCTCTTGGAGACTGTTTTATTTTTGTAAGATTTTGGCTTGGTTAGCCTTTTTTGTTTTGAGAAATGTTTTCTTTAGTTTTCGTAAATGTTAGCCATACATTCAATGAAGAAACAGCACCATGTTTCAGTTTACTTCCATTTACTTTTTTACGTTCATGCACTTTTATGACAACTTTTTTTTCCCCTTAACCAGGCTACACAGGGAACCGAAGTTTTTGCAGAGCTTGTAAGTAGACTACGGTTTAGAAGTTTAGTCTTTGCTGATTTTCTGTTTCTCTCTCAGAAATAAGAGAAGCTTCCAGATTTATAATGTAAGCGTCCACCAAAAGCGAACCTTTGATTTCTTCAGGCTTTTACTCTTATAAGTAATTTAAAAACTTCCAAGTGCAGCGTTTTAAGTTACGTTCAACAGAATGGAATTTCCAGATTGAAAGCCCTTTTCTGGTTTGGTCAATTTAGCACACGGTCTGTTTCTAAAAACATCCATTTAAGGGAAAAATAAACGACACTATTTGCATACCACTGCCAGCTCCTTTTCGAACGGCAGTTAGATGATCTTAGACAATCGACAGCTTTGGAGGTCATCGCTAGTTTAATCAATGTGTCTTAAAATAATTTTAATTTCTTAATTTTGATTTTAGATTTTTAATAAACTGCGCAACGAGACAAACGTCTCAGACCAGGTTACTAAGCAGGAAGTACAAAATAACCTGCGCCGTGCCATCCAGCGGTTTCTTGAGTGGGGGAGAGAGCCGGAAATCCCCCCGGGAATGGATAGTCCGGAGCCAAATGACGCTTACATGGAGGATGATGAAGATGATAGTGATAACGATGATGAGAACGAGGAGACGGAATGGAAAACAAAAAGTGATGATACACACCAAGAGTTGTAGAATTTTTCTGATTATGAAAAATGAGCGGCGATCTCGAAATTTTTTGTTGATGGAAAGTTTTCACTAACCTAATTTCGAAAGCCAGTAATTAGAAAAACCTCTATATACCATATTTATTGATAAAGTCCCGGATATTCTCAACTCGCTGTATATGAGATGAAAGAGTGAGTCAGCCAATCGGAGTGCAGGCTTAACATTAAGATACTAACGCAATTGTAGTACACAACTTAAATGAATAAAAGTTGCTTTCAAAATTAGGACCAAAAATGTCTTCAGGGTTTTGTTGGTCATATTGTAACTCTTCTAGAAAACTAATTTTTGGCAATTCCTTTTGTTTGAAAAATTTGATCAGTGTTTTGTCCTAAACCCTGGTTTACACTTCATTGTTTTCTTAGAGAAAAGAGCTAATGCTTGCTGTGTTCAGTGTTCGGGAATAAATGTTGCCAAATTGCAATCAGCTTTACATCGCAAGCCATCCATTACGAGAATAAGAAAACTGGTAACAAATCAATGAGAACTCGATCAAAATTTAAATATTCTATCTTTCTACAAAACTTATCTATAGCAACATTATTTCGAATACAAAGTCCTGTCGGAAGTTATTTGAAAGGTTTCGTGGCATTTAATGCCAAAAATGTACCAGCCTGGAAACGGAAAAAACTTACATCAATGCCCTTATTCAGAGATTAAGTTCTGGGGCCACTTGATTATGTGGCATCCAAATTGGAACTTCCGGGTACGTAAACAGATTGCAACCCTGCAGTATAACCAGTTTCACAGATCAAATCGAATTACGACCATACAATTTAGCTGGCTATCTTTTCTAATACTGGGGTTAGAATGAACACAAGGATTGCCTAACCCTGTACTAGGTCCCTCAAGGGACATTTTGTTTCGCGTGGCCTCGATCTTTGTAGTTGTTGATGTGTGAGATACAGAGGTAAAAGTGCTTCGCAAATTCTTTTGTAGTTGTATCTTTGCACCTTTCTTCTCTCCATGAAAGGCCAAGGAGATCATTGATTTGTGTGGGAAAGTGAAAATGACCGCACATTCCGGAAGGTACAAAATTTTAACGAAAACCTTTTATTTCCAATTTGTGGGTTTTTGGATCTGTTTCTCACGCAACAATGAAAAAGATCGAAGCTACGCGAAACAACATGCCTCTTGGGGACCTGGTACAAGGTTGGTCAATCCCAGCATTTATTTAGACGCAGTATTAGCAAAGTAGCGTCTTAAACAGATGAAGCACTGTAGCTCCTCTTATTTCTTTGCGCATCTGCTTGTACGCATCGAATTTTTTGGTGATTTTTCTGCTCATTAAATGTACATATGCGCGCGCATATATGTCTAATTAGCGAAGAATAGGTAATTAACATCATTACTTCTTGTTGCGTAATACTCATTTTTCCCTTAACTAACATTGGCATAAATTCAAGCTTTAGGACTATGTAGCAGTGGAAGTCGCCATCAGTATGAGTGAAAGCGCCGAATCAAGTAAACCTCCCATTGAACATGACAGCACCACCGATAGTGAGGATGACAACGGTGATTCAGATTTTGACCCTGAAGAAATTGAGAAGGAGATACTGGGAGTGAAAAGTTTGTTAAGAAGACAATGTGCTCGGCACAAGGTAAGTGAATAGTTCATGTGAGGCGCAAAAACATCAGTTACTTATTTAAGCGCCGCATATTTCCACTTTTGGCATTGCTGCAAGAGCTTTCCACTGAACTCTAACATTAAATTGCGAACTTGAGTGAGTTTTTTAGGGATGGAGTTTTTTTGTTCTTAATCTGTCGTTAAGCATGCTCGTTCAATCTTTCCTTAAAAGAAGGAAAAAGGTATTTTTTCCTGGACTGGAAGAGCTGACACTCTCGGCCTGATCCCCACACCGATCCGTTGCTCTGCCACAGTGTTCCAGGAAGTTGATAATTGAATTTAAAATATTTCGAGAAATTCCTTCCTTTTACTCTCCTTGATATTAATCCTTCCTTTCACAGGACGTTGCAACCTTGAAGAGTGAACACAAAAATTGGCTAAAAGGAGTAATTTCACAGCTAGACCATTCAAATAACCTGGAGGGTGAAGACTTACAGGACACAATTCAGATGGTCAATAGAGCTGAGGAAGGTGAAAGAGCTCGCCGAATGTCGATACCTTTTTCAGCTGATGTGGAAGAAACCGAGCTGGACATTTCTATTCAGAGTGGACAGTTATCAAATGTTCATATGGAACTTCTACACCTCTTTGCCATTCACGATGTAAGCTGACTTTTTGTTTTTCTTGCTGCCGGTTGTTCGCTGTTCTCTATCCACAACAGAGTCAAAACTGTTTTTATTCACACCATTTATCTTGCATACGTGAGCCAATTTCTGAAAAAAACTAGACAATCACGCCAGCAACATCAAGCAGAGATTTTTCGTCTTCTTTCTCAATTGTATTATATAGAAATATTTCTGGGAATCTTAAAAAAGTAGAAACAATAACAAGACCAGGCCTCAACACTGGGAACTATGTACGTTACTCTTTGCGAGAAATGCGAAGGTTCTTTAATGTTTCCTGATAACCAGTTCAGAGAAAGTACAGGAGGAAGGGCCTACGGTTTATCGTCTAACCATTTGAGGATTTCACACTGAGCAAAGGCAGCCTCGAGTGTTCGTCCGGTCTGGCACTCTAACTCTCCCGCAAGGCACTCTACAGCATGAGCCAACGAAACGCGATTGAAATATAAATTCACGCCCTTGGGACTTCCTTGTATAATATTAATCATAAACCATTACAGTTTCCTCAAACGTGATTGCTGCATTAGCTGCTTTATTTTTCATTAATCATTCTGTAGAGCTGTAATCAGACAGTTGGCTGTAATCGGACACCTGTGGTTCTACATTTGAAGTAGTCAATCATACTAAGTCCGCTCTGCCAAATCCACCAATCACAGCAGGACTTCTTGTCGTCTAATTCTGTCTGTAATCATACTCGCGATTGACAAATTGGACTCCCGCTTCGCCGTCGTCTAATTTTGTTGATCACTCGTATGATTACAGAACAAATTGGACTATACTCAATCCTATTGCCATTATTAACTGTTGTATATGTTTCAATCTTTCAGGCTAAGTTTCAAATGGAATGTGAGCGTGACAGACGCAATATGGAAAATTCCAAGAACAGAATGCACGAAGAACTTATGAGCAAGATGGCCAGAAGGAAAGCCACAGAAGAATTCGAGAGAGAAAGGACGAGAAAGATAAAAGAAATGAAGGAGTTAACAGAGACAGTCAGCGAAACGGGGCTTGCGATGGCAGAAACAAACGATAGACTGAGTTATGTACACGCTGATCTGAAAAATGCGTTTCAAATGATGAGGGTAAGGAGCGATAGGGAAGTAAATCGTCACAGTAACGAGTTTGAGACAATGATTTTCCTAGAGAGAGACCATGAATAATTTATGTTTCGTCTGACACGTCAGTCGCAAATTTAAAGTGATATAGATTGATTTCCTATGTTATCTTGCTACATTCTGAAGAAATTACTTTCAATTCGTAAGATTCTGAAAATCGAAATATTTTGCGATAACCTAGATCAATAACTGTTAAATCTCTCGATTACTTAGTGTATGTCTGTCTCGAGAATGGTTCTCTCAAAGCAATGTTCTGCCAGTTTCCACAGGAAAGGCGTGGGCCCAAATATCCATGTTACCGCGCATGAGCAAACCATCCTTCCCAGGAAGTCATCTGCAGCTCTTGTGCAGGGTTCCTGACCTATGAAAAGGAAGAATAATTAAATCAATGATAATCTCGATTACTTGATAAGTGAACGCAAAGCAGGTCGAGAAAAGATAAAATCCTTTGCTTTGCTCTTAGGATGCCGACGCCGCTAAGGAAGTAAAAGATCGGGAGAAAACAGAGGACTTGAAGGAGATGATGCTGCAAGAAATTAGACGACGGCCAGCAAAAAATGAGAAGGACATCATGGAACAAGAAAGAATGAGACGAATTGAACTGCATCAGCAACAAATGATCGATCGACGAGGTTCAACCACCGACACGCTTTTGGAAGTTCAAGAACAATTATTGAAAATATTCTCCAAAATCAAGGTCTGCTTAATCATCGTTTAAGTCATCATATTCATATGTAACGATGAGGTTTTATCGCGAGCTAACCGTAGGCGCCAACCACGAGTGGACAAATTGCATTTGTCAACATGTTTTTCTCGGGCAGAGCATTTTCATTTGATCGGTAAATTCTACCTTACCTTGCTAGAAAAATTGGTTGACACGTGATGGACAGAGCTGAAAAATATCGGCGCATGTCAAGTTATGTCATGGGCTCATGCGTGAAACCATAGCAACACCAGAATGAAATGGATGGAGTCTTGAAAAATTGAAAGGCGGTGCGGTTTTGTCGTTGGTTTAAGAGGCAAGCAGAGAAAGTTTATGCTCAAAACTTTCGCTGAAGAATGTCTTACAACGGGGACAAGAAATACCCTTTGCACACCAAAGTTGCTGTTGTTTGATCGCGAAAAAGCATTTTGCGAAAGTTAGTCTACATTAATACATGGATGTTGGGTGGTCCTCAGTGATAGTTTATTAAATGACAGTTTCAGTTGATGAAGGATATAACGACTTTCAACACTTTAAAATAACGGTCAGATAAAAAATATATACTGCATGTATAGACATGCACATTCATTATTCAGCTCCGTCCACGTGACGTGTTTTACATTATGTTTAATTATGCTTAGTTGCAACATTGGATGAGGAGTGAGGGGGTTGGGATTGAGGACAGAAAAGTTATCTCTAAGAGATCTGGCCAACGCCAGTAATGTGATGTTTAAACTCGATTCAGTTCGTCTCAGCTGACAGAGCTTTGCTTTCAAACACTTAGTTTGGAACTAGCAATTCGTAATCAGGGAGGTTTACCCAATTTTTGTACCGTATCCAGTTGAATCCCACCATGATAATATGCCTATTTTAAACCCTCTCCATCATCAGAGGGAAAAGAAGGTCAGAAAGACTGAAATCAAACAGAACCAAGAAGACCACAAGAACCGCATGCAAGAGGAGCTCTTACGAAAGTCTCATCAAAAGGAAGTGTCACTTCAAGAGGCCCAGGAAAAATGCCGAAGGATCACGGAAACCATGAGTCAGATCTCAGACGGTGATGAAGCGAAAGCCAAGGCTATAGATATGTTGATTGATGTTCAGAAACAACTGCTGGATGTCTTCGCCATTACAAAGGTCAGACTGGTTTTGTATCAATGTCTGTATAGGGTTTGTCATACTCCTGGCTTTAATCAGCGTCCGAAATTTGCTGATGGTGAACTGTTCACGTGATCAATTCGGTTTTCACGTCAAAAACTGTAACACGGTCCGTTTTTGTAATTGATTCTATCGTATTGAAATGACCCACATCTTACAATAAAAAGTACCACCTTGGGAAAGAAAACTTTTAGTGGACTGAGTGAAGGCTGTGTACTTTAAATATATACCTTTGAAATCTTTACACTCTCTTGGGTAAAATTGGTCGTCATAGCTGCTCATTCCGTGTCAGAGTAAATGATGAGAAATGCTGAAAGTTCTGCTGTAAAAGTGCTTTTAGATTTTTCATGTTTTACCTTGTCTATGTTGCAGGTTCAAGACCTGAAAGACCGAATGAGTCATATTAAGATGTTGAACTGTCGTAAGAACATGCTGAGAGAGATCCGAGGCAAGAGAGCCGATCGAGAGAATAGCAGTGGCTTCTTGTAAGTTACGCATCAGTAGGAGTGTGCGTGTAGAGGTGTAATTGCTGGACCTTATAAAGGGGGGAGGGGGGGAGGGAGTGGAGGAATTTTTGGGGGATACGTTGTTTTCAGGGGAAATGGAGGATATTTGCTTGTATCACGATAAAGTTTACCTGACCCCCCCCCCCCCACCCTTGCAAATGAGCTGCTGACCCCATACGAAACAAGTTACCACAAGATCTAAGAATAATTCTATAGACTACTTCTACCGTTCACATAACTCAACCTCTTAATTTTGATATGGGTTAGGGTTAGGGTTTGCGTAAGTGTCCGTTGGAAGTTAATCCGAAGCCAAAGTTTATCAAATAAGGTTTGGTGATACCTGGGAGTTAAGGCGTTTAAGTATTTCATAATGCTTGTCATAATTTACCGAATTATAATTTTTGGACTAGTACAAAAACAATTTTATGTACACTGTTAATGAGTCTTTATTATTTTTGAAACTCAAAAGCCATTTCAATTTGGTTCTCTTGAAGTTCAAACGTCACCCATGTCAAGAAATTATAACAATTTATAACCTCTTGCATTTGTGTATTTTTTTTTATAACAGACCCAAACCACACGCTGATGCAGCTACGCTAAAGTCAGGCAGGAGACTCTCGTTAATTGGTGAACGTTTGCAACAAGAAGTCAGTCATTCTTCGTCTCCAGAAAATTGTGATGATTAACATTGCTTCTGAATTACAACAAACCTTTCGTCTTAAAAACAACCAGGAAGATTTACTGAGAAATTTCCTTCAGTGACGCATTGTATCTAGTTTTGTACATTTATACGTAATATTCAATGAAAAATAAACATCAGCGAGCAAACAACTCTTTATACCGAGTGTAAAACTGAGTTTTTTGTTATAAGTAACCTGCTTACTAGCAAGATATCCTCGCTTAAAATTGCTTCACCCCAATCAAGAAATCTAGAAAGGAATCATTAGTGCAATCAAGAGGGCATGAGGTAATTAACGCTCTTTTGGGGAAAGCCTAATTCACAGTGTCCGATTCGAGGTATTCACGTATCAGTTGACTCTGAAATGCTAGTGGTTTGGTCTACGATTTTTCTTTCACCTCATCATATAAGTTGATCCTTAAAAAAAACTATGTGATGGTTTTTGCGTTACTTCTCTAAGAAAGTTACTTAATCTTCCTTTTAATGCTATCAACTGTCTCCCAAGAGCAACCCTTGACTTTCAAGCTTTGCAACTCTGCCAGTGCGTTCTTCAGCTTTTCAGTTTTTTCACTCTTTTGGAGAGCTTCGGATTCTGCTATTTCTAACTGAAAGAATTTTATTTCATTCTGCAGTTCAACAAGAAAGCTAATGTTCTCGTTTTCATGAGCGGATGGTTCGGCTATAACACGTATGCGTGAGAGCTGATTGTTGGGTGCCCTGTTCACCTCATATGGGATAGCAGACATGTGTGTTTCGATCTTGTGTACTTCGGCCAAAGCCTCCTCATACCGGCCGCCGTCAAACTCGGTACGTGTCCATTCTCCTGTCTTGGACGAGTAATGGTGGATCACAACAAAACCAGTTTGGCTCGAACTTCTTTGAATACTTTCCATCTTTTTGGAAACCGTAAAGAACAGTACTCTGGCTTTAATCTCCAACTTGTTCTCTGTTCTTGTTTGCTTCCTAGGAAACTCAAACCAAAGAATTCAGAAATTAACAATTTTTCTTAATTAAGAGTGATATCATTTATAGCGGCAAGATTAAACTGAGGTCATCGTTGATCGCCTCTCTAAAAGACAAAGGGGGTCATAGCCTGCAGCACTGATGTCTGATTTTGGGGCAAACCCTCGTTCCTAGGGTCCTCTCTCCTCCTTCCCTCGAGATACTAGGGAGTTTAAGAAAACCGCGACGGCAACGGCATTGGGAACGTTACTAAACAAAAGATATAATGAGCAGAACAATGGCTGTGCACGTGCACTATAAATCTTTGTAAATTTCTCTGCGTCCTTTGCAAAACAACCACGCGAGATGACCAAACTTTGCGTTGTCTGAAGAACGTGAGCGACGACGGTTAATTTTTAAATTTTTATTTCTAATTTAACGCTGTGTTCAATATTCAGTTTGGAGGTAGTTTTGACAGTGAAAAAAAAATTAAAAATAAAAATAAAAAAAAAAACCAAATGACTTTAGAGTGTCTCGAGATTCGTAGGTAAAACATAAGTTTTTTTTAGCCGACGTCCACGGCGTCGCCGTCGTTGTTTCCTAAACTCTCTACTAAATTCTCGAGGGAGGAAGAGAGAGGACCCTGGGAACGAGGTTGTTTTGGGGTAAGTTAACGTTGCAAGTTTGATTAAAAGTTAGAGTGGACAGTGGGTAAAGGAGGCTGGGAAAGGGTAGAAGTTCTTTTTCCCTCCCCCCCCCCTTTCTCTTCCTCTTGTCTATCGCTCACCCCCTTGGTGCAAATTTCTTCCTCTCTCCAACCTTCTGTAAAAAGCTGCTGTAAAAATCAAAGATGGCAGCTATTATTTTCACCAAGAAAAATACTGAGCACTCGCTCGCCAAAATTAAGCCTGTTATGCAGCTGTAAACTGCTATAGCCCTCATCACATTGTATTAAGACTCCACGTTCCCCCCTGATATCTTGCCGTTGACCTAAATTTTTCTTAATCAACCAGAAATGTTTTCACAACCGTGACAATCGCTCAGCAAGGCCGTCTAAGTAGTCACGCAATGATGTGACTTTGCGGTGAACACACATTTAAAGAAAAGTGATGTAACTGAGTGAGTTAGCCGTGCCAATAATAGTCATAATGCTCTTCAATACTTCTCGATTACAGTGCACTACTATGTTCGAGGTTTCAAGTTTTGTAGGGAAGCCTTTTGGGATGTAGAATATTCGAAACTCTTCGCAGGACTATAACGAGGTTGGATCATGTGTACTATAGGTGGACTCGGTCGACATATCGGGCGACAGTCGACCGATATATCGGTCGACTATCGGTCGACTATCGGTCGACAATCGACCGACTATCGGTCGATAGTCGACCGATAGTCGACCGATTGTCGACCGATAGTCGACCGATGGTCAACCGATATATCGACCGACTGTCGGCCGATGCATCGGCCGATATGTAGCGATCAACTGCCGGTGAAGTATCGGTGAAGTATCGGTCAAGTATCGGTCAGGTATCGGTCAGGTATCGGTCAAGTATCGGTCAAGTATCGGTCAAGTATCGGTCAAGTATCGGTCAGGTATCGGTCAGGTATCGGTCAAGTAGCGGTCAAGTAGCGGTCAAGTATCGGTCAAGTATCGGTCAAGTGTCGGTCAAGTGTCGGTCAAGTGTCGGTCAAGTGTCGGTCAAGTGTCGGTCAAGTGTCGGTCAAGTGTCGGTCAAGTAGCGGTCAAGTATCGGTCAAGTAGCGGTCAAGTATCGGTCAAGTATCGGCCAAGTATCGGTCAAGTATCGGCCAAGTATAGGTTCACTTACCGACCATATCGCTTAGAAGAAAATAGGCTAAGAAAGAGTGCGAGGTTTTTTTCGATATATGTTCCGATTTGGTAATGGAAAAATACATCGTAAAGTTGGTCGCTCTTGTGTAACTAATGTTGTGCCTTAACGTATTTCTATTATTCCTAAAACTACCCGGCTTATGCTTTATCCCTGATGTCATGCTGCCCTTAATCCAACATACCTAAAATGATTATTATTCCTTAGCTCTTATAGCTCTAACAGGTCCTTAACGTTATATTGCTTGTACAACGTTACCGATATTAACTGTCCAGTTTATGTCCGTAATAGGATCCACCTAAATTGTATCAGCTAAAACTGCAGTGTGTAACTGCCAAGCTAAACGAAAAGTAAATGATCTTTTGAAACTGAACTAGGCGGTTAAACTCATAAGCAAAGCGATTTTATAAAGACTTCTTTTTGCAGTGCGAGGTCAGCCGTTGTTTGTTTGTTTTTTCATGATTGTTATTTTACCTAGAATAAGGCGTCTTTTTGGGGGTTTGGGCCTTAACAACGGTATCAATTTTTTTTATCCTTAAATAGGGAACTCCGCGGCACCCACCTATCGGAAATACAGTAGCTTATAAGAACCTAGAATTCACGAACCTGTTAGCCTAAAAATATCAATTTAGACCCCCTTTACATAAGAACCTATTTAGCCTAAATTTGAAACAGGTTCCTGTTTTAGAAATAAACCTTAAAGATCTTCAGGCAAAGATAAAAGACATGACTCTCAAAAGTAGTGAACTTAAACATGTATGAACTATAAAAATCTCTAAATTTGGTATAAATAATGTATGAAAAACAGTAGTATGTACATGTTGGTTTTGAATTAGAATTCACATGAGTACACCCTACGAGTACATTTAGAACCGAGAACTCAGATTCTTATAAGCGGGTAAGTACTGTAGTTTGACTTACTAAAACAAAATCAAGTCTGCAATGAATATCTAGTTGTCTTTGCCTCCAGATAATCCTCTTGCCATTTGGATTAAAAATTCTCTAAACATCGCAAAGCTCCAAATTTTCCATCGCATTTTGCACTACCTTTAAAGCGTTCTGATGTGTTCTGGCGATGCCATTTTTTCAGAGAAAATTGAGAGAGTAAAAAACATCCTAAGCAGCTGGTCTGCTCGGAGACTCACTCTTCTAGGTAAAATCACGATAATAAAAGCTTTGGCAGTATCCCAAATTGTACATGTTTTAACCTCTCTTCCAACGCATCAGGGTGCACTTAAGGAAATCGATACCCTGCTATATGACTTTCTCTGGGAAAGCAAAGGGGACAAACTTAAAAGGACACAAATGATCAATGATTACGATAAAGGAGGCCTCAAGATGATAGATATTCAAAGCTTTAATAAATTGCTAAACAAAAAGTGGGTAAATGTAAACTTCTCGTAGACTTCCACCTCCAGAAGTGTAGGGGGAAAGTAATGTTTTGTTACTACGTCTTACTTGTCTACTTCTCGTAGACTTCCACCTCCAGAAGTGTAGGGGGAAAGTAATGTTTTGTTACTACGATCAAACTATCCATATCCATTTTTTATGATTTCGTGTAAAATGTGACTGTCTAAAATACCTTGCTAAATATCAATCCATTACGACCATCAGAAATCTTTTTTTTATTTGTATTTTTATTTCCGAGAAGTTGCAGTCGCCATTTCTTTATCTCGTTCCAATTATAGCCTGGTTGAGAATTAGGGAAAATGACGTCAAATGCTCAAAATACCTCGCGTAAAATAACTCGAGTGTGCTAGACTATTGCAATGTTTGAATTTATTATAGGTACAGTAAAAAAAACCTTCTCAAGAACCTAGATTTTAAGGAAAAAAATAGATTAACTGAAAATCTTAGACTAAAATTGCCCATTAAGACCCTTTTTACATGAGAACCTGTTTTAGCCTACAACTTTGAAACAGGTTCTTATTTTGAGAAATTCAGTCAAAGAAACAACATAGTTTCATGTTTTAATGTTGCGTTTTGTTCTGTTTATCTTGGATAGCTTTGTTAACTTGGTAAATATATGCTGGGATTTTTAACATTTATGCATACAATACCAAAAGTAGGCCACGCCCCCCAATGACAAACAACTCATTTATTTTGAAAACTAGACTGCGAGCAGAGGGCGCGATCGACGAGCGGTGAGCGGCCAAGCTGCGATCTCTTTTCGCTGTGACTGACGCCCCTGCTGCTCGCAGATCACGGCCTCGCCCCTCATCGCTCGTCGATCACGTCCGCTTTTTCCCCGTTCGTTCCAGTAGGATTTCACAGCAAAAGAGACTGCTCGCAGTCTATTTGAAAACAAGAACCTGTTAAAGAACCTGAGTAGCCAAATTTTCCAGTTAAGCACCATCTTTTATAATAACCTTCTTAGCCTTGCTTGGAAAAAAATTAGGTTCCTATTAGTGAGTTTTTACCGTATATGCTTCTGAGTCTAAAATTGAAAAAAAATACCAAATTTCACCAACGTTGCACTAAGGTCACAGGAACTGTCCCGTTTCGGGGGAGGGGGGTACTCCCGTAAATTTTGAATAAGTGTGTGCCTCGAAGAGTCTTGAACCCTGTCCCACTTTAAGGATGAAACAAACGAGAATTGTCCAAACACGAAATATGACACCCTATTCAAGGAAAAACAATAACCAAACAACGGCTAACCACGTGCGGCAAAAACACAAATCTCGATAAAATCGCTTTGTTGACAATTTTAGCGGAATTTGCTTTTTGTTTAGCTGGCCATTTACACACTGCAATTTTAGCCGATACAATTTACATATCCTATCTAAAGATCACAACGGAAACACAATGCTAACAGAGGCAAAACGATAACCGCCAAAACCATACCCTATCCCGCGGCACATACATGTATATGGGAGTACCCCCACCTCTGGGTATTTAAAGTGGATATTGTTCTGCAATGTCCTCCATCAACCGTCCAAAACAGCCATTCGGGTGAAGCTCACCATGCCATCTTATACACATGAATTCCTTAAGGTATTCTTGTAGGAAGTTAGGATTTGTGTTCCCTTTTTTATCTTCTTAAATTTGTCCTTTGCTGCAGACCGATTGCTCTCTGCGTGTTGTGTGTGGACACCGTTGATTGGGTCTACAAAGTTAACCGAGTGAATAACCGTTTGATGATTGAAACCCAAGACCCTTTGCATTTGCCTGTATGCCGCCCATTCATCAGTATAAACCAAAGAGCCTGGTTGTACGTGTCTTTGGATAATGTTCAAAAGAGTACGCGCATCTCGCCTTCTCACAAGCTTTAAATACGGTCGAGTGGGGTCATACTGTGTGTCAAAAAGCCCAAGAACCCATCTCTCTCCTCGAGGTCGACGTCCCCTTTTGAACTGTGCTTAAGAAGAGACAAATTTCATTAAAACGTGTTGAATATATAGAAAAAATTAAGAAAGACTGTTTCCTAGCAGGTGCAGGACATAAGTGGGTATTATAAACTGAAATACGGTTGATGTAATGTTTCGTATGTATTTTAGTTGATATGTTTTCTGTTGTAAAAAAGACCTGAATGAAATACAATGTATACGAGGCATCGAGGTGAATCTCTTTATGAGCACATTTCTTGATGACACATTAATTGTTAACATTTTCAAGGTAAAATGCGCACAGTTTTTGGCATTTTGGCTCTAATCTGGCTACAGGTTTTGCCGAAGATTTTGGTAATAATTCGGATGGCGCTATTTTTCTGTTGAAGTCACTACGGTGAGATCGACTTGCTGGGATGGAAGAGAGGAGAATAAAACGTGCTATAGCCATTCGCGAGAAGAAGATAAGGTGCAAATAAGCTTACATTTGTTCAATTGATCTTCAAAGGATAGTGACTAAAACAACACACGAGCACTACGAGTAACATACAAGTACATACGAGTAATTACGAGTCATACGGGCGCACACAGATACATATGAGTAACATAAAAGTAACATACGAATACATGGAGTAACACACAGATAACATAAGGTCAAATGTGGGTAATACGCATGAAATCTGCTAAGTAAAATACAAGAAATTGGACCTTTAACGGAAATCGTCGATTTGTTCTTCACTGCTCGGTATGGAGAGAAATTAGCATTTGAGGGTGTGTGTGTCTGCATGTGTGATGGGGGTGGGGGGGCTGGGAAGAGACCTTCCTTAATGCTTCCTGTGAGCCTATTACTGCATAAAATAGCAATAACAAAACTAATAATAAATTAAAATACTATTCAATCCTGTAGGCTGAACAACAACGCTGATTTCCTACGGTTACCACCCTCCCGAGGTAATACCCGGGACAAGATCGGCCCTTGTGACCTTAGGATGGAAAATGTTTGAAGTTTTCAGTTTTTCCCGTGGGTAGGGGGTTGGGCAACTTCAAATAACTACCCACACAAAGACTCCTGGGGCGAAACGAGATATGTATTATTTTATTATTTTTTATAATTATTTCACTATTTCTCATTTCTTGTATTTTCATTGTATTTCTTATTATTAATTTATGTTATTGCTATTTTATGCAGCAACAGGCTCACACGAAGCACACGCAAACACACCCTTAAATGCTAATTTCTCCCCACACTACCCCGTTTTGTACATATGATATCATTTGCACATTTATTGCGATTGACTACCTAATTTACCCCGACCTGCTCTCGTGCTGGTCTCGTAGCTCACTTCTCACTTCCCACTTGGTAAAATTCTCTTTGCCCCGTGAGGACTCCCAAATTTACTTTAAAAGGGTAGTAACCCAGGGGGATTTATTGTATCGGCAGTATTGCCTTCTTCCAGCACCCAAACATTCATTTTAAAAAAATTATAATTTATATTACAGGTGCTTCGCGGTTCACATTCTATATGAATACACCGAGCAGTAAAAACAAATCGAAGGTTTCCGAGAAAGGTCCAATTTCTCGTATTTTACTTTGTTTTTACAAATCAAAGGAAAGAAAGTCAATTAAGCTTTCGCTAAAATGCATGCGATCAAAAACCATTTCCCATTTGAGTTTTGGAATGAAATTTTTTTTTTGGATGACAAACTGCAGTTACCGGTATACATCTTGTATTACGGAGGACAGTAAGGAAATTAACCAATGTTTTTTAAAACACTTGGACACAGCCATTGTTTTGCTCCATTTTGTCGGACAAATATCTCGAAAAAAAGTGGATTTACAAAGCTACGGAACCTAATACGATCTATATTTTCAACCGTCACCACCATTTAGTACACCAGCGTTGAAGACTATATCATCGGAAAATGAAATTTCCTTACTCGCGGTCCAATGGGAACAAACAGTGTTAGAATTGTTTTGACGTTTACTAAAAACGCACGCTTGATATAGAATGAAATAGAAATCAAAACTTTATGGGTGCGGCTGGAAGTATTGCGAGTTCACTCTACCGACGTCCCGTTTGCCGTCATGTCTCAAACTGGAGGTTTTAACCCTTTAAATAGTCGAATTGTGTGCTCTTTATCGACAGACGGTGACACTTTTTTTAAAGAATAATGACAGCGGCGGCGGAAAAAAAAGTTAAAATGCCATTCATTGTCCAATGAAATAAGCTTCCAAAGCACAGATAATAAAACCAAATATAACCTAACCTTTGAAAAGGGTGTAGTAAGTCTCCAACGCAATAAACATCGTGCGTTGTAGATCTCATAATTTTGATCTACTGTAAGTGAACACAGATCCTTAATTCTCACACCACATCTACATCTCCGGAAAAGTAACAGGCAAAGTCAATAGGTTGAATATACTTGAAAAACTAGAGAGGGTAAAGGACCGTGCACTTATGTATGACATGTATTTATAGCAAAGACCCTTCATTAAGAAAGAATGCTCAATTTGATTGGTTTACAAAACACATTAAAGGGTCGTCTCACCCAAGATATGTTAATTACGATAGACAGATGTTTTCAAAAGAAGACACCCACCACTACAGCTAATTCATTTCAAGTAAAGAACACGTATCGTAATTAAAGGGGCACAAATATGCTTTGATACCTAAAGTTAGATGTACAAAACATGGTCTAAGGTCTCTTCGTTACTTCGCCGCTGTAAGGACTTGGAATTCGCTGCCGGAGACGATACGCGCTATGGCCGGCACAAGAGAAATTTAAAACTGGATTCCAGACACGCAATTTACATCTAAATTATGAGGTAATCATATTACTTATTAGAGTTTTATATCTTTTATTGTGGAATAAACCCTCCCCGGAAAAAATGAATTATCGGCCAAGTATCAGTGAAGTATCGGTGAAGTGTCGGTCAAGTATCGGTCAAGTACCGGTGAAGTATCGGTCATGTATCGGTCAAGTATCGGTCATGTATCGGTCAAGTATCGGTCGTGAATCGGTCAAGTATCGGTCAAGTGTCGGTCAAGTATCGGTCAAGTGTCGGTCAAGTATCGGTCAAGTGTCGGTCAAGTATCGGTCAAGTGTCGGTCAAGTATCGGTCAACTGTCGGTCATGTATCGGTCATGTATCGGTCATGTATCGGTCAAGTATCGGTCAAGTATCGGTCATGTATCGGTCAAGTATCGGTCATGTATCGGTCAAGTATCGGTCAAGTATCGGTCATGTATCGGTCAAGTATCGGTCATGTATCGGTCAAGTATCGGTCATGTATCGGTCGAGTATCGATGGTTTAAGACTATATCGGTCGACACATTTATCGGTCGACTGTCGGCCGATATATCGGCCGACTATCGACCGATAGTCGGGCGACAGTCGACCGATAGTCGGTCGATTGTCGGCCGATAGTCGACCGATAGTCGACCGATAGTCGACCGATGTATCGGTCGACTGTCGCCCGATATGTCGACCGAGTCCACCTATAGTACACATGATCCACGAGGTTTACTAGTCACTTAGAATTCGTTATTTGTCGTATGGAATTACACAGCGAAGTCTATCTACATACAACCGTTCTAGCAGGTCGACCGAAAACTACACTAGATTCTAGAGACTCGCTTACCTACCTTTCAACTTCCGTTGTCACGATTAAAATTTCTTCCAAGCCAATTTCCAGTCCTTCTATCTCAAATTTTATACCTTTGTCATAATAAGCTGGTCTTTCTTTTTCACAGACGAGGAAACCTTTCCGTGCATAAACTGAAGAAGATAGAGAAATCATTTCTCTATCAGTGGTTGTCTCTTCTCTGCGCTGATAACTTATCGAAGCAGCGGCGAGACCTTTAAGGACAGACACAGTCCCGTTAACAGCGACGTTCAATAAATAGTTCTTCACTTCTTTGTTTCGATGGTAATCCGAGGAATACGAACACAATGGCGAGTAAATGAATTGTTTAAAGTCATCCTTAGCTTCGAATTGCAATGGAACACCGTCACACCACATTACTCCGCTCGATTCACCAACAAGGTGGCCAGATGTTTGTAACTGTTGGTGAGCTTCAGTCGCCTGAAAGTTTAACTAGCGTTTTGATGTTACAATTTGCATTTGCAAGTTACAAAGCGGAAATGACGTAATTTCCGAAATTCCCTTTTCCACGGAAATGTAAATTTTGTATCTGGCGTGACATTTCGGGGAAGTTCAGAGGCAGGTAATTAGCTTAGCTAGATGAGGTCTCCGAGAAACAAAGGAACTTTTAAGGCGGTTCTGAGAAGTGGGTTTTAGATTGAGTAAGGGGCGAATCGGGTGTCACTATGTCTCATTTTTAATCAGAGGCTTTGAAGCAAACAATTGCCAAGATACAATTTACTTTGCGCAAAATGAAACTGGCATCTTAATTTGGGAAATGAGACCATGGGATCCTCTGCATCTATGATAAGAGAAACCTCTCAAAATTTTATCCTATGATACCTACTTCCGATCAAATAGGAGACAATTCAGTCAAACTTGCCGACGGGACTATTCTGCAATCAAGATTCAATTACTCGGCAAGAAAACATTTGCCGTGATTTGTACAAACAGTTTATTTAGACAGTCACAGCACACCGTTTCAGGCAAAAAATTGACCTTAACCTTTTTCAGAGAAGTATTATTGTTGAAATCATACCGACAACAACCTTGAGAGTGCTTTCCGTCACAAAGGGCAGGAGGGTTCTTAGGTGAACAGCATTTTTAAGATATGTTTCACAGAGGGGCCATTCACGATATTGCGGTTATAGAATTACGTATCGCTTGACCAACAATCAATGCGACGCCTTTATATAATTTCCCTTATGTCACTTTCTAAGAAAGAGCATAATGTTTAATTCATCTTGTTTACAGAAAAACATCTGGGTTGGAAGAAAACTCCACGAACCAGTGACAAATACAACACTGTTGCCAAAACGTAATTCTCTTTTAGTGACATTTGAGTATGATGTTTACTTTCTCACTGTGAGAAATGTTTCATCGATTGCAGTAACAGGATTTTCACTTTGTGATACTTTCTAGGAAAAAGTATTTTAGTTCTGGCCTGGGGTCACCCACTGTCAAGTTAATATAGTGACGTAGAATGTTTCGTTTTATATAAAGGCCCGACTCACAGATTTTTCAATTGGAAGGAGGCTGCTGCTTTAGGAAGCTGTCTCTCTAGGACTATAACGAAAGCAAGCGGCGCCTGTATTGCAGCCTATTGCCTTCTCCTGATTACTCTCGGATCATTTTCTTCCACTGGTAAGTTGCAAAGCAGCTACAATTTATTTTTACATTACGATCTATTGATAATATTCTTAATCGTTGGATTAACTGAAGAAGTGACATCGGCAAGGGTGCTGTCCGATCTGCTTTCTCGCCCCTCGCTGCTTTCCTCGAGTAACGGTAGGTTTTATGATATAGTCTCAAGTCAAATGTTGCTTCAGTATGCATCTCATAGATCATTGCAACTTGTTTGTAAAAGTTGTGCTTTGTTGTACAAGTTGTGCTTTGTTGTACAAGTTGTGCTTTGTTGTACAAGTTGTGCTTTGTTGTACAAATTATGCTTTGTTGTACAAGTTGTGCTTTGCTCTAAAGCAAGGTTAAAATGGACATCCATCTCATAGATCATTGCAACTTGTTTGTACAGGTTGTGCTTTGTTGTACAAGTTGTGCTTTGTTGTACAAATTATGCTTTGTTGTACAAATTATTCTTTGTTGTACAAGTTGTGCTTTGCTCTAAAGCATAGTTAAAATGGGCATCCATCTCATAGATCATTGCCACTTGTTTGTACAAATTGTGCTTTGTTGTACAAGTTGTGCTTTGTTGTACAAATTATGCTTTGTTATACAAATTATTCTTTGTTGTACAAGTTGTGCTTTGCTCTAAAGCTCTAGTGTTAACCCTCAAAAATGAAGATGAGGCCAGGGAAGTCAATTCTTTTGTATCTGAGAATACCGAGATAAATTTGTATTTTACATGACTATTGCTATGAATTAAGTGATTTTACTTGGTGGCTTTGTCTGAGCGTGAGTCGCCTTTGGGCAGAACGCATTGATGAAATTTTTGAAAAGATATTGCGAAGCGGAAATATCCAGTTTCCCAGAAATTAAGGAACCAACGCTGAGGCCTTTGTTTGTTGTACAAATTGTGCTTTGTTGTACAAGTTGTGCTTTGTTGTACAAATTATGCTTTGTTATACAAATTATTCTTTGTTGTACAAGTTGTGCTTTGCTCTAAAGCTCTAGTGTTAACCCTCAAAAATGAAGATGAGGCCAGGGAAGTAAATTCTTTCGTATCTGAGAATACCGAGATAAATTTGTATTTTACATGACTATTGCTATGAATTAAGTGATTTTACTCGGTGGCTTTGTCTGAGCGTGAGTCGCCTTTGGGCAGAACGCATTGATTAAATTTTTGAAAAGATATTGCGAAGCGGAAATATCCAGTTTCCCAGAAATTAAGGAACCAACGCTGAGGCCTTTTGAAGTCTGAGGCAAGGTATCTCAGGTGAATTGACAAGATATACGCTCTTTGTCGGTTTTAATTTAAGCATACAGGACCAATCTCACAAGTATGTTTTCTAAGATGACATTAGTAGCTACTAATACGAGTTAGAAGTAAATTACCTCACTAAAGTTAGCTGGCTTTGTCTGACCCGTGGTTGTGTAAAACCAGCGGCTCCCTTTGCAATGACGAAATTGCTCGGCGACTCTCTTCGCTTCGTTAAATATTATATCTGCATGCGCGTTGGATAAAAAGTTCCCCGAAATCCCAAAATATCTCTGCTCTTTGGCCTCGTCACACTTCCATTCCCCTGCAATGTCAGCTCAACAATATTGGTTCAAAAACATCGTTTTCTCGTCAATATACCATGGTGGAAATGTAAGGCTCTCTAATTAACAAATAGAGAAGCCTTGACTGTGCTCTGTTCTGTTGTAACGCACTTAGGAAGCGGCTAGAGCACGAAAGAAGTGTAGGGGGAAACACGAGACGTAGTCGAGTGTTTCTCCCTACTTCTTGAGTGCTCTAGCCGCTTCCTAAGTGCGTTACAACAGAACAGAGCACAGTCAAGGCTTCTCTATTTGTTTTATAATAAAGAATCCGTTAAATTCCCCAAGAATTACTTTCAATTTTCAAAACAAATCTTATTTCCAAAGCGAACAGCAGTGTCGTCAGCATGCTCTATACTCTCATAAAGCACGCTACAATAAGCCAATCAGAATTCCTGTTAGAATGGTTCAAATAATCTGATTGGCTGTACAAGACTAAAGCTGTCAAAAATGTCAAACCATCAAAGTTCATAAACCATCAAAGTTCATATTCTGCAATAGTTTACAAACTAAAATAGCTCGGCATTTCGAATTTAACACTTTTGCCTGAAGTTTTTTAGTTTCTAATACAGGATCTGAAAGTGAAATGTTCAGTGAAATTCGGCCCAATCGTGGCTCACAAAAATACGCAAGTTATTTCACATTACAAGTAGAAAACAAACTGTTCAAGGCGAGTGTATTATGAATGAACAACAGCCGAATTCACTAAGACAAAAAGATCGCTCGGAATGACAGCGCCGTAAAACTCGGTTGCAGTGACTGATCTGGCCTTCCACTTAACGCATCGGAAAGGTAATCAGGACAAGCTCTTCTTTTTTCACTCGAAGGGTAGTCGATTTAGTTCCTGAGGCTTGCTCCACTGCGATGACCGAAGATCGCCATGATTAGCTAGCCGCGATAGACCTTAAGTCTTTGACACCGTCATGATTAGTATGAATTTTAACAGTTATGCCAGGTTATATTTTTCACAATTCCTGTTTTTTTCTAGTTGAAATCGAAACTCTATATACTAAACAAGTGTTAGCTGTGTTTGATTTTTATTACCGTACGTAAACTCGCAATCTAACTGAGCGTGAAAACCGTTAAAAAAACTCGGACTGTCTATCTTGTTTTATCTTTGAGGATTTTTGTCTCTGCTCACGTTACAGTAACGTAAATTACTGCGCCTGGCATTTTTGCAAACCTTTGCTTGCTTGTTCCGAAATTTCACTTTTAGTAACGAAAGAAAAGCTAGAAAGAAGTCCCGGAAAAGGTCGGACATAGTACGATTTGGCAGATGGCGTGACAGCTTTAGCTCAGTTCTATGCTCTATACTCTCATAGAGCACGCTCTTTCAACCAATGACAGTACGTGTTATATCCGAGCTTTATTATAAACTCTCATAGAGCACGCTCTTTCAACCAATGACAGAACGTGTTATATCCGAGCTTTATTATAAACTCTCATAGAGCACGCTCTTTCAACCAATGACAGTACGTGTTATATCCGAGCTTTATTATAATATAAAATAAAACCTAACAAGTAAAGTTTACTTATTCCTTCAAGTTTATCATCACACGAGCTTCGTTATAGTAAGAATGGGCTCTATCACTGTATACACAGTTTACGCAGTGAGTACTTCCAGCTTGATATGTGTCAGATTGCTGTTGGTCCCCACTTTTTCAAGAAAAGGCAAAGCGTGTGGCTTCGGTCGCGCTGTTGCGTATGATGCGAGGTAATTATAATTCAATCTAGAGGCAATTTTCGCTCCGATCGCGGTTTCCTGCGAATTTCAGTAAATTGCAGGGTACTCCCTGTCGACCCAAATTTTTGACTCAAACTTTGCCCATTAAACTACCTTCGGTAGAAAGAAAATAAAACCACATCGGTTTCTGGGAATACGTTAAAAATTTTTTTTGAGAGCTCGCAATAATCAAAGCCGCAAAAGGTTCTTTTTTGACCTCTTGCGACATCGAAAAGTTCAAAAGTTTACAAGCTCGCTCCCCGATACGCACAACATGCAGTAAGAAATCGTTTGTATTCCTACATTGTGTGATATAAGGGGTTTGGAAAGCATTTCAATTTTGATATGAGTTTGTCAGTCCGAGGTTCGCCATAATTTATTTAAAAGCACCCGTTAGACAGCTTTCTGAAATTGGACAAAAGTGCTCTTTCTTTCTTGGATGATATTTCTCAAGTCCAGACCAGACCATTGAAAACTCTGGTTGATTTCTTCTAATGAGATGTTGGAAAGCATAGAAATGTAAAAACATCTTGCGTTTATTTATTCCTTTCGCCTTAGTGACTTCAAACTTATGGTGCGAGTGATTTTGCTATCGTGACAGCAGAATCATGCAAATTAGTTTGCTGAGCAAACTCCAACTTATATTGGTAGCTTGATAAATCTAAGATTTTAACCATTTTAAAGAGAAAAGATAGTAGGGCAGAGCTTTTAGAATACACTGATTGATTCTTTAAACATTTTAAACGGCTAAATTCTGGCAAATGATTCTTTCTCGTGACGAAAAAGGTGAACAAAACGTATCAAATATCATATTGATTAGCTTTCGATCAACGTGTTAATGAGAAACTTTTTTTGAAAAAAATTGGTTTCTGTTCTTTAATGTTTGAATTTAGAGAGCTTAATCTATTCAAACCTGTATGAACATTTTAGAACCAAACTACAGGATTTTAGTAAACGTAACCGGCGATAACAGCATTACGACTACAAGCAGTCCCTCCTTTTCGGCGAAGTCCGTGGCGCAGGTCGGAAAAAAATCAATGAAGAAAAAATTTATATAAGTGCATCATTCCAGGAGCTACCAGCGGCGCGCTAAAATCATTTCTTTTTTCCTTTTTTTCAATTTTTTTTTAAGCTCTCTTATGACTCGCACGACGGACTTTACCCAAAAGGAGGGACTGCATGTAATCTATAAAAGCACATACTGAAATTCACCGTGACCGGTGACTTAGTCACGTAATTTTTCCATCTAAATGAGGCAGCAACAATGTAAATTTTTTGCTCAGAATTCTAGCCTTAGGGAAGATGTTGTTGTTCATCGTGGTTACATCAAATAAATGAAAGTTTTAAAATCGTTTGTTTCACGATGTAGAAACAAGTACAATTGTAATGACTTTTCGACTGCTATTTCAAAGTTCCTCAGGCGACGAGGTCGAAAGGTTACGTGTCGCTATTTAAAGTGCTCGGGTGTGTTTTGGCGCACAGTCATAAGTGGATAGGTTGCTATATTTTTTCAATTTTTTTTCCATTTTTGGCTGTGATTTTCTAGAAATTACAGCCAAATAACGTGGCATTATAGACTTTCGTAGACTAAATCTTGGCGGTTTGGTGATCTGTCATTTGTACCTCCAAGCCAGTTTGGAGGCGGCCCGCTAATTTCAGTGCAGGCTTATAATTTAACTATAGGCACGCTTTCAAATTCTTTTAGGTGAATTTTGAACATTTTTTTAAAATAATCAACCAACGAACAATCCAAAAAGCGAACGTTCAGAATCACCCACGCCACCTGATATTCATGAGTCATTGATGATTCATACGAGTTATTGAGGGCATATCTGATATAAGCCGTAGGGTTTGTTCAGGCCTCCTGACCTATTACTTTGTATTTTAACTGACTTTTCTATGTCAAGTTTTTGGTGGTAAATAATCACGGATTTGGACTTGGAGGTGGCTCGAAAAATACTTCAAAATGTACATGAAATCAAAAATTAAAATTGTTTAGTAAATATTTCCAACCTTTCTGAATGATTCTTTCATAAAACAGTTGAGGTTGTTCAAGATCCTTTCCGAAAACAAGCCGAAGAAATGCTCGTAATACACATGTAGCAGCAGAGGAGTGTCCATCAAAACAAAAAAGCTCTCTTCATGTGCTGATTTCTTTCATTTCTTATCTTTAAGAGAAAATGGACATCCCAGCTTATACATCACCCACTTTGTGCCTTGGTCGGACATTTGATTTGGAAACTTCGAGAGCATGCGCGGATGTCTTCCCATCGAGCAGTGATTTACCAATTAAGTCTATAGATTCCAACAAGTTTTCCTTCAAATACCAAGTGGTTAAAAGCAGCAAAGACGTCAATGACTTACTGGACGTATCTGGTGAATTATCACTAAAAATCAAAGCCAATCTGCTGAAAGTGGAAGGGGCAGGGCAGTATATAAATGAGAGCAAGTTAGAAGAGGGAACAACTAGTCTTCTGGCTGTGATGAAATGTACTACGGTAGGTATGTTTGCTGAAGAATCGCAAAAGGCTGCATTTGTGAACCAAATTAAACATAAAAGGGCGGATGTCAAGTTTTGGAATACAGTAGAACGCCCCTTAACTCGAACCTCTGAGTGAAACGAAATTGATGTTGAATTTCAATTATCCTGTTAACAATCAATAAGGAATCATGTTTTTACCATTCTTACACAATCAACAGTTATTTTCGTACATTTAATTTAGACTTATAAGAGCTTTTTTGATAAAAACGTTTAGTTCAGGAAGTTTATTTCAATGTACCATGTTTTCATAATTGTTATCACGTTCTTATCTTCGACCGGCGTTTTTGATTAAAGCTCTAGTTATTGGGATAAGTTTTAGCCAAGGGAAAGTAAAATTGGTTCGAGTTAATGGCAAGTTCGAGTCAACCTAGTTCGAGTCAGCTGATAGTAAATTACTGGATAAGTGCAGTCAAATACAAAGGAAATCGGATCTTGGTTTAGTTAGTGGGAGGTTGGAGTTAAACGGAGCCGTTAAGCAGCGAGGTAAAGAGTCATCGCTAGCCACAGACACTGAGGTGAATGGTTGTTTTAGTACATACTAAAACTGTGAGTTAATATAGTGCAAAAAGTAAATTTAAATTCATTTATTACTGCAACGATTACAATATTTTTGGGCACATATCTCAGGCGAGTTGCTCGGAAGTGAATAGCAAAGGATATTCTGAGTTTGAGTAGCCACTCAGAGTGCATTAGTTTGTTTTTTCCATTTCCCCGTTCTCCTATTTCCGATCAGCTATAATATTTAATTTTAAACAAAAGTTTCTCGACAACTAACAACGTTCAACACATCCATTCCCAAGGTTGTTGACACAATCGACGGATCAGTGAAACCAAGAGAAGATCTCGCTAAGGGTGAATTTCTTGACTCACTTGGTTCTCACTACGTAAGGAGTGTCACGTATGGTGTCGAGATGGTAGCCAGCCTGAAATTTAAGTCTTCATCCAAGTCAACCAAGTATGTCTCGCAGTTATGTTACATATAGATTCATAGAAGCAATTTTTATTGATTTATTTCAAGCATGACAAAGATTTTAGAGATATTTCCAGAGACTTCCTATTTATGGCTACTTTCCATATCTTGTCCTTGGCCTGCTTATTAAAAATGCAGAAATTGAAAAATTCTAACAGCTCCTATCCTCTTGCAACGTCAGTTTTGGCGCGTACAGAAAGGGATTCTGTTTATGAATTTCGCAGTTTCTTGCAGACTAACATGTTTTTCATCATGAAAATATCTCGTCTCAGAAATGTTCCCCGATGATGAGCATCTTTTCAATATGTCGATGTTAGTGAAAGATGATGTATCCAGTGAAAGACAGAAGCAGGCATACTTGGAAAAAATGAACTCCGAGTGCTCCCAATAGCAGTCGAACGTACGACCTTCCGAACAGTTCAACGGATGCTTTACCACTGAACGATATGAGACTCCTGGCGGAGTAGGCCGTTTAACTAGGTCCAAAGTGACAAACTTCCCGTATACTGCTAGGATAGAAATGTCGAAAGTGATACTTTTTCGCAATGATAAATCAAGATGGTCAATGTTAAGTCCGGTGTTTTAGTATAAGATAATGTGTCCAGTGAATGTCACCAGCATTTTCGTAGGAAAAGAACGTCAATTTTAGCTTTTCACCGATTGCGACGACATTACAATGAAAAAGTTAACAAAAGGATAACTGATAATTAGCTGGTTTTCAACGATGAGTTGGCAAAGGTAGGGAAAGTGCCGTAACGGATTTTTTTAACGGCGACGTGTTCAGTTTTACCTCCTTCGTTTAACTTATACATAAGTTGAGGAGGTCAAATTTAACCTCTTCATGGTGGAGTTATGTCAATTATTTTTCTTAACGTAGGCAGGTTTATCCTTTATACGTATTTAGCATTATTTGTATCTACATGTAAGCCGTTTTTCCTCAAGCTAAAAAGGCAAGAGTTATTCTCAAAAATTTATTTTTCATATCTAGGGAACAAATCAAAGGAAGTGCTGAAGGACAACTAAACATTGGAGCCGTCAATGCAGGGCTTAAAGCTTCATTAGACAAGCTATCAGCAGAATGCAACGATGTATCAGATATCGCCATCAAATATTACGCCACAGACCTACCAGACAAACTGCCAACCACAATGGAGGACCTGGTATTACTGATCGAGAAATTCCCTTCTAGACTGAAGAACTTAAATGATGGCAAAGGGATTCCAATAAGTGTAAGATTCTCTCCTGAAAATTTACATAATACACATAATGAAATCCGAGATGTTTTCCGCATTTTTCTCCCGTTTATTTATTTTTCTTGGTTAATAATATCAAAGTATCAGGCCAAAAAAATTATTTTTCCTATTATTACATTGTTGAAATATTATTTTCACAAAACCTGGACGACATGTTATCGATAATGTAGTCTGACGTTCTGGGTAAGAGTATTCTTGGAAGATAACAGTGATCGGCGTTTCGATAACCTTAGCTGAAGTCATCATCAGAGTCGAGCGAGGACTTATTTTAAGTAGAGGGTTATAAGTCCAGTTCATGTAAACTCATTGGTCAGTTTCGCTTTTATGGTACTGGCTGTAAGATTAAGTAGCTTATGTCAGTTATGATTGGTCAGTTTCGATCTGTCGGTACCATTATGTTGTGTTTAGTTCGTTTGTGGTTTTTTGGTGAAACAACCTTCTCATGTCTTTGAAAGAACTAAGTGCAGTTGTTTAAGGGTTTTGCGGATTCTCAGTTAATAATGTCACGTGCTTTAGTCGATGATGTTCAGCAATGTGATTTTTTTTTGTTGCCACCAACGTTTCTTGTGGCTCATTTCTGTTAAATCACTCTTGTTTTGAGGTTCCTATCATTTCCTATTTTTCGTCTAGTATTCTTCGGTCATTATGCGTCGGTTGTGAGTTCTCGTCAATGTTACCTAGCTAGTCGAGAAAAAGAAATTTTTCCATGTACTTCGACTTACTTGGTGAACTGAAGGTTGAAGTTTTGTTCGTTGAGGTGGCGATAGAATGAATATCGTCTTGGTGTTAGGAGGTTAACATAGCGTAGCCAGAGCATTATCTTTTGTTGTATAGTTGAACAAAAATTTTAACGTAGGAATAAAATGCAAACGAGTTATTGAACGGTCAATTGCAACTTACGGTTTGTGTAACAAGACCCTTTGTCTTTCCAGTTCGAACTTGTGCCCATAAAGAGCATTTTTCCGACAGCGAAAGTTTACCTGCAACAGCAGGCATCAGCATATGAAATAGAGAACTTGGAGAGCTGTTTTAATGATCTGCAAACCACAAAAGGCCTTGTTAGTAACTTGATGAGAAGGAACCAGCGACTGGTTGTGCTGTTATTCCTTACATTCAAGGTGTTACGGAACCCATCAAGATAATTTTGAATAGCCACAACGTTAAAGTTCCTCAAAAACCTTTTCAGACTTTAGGGTTTATTTTTGCTAAACCTAAGGATCCTGTTACGTGGCTATTTATTTTATTCCGTGCAATGATTGTGATCACGACATATATCGGACAGGCCAAACGAACACGTTTGAAAGAGCATCAGAAAGCGGTCTTCTTTTGCTAAAAAGAAAATCCAGCTTTGTCGGAGCACGCATGCCTAACCAACCATGCAATTGAGTGGGATAAGTCTACAATTATTACCACTAATCGACGTTACTACTGGCGCCTTTGTTTGGAAACCCGGCATATCATCTCCGCAAAAAAAAATTATCAAATTCTATCCCTTTCCGGTTAGATGTCTAAAGGACACCTCGTGAAGAGTAGCGACCGACGAAATAACATATTTACGTCAATCTCATCAGAAATTTCCAGATGAATTTTAAAGAAAATTCTCGTACACAAGTAGTTCTGCAAAAATTTCAGGGAACACACTTTGACCAGCTTTCGCCGCCGATTGTTTGTTTGCTTGAATTGAAGGGCTCTCTCTAGCTTTTTCACACAAGGGCAGTCTTGTTCACGATGAAATCTCTGCAGAAAAAAAAAACAACAACAAATTCGATCCCTTTCCGACGAGATGTCTAAAAGACACCTCGTGGAAGGGAGCGACTGATGAAGTAACATATTTACTTCAGTCTCATCTGCAACTTCCTGGGATGAATTTCCTTAGAGTCCTGGTCTATATTATTTTAGATTAAACCGAAAGCTTAGTTTTGAATAAGCTTTTGCCAGACCGTCTTACTCAACAGTCTTTTATCATAAAGGCGATAGACTGTTCCTAAGAAGGAGATATGATCATCCATGAGCTGAAACGAAAAACAAAAGGACCTTTAGGAATATTGAGAAAATCGATAGCTGGTTGAAGCCATGACGTCTTGACAGACTAAGACAACAAGCCACTAAACCAACGTGCACCCGACTTTTGTTTCATAAATGCGAAGCACAAGTATCGAGGTTTATGACAACTGCGCACCTACCCCTCCCCTAACCCAACATTAGCTATAGCTTGTTGTTGGTTGACTGTTGTTGGGTTAGGGGAGGGGTAGGTGCATAGTTGCTCTGATAATGATATTGATCCATTTTTTTATAATATGCTTCTTCTTGACAATTTTAGTAATATATAAATTCTCAAATTTGTCTCCTGGAAAACATTTGTGGAGCATTCTATTGCACCATAAGAGATTCTTAATAAAAGTAAATGAAGTGGTGTACTCGGGGTGTAGTTACAAAGTTCTTTGCTTATTTGCAGTTTGAGCTTCAACCGGTGAATAGCATTATTCCAAGTGCAAAAGTGCACATACAGCAGCAGGCTTTGGCCAGTGAGATAGAGGATCTGGAGAGCTGTTTTGATGACCTTCGAAACACCCAAGCTCTCGCTATGGCATACCTCGAAAACAAAGAAGATGACGACGTTGAAGAATTTTGCAGTAAGGTTAACAAACTTCAACACAAGTTTAAAGAGGCAATTAAAACAATAAACAGCTTGGATGGGCCTGACAAAATCAAAGAATGTACGGAGGCATACACGAAGGCTCTTGGAGGACGCGATATAAAGGGGAAATTTACCCGTAAATGGAGGAGGATACTAAAAAAAGAGGTGAGCATGATGATAAATAATGACACTAATGATGACAACTAAGTCGCCGAGGACGAAGACGACTATGACACCAGTAGGCGACGGTGAAGACAGGGGTGATGACGATGACGATTATGATGAAAATGACGATGATCGTGATTGAAATAATTGTGATCATTCGTAATGACGACGAAGGCGGCCACGCTGATGAAAATAACGATGGCGATAGAGGCAAAAGTGCAGAGCGAGCGATGTTTAAAGTCTGGTATTCCTTTCTTTCTATGAGTTTGTTATGAAAGCTCTTGAAAATCCAGCACTACATCAGATATCCTTTTACGACCTTAAAAGGGAGTGAGAAGGCTTCGGGCTATGTCATATGGAATAAATAAATGGTTCACTTTTCATTTGCAAAATCATAGGAAAATGACTGAGGTCAGGACGTTTGGTTTCCTTTTTTCCAGCTTTGATTTGCATCGCCTATGAGTGTAAAATTTATCTTGTAGGTTTTTTGTCACCTTTAAAATTTTGATGTCCATTGTTTTGAAACTGTAGTATTCTTAACTATATTTACTTCTATTTGAATTCTAACGGGTCTTTCAGTGGGGCGCGGTTAGCTAAACCGACCAATCATGTAAAGGATGTTTTCTTAATGCATTTTTGCCTTAACTGGTAAAGAGATGGTCGTGGTGAGGTTACAACTCATTTTTATTCAATGTGATTTCTTTCACAGGAACCAGTTGCTACAGTCAAGGTGAGAATCGTCGTCAAAACTATAGAAGCTACAATTACGGTCTCACAAAATCGATTCAATTAACCGATTAGTGGTTTTGAGAGGGTGGATCATGCAATCTTAGGGGCGGTAAAAGGTGACGGGAGAAGAAGAGGTAGAAAAGAATCAGTATTTGAAGTGTTTGAAATGTCATTCAAATTTTTTAAAACCTATTTGAAATAATTTTCGCGACAAAATTTCAATATTTTCCAAGAGTACAAGTTGGTTGAAGACATTCGCATTATGAATTCAATCATATTATTTGAAAACCCAAGTATTCAATGAGAGTGAATTTCCAGACTTAAACAGACCACTTGGTTATGCGCACAGATATTTGTCCTTTTTAACACATTTGAAAATTAGATTAGATTTCTTAGCAGCAGTAGATTTGGTACACCCTGTCTCCAAAAAACTTCAGTTTACAATTTCCTAAACTCAGCTGTTTATTGGTAGAATTGTTACTCCCTATTCAATGCCAATAGGGATCCCTCTGTTAAGATCCCATCCAGGAGCGGTACATGCTTGACAGAGATCTGTCTGTCTTCCTAATGTTCTTTTTTATCGTTTAATGTTTTTTAAAAGCTGCCTTCAGGAGTTCCTCTGACAATTGTTCTTTTTGGAAAGACTGGGAACGGAAAAAGCGCCACTGGAAACTCAATCATTGGATTTGAATGTTTCGAAGACAGCCCAAGTGGTTCGTCTGTGACGAAATTTTGCAAATCATTCAAGAGAACAGATGAAAGAGAGGTGACCGTGATAGACACCCCGGGAATCATGGATACGGCCCCAGTCTCAGCCATGGAAAAAGTCAAAGAAAAGGCTAAGAGCGTAACTGGTCTTTACAATGAGAAACAACAGGAAATTCTTCGAGAACTCTACAAAGTTTTTGTCATGTCCCCCGACGGTCTTGATGCTGTTATCATCACTATTAAGTACGGTGGCAGATTTGGGCTCGAAGATGCCGAAGCTTTGAAAATACTTCAAAAATTTTTTGGGACTGAAGCCAAACCTTACATGATTTTAATTCTAACACATGGCGACCAGGCTGCCCGCGACGCAAAGAGAAAGAAGAAGAGCATTGAAGACCATTTGAAATGGTACATCTCTACCTTGCCAGATTGGGTCCAACAGTTTATGAAGGAGATAGGAGAAAGGAGAATGCTGTTCGACAACATGTTGGATCCTACAGAAAATCCTGATGATTGTAAGAAGCAAGTCTCTAAGTTACTTCAGGTAAAAGTCCATTTAAGAGCAAAATCTGTAGGTTTGGTCGTTGTAGGTCAGCAGTTGCATAGGTGACTAGCCTTTTCGTTGATTAGTAATGGTGTAACTTGTCTCTAAAAAAAAGACAAAAGATAAGCCATATCAAATGAGTAAAATTTCTTGTATAGTGATCGTTCGAAGAAAGCGGTTTGCATCTGTCATAGGAGTATGACATTGAATAAGATAAAAAAGATATTTACACAAGGAAAGTGATGTATTTTTATGGTGGAACTTTGAAAGTCTTTTGATGGTTAACTCTTCTTTGGGTTAACTTTTATCACTTTTCTTTTCTTTCCTTTTTTCCCAAATTCATTTGGTTTTAGGATTAGCCATTTTTATCCCTTTAACTCCTAAGAGAGACTGGCTTCTAAAATCTCCTCTCAGTATCTTTCTTGAATCAAATGTGTAGGTTACGAGAATAAGGGAAAAGATCACCATTTTAAGAGGCTCCTGATTACCAAATAAATTCTCCTTGTCAGCGCCATAGTGTATAAAGGGTTAAGTGGAACATAAAAACTCATAGTCTGAGTTTTGGACACTTCGTCAGACATTTCCTTTCGAGAGACTAAATTCTCAAAGCCTTATTTTTGTCCTCCTTTGATTTCTTTTGTATGTCGTAGTCTCCAAAAATATTCATCTGACTCAGGGCATTAAACCTAAGAGGTCACTGCCAAATTCTTATAGGTTGCAGTAGTTCCCTAAGTGTGGAAATTTCGCAAAACCGAAATTAAAATCCTGGAGCTCCGCTAGTGAGATACCAAATACACCTAGACGCCCTAGTGTAAGCAGTCGAAGGAAATTGAATAAAAAATATCAGCATGTTGTTTTTAAAGGTAATTGATTACCTTCGGTAATTGCAGATAATCATTGTTGTGGTCAGTTCGACATGGCACACGCGAATTTGTTTGATGAAGTATAATTTCAGACAGTCAAATGTTCTAAATACGTTTCCAGATTTCCTCGATGTCATTTGTTTCTTTATTCGTTGAAGAAAATGGCAGAATAAAGCAAATGCGTTTTACAGTTTCTTGGAGTTTACACAACTTAGAAAACTATTAACACCCTTAAATCCCTTTGTGCTTAGATTTTTTTTCTCTTAAGTTTATTTGTTTTTCTTAGATTATTGACGAGGTGAGGAAGCAAAGAGGGCCTTTAATACACCGCCTGACCAAGGCGTCCAAACAAGTGCTTGAAGAAGAAATAAAAAAAGCCATGGACGAGCAAGGAATAACGAAGCAGGCAAAAGCTCTTCGTAAAAACGAGGAAGAAATCAAAAAGCTACTTGAAGACAAAAAAAAAAGTGAGAAAGAGAAACGTGACTTGGAAAAACGCCTCGCTGAACAGAAAGAGAAACAGGCGAAGTTGGACGCTGCAGCGAGAAAGCTGGCTGATGAGAAAAAACAGTCACAATTAGACGATGCTAAAAGTCCAGAAGGAGGAAAATCAACCAAAGAAGTGGCCAAAAAAGATGAAGGTGGTAGTCGTGGTGGATGTTATCCTGGCTCAGCCATTATCTATGATTCAAACTTCCGAGCGAGGCGAATAGAATCTTTGCAAGTTGGTGACGAAGTCCTGATCATTACAAAGAATGGCATCCAGTCCGATCCAGTTATCACCTTCATTCACCGTCAGCCAGAAGTTGTGGAAGGATTTTTAAAAATTGTCACCGGAAAAGAGAAAATCCTCCTGATAACCGCTGACCATCTTCTTTTTGTGGAATTAACGGGCCAAGCAACAGCCATCCCTGCTAGAGATGTTAAGGTCGGAGACACAGTGTACGTGAGGGGAAGTCATGGTTCAGAGAAGGATTTAGTTCGGAGCATCAGCACTGTCTACGAGAAAGGTGCATACGCCCCAGTAACCCTGAGCGGCACTATTCTGGTCAACGATGTTCACACCTCATGTTACTTTGATGTTCTGTCCCATGAGTGGTCCCACAGAGCCATGAGCATTGCTCGCGCTCTGCACTATGTGTCTCCATCGATGGAGCGTAAGATCAGTGCTGTTGGAGAAAAGGATGGATTCCCAGGTTGGTGCAGACTGGCTCACACGATGTTGACATTGCTCGACTGATGAACTAAGAATTTAACTCTTGTCATGTCTAGAGACTCTTTTTACTATATATTCTTTGTAAGTGTGATATGGAAAGTTAAACAAGTTAGAGGATAACAAAACCGTCTTCCATTTTAATTTCTCACATTAAGTAGAGTAGCATTATTGGGCGATACATGAATATTAATCAATAACAAAGTCGAACGTTACGTAAGTGTTTAAAGCTTTAAAGCAAAACCAAAACCCTAAGTAATTTTTTTTTATGTCTAACGTGCGATGGAAGCTTTGCAAACATACAGGTTTAAAGAATGTTTTACCAGAATTTTGTGAATGTGGTTGTGTACGCGTCAAATAGAGACCTCAATACACTGATAACTTCTTCGCGTGAGTTAACTTACAGTCATTAAGTGATCGATTCGAAACAATAGCTAATTGAACCCAAAGCGGAGTAAAGCTGATCGCGGTTGACAGTGTTTCCAGTGCATTGAATTAAACCAAAAAGGTTATCATGCGTTGAAACATTAACTAAAAAAAAAAAAAGAAAAGAAAACGGGTTGTCAAAAGGTTCTTCGATAAACAAATTGTTTTGAACGTAAACTTAGGGTTTTCGTCTTTAAAACGCAACGAACGTAGCGTTTAATTAGGACCTCTAACTGAGGGAGAGATTTGAGACTTGCCGGTTTCCTAATAAATATAGGTGTTCCCTCGATGGAATAAAAAGTATCAAATAGATAGATTATACCAACTTTTTCTTGAGTTGAGTACCAAAGATTGCTTCACTTAAAGGCAGATAAACACAAGTTTGTTGCCTGTTTTGTTATTTTAGTGACTACGCCTTATTAACCATTTTTTTATTGTAATCCCAGGTTTCCTTAGATATTTTTAGACTCAACAATAAAGTGTATCATAAGTAATTCAGTATTTTGGTCCCTTTTAACGACTAACGATGTGCCGATTTTTACACAACACCATAACAGATATTTAAATTAATGGTCAGTGCCGCTTTCTTTATTTACGCCGTCCAATTCTTACTTATTTTTCTCTTTCAATCTTTCATTATTGCCCACAGTATTTACATTTATTTCTTTGTTGGGGCGTTACCACTCAGTTTAGCGAGAGAAAATGTTCTTTTGGTCTAAGGTGCATAATTTTAATTGAGGACATGAATTAAGGGAATCCATAAGCGATAGAGAGACAGACTGCTAACATCTTGAACTTTGCGAACAGGCCACCTACCATTTTCAATATTCACAAAAGTCTTTCAACAACTCGTAATTGACAACAATCGCTTTAGATGATTTGAGATCCAGATGACAGAAAATTTGGACTACCTTGAGGAACTTGTAGTTTTAGGATCAGTCATAATTTTAAGGGGGGGGAGGGGAAATGGAGGATGTTTGGTCTCAGGTGGATCGGAGAGGGGATCAGTTGTTGCTAACAGAGTTAAAAATGGGGACTATGAGGAATATACTGCCAATGAACTATATTTCTGAATTGAGCGACTTTATTACTGCACTAATTTCCATTCCAGTGACAAAATCTACTGTACAACAGCTTGATTTCAGTAGGACAGAAAGTGAGAGCAGCATTAATGTCACATGTGTGCTACTTTTCAGAAGAGTGAATACGACTTTAATCACTTTTTCCATGAAGCCAATATCCTTTTTTAAAATACTTTGGATTGAAATCTGAATCTTCCTTTATTTGGAAAGCAACAAACAAAAAAGAGCCTACAATTTTAGTTAGAACAGATTTTAAAAGATACCCAATAACTAGATTCACTTGGTTTCAGTAGCACAGAAACTTGAGTCACAGGCACCCCACATCTGAGTTATGATGTGTGAAATATGAGCTGCTGTCCTTCTAAGTATCTTAAATTAAGGTTCTCCACTTTTTAGAATTCATTGACGTTATCTTTTTACGCATAATTTAAAGCATATTACTACGTTTTAAATTCTATGTCATCGCAGGTGACTCTGTGAGCTTAACTTTCAGCCAACTACACTGCATCAGTTGTAACAAGAAAGTAAATGCACAAAGTCGAATCCTTTCCTTAATTTTGTCATTAGTTTGATAGGCCATGGAGACATTTTGTGTTTTGCGGGTTGAAAACTTCAGGCTTGTGGTACAGCGTGCTCAGGTGTGATTAGCGGGGTGCCTACAACAGGTCCATCTGTCTTGTATTTCCACACCAATTGTACGTCATCAGCTCTCAGGGCATACAAATAAGTATCTATTCCTCCTATGAACAACAGTCCACTCTTATCCAGGCGCGGTGACGACCATATGGCGGATTTCGTTTTTAAACTCCACATGAGTGAGCCATCAGTCTGACGAAGAGCTAAAATCTCACCTTCACCTGAGCCGATGTAGACATTTCCATTTGGAGCGACAAACGGCGAAGAGAATAGCTCACCCTTTCCTGATTCAATCAATAAACAAATAAATATGTCGATAAATGAAAATGCATTTATTTTTAAAGTGACCGTAAATATATGAAAATCATATATGTGACCTGCGGATAAAGAAATGAATGTGGAAGTGATCTTCGCAGTAATGAACACTACTTAAGCAGTAGTGATGTTTTCACCACTGCTTAAGTAGTGCTCATTACTGCGGAGATCACTTCCATATTCATTTCATTTATATCATGTCGTGAATCCCTTTCGTGTATGGTAGCAAAGACGCCCTCTTTCTTATCTTGAATAAAATTTTCCAACACAGCAATAGAATATAAAACAGAAGTTACGCCTTTGTCACGACATTGTGACTAGACTTTGAAGTCAAATTCTGAAAGTAAAAATGCCACGACAATGCAAGTATTTTACATTCACAACCTTCTTTGAACCTGGAAAAGAAAATGCATCACATGTAGATGATCTTCAGTTTAAGTATAAACTTAGCGTAGAATTAAAGGAAATGAACTTGGAAGAGAGAGGTAACTCTTCTTTGACACTCCTCCTAAACAAACACCAATGTTCTCTCACTCACTCATTTGTTCCGAGGCACACGCCAAAGAAAATGTAACCGCTTAACAAGTTTAACTTCACAACTGTTTCAAACAATTAGACTGGAAAATTCGAAATGTTCTGAATCCCTACTTGAGAAAAATAGAATATTGATAACAAACCTTCCCTAATCCACTTGAGTTTTCCAGTAGCGGAATCCAGTGCATAAATATTTCCCTCCGTGGATCCAATAAAGAGAGTCCCGTCCAGTTTACTGACAACAGGTGACGACTGAAACGCCGAGTCGGCCTCAAACACCCAGCGCACGTGACCATTCTCAGTATTAAACGCGTAACAGTTTGCATCGTAGGAACAGAAAAATACGGTCTTGTTATCATGGTTAACAGAAGGAGAGGAGAAAACGGGTTCAGCTGTTTTGTACTTCCAAATGATTTCGCCGGTTTCACTGTCAAGAGCGAACACGTTTGCCCAGTCTTCAGCCATGGAGCCGATGAACACAGCTTTGCTGCCTTCTAGAAGAGCAGGCGATGACCAGATTTCGGCCGCTAAATCCGTCTTCCATTTGAGGGAGCCGTCTGGATTAAGGGCCATCTAGACACCCGAAATAGAGACTGCCGTCTGCGCCAACTCGGGTCGAGGAAGTAACCGCCCCTTCTGTCGAAAACTTCCAAATAAGATTACCGTTGACAGCGCTGAGCGCCCGAAGTGATTTGTCGTCGGTTCCGCAGTACACGACAGTTCCATTAGAGTTGAACTCGCATTTTGATCCACCTTCATCAGCAGTTCCGTATTTCCATTTCACCTCGCCTGACGCGGAGTCGAACGCGTAAATCCAATGATCATCAGAACTTAAATACAGCGTGGAATCTTTTGCATCAACCTCTCCCAATAAAACCAATTTCTCACTGATGTCTTCACTTTCGTTCCGAGCGCTTTCGTCTGCGGTCTTTTCCTCTTCCGTCGTCTCTTGATCGGAAACACTCGGCTTTGATCGGGAATCGAAGGGGGGACCATCGTCGGGCACGATTATCTTACCATCAAGACTCTCGAGATACTCTCGGTCGTCTTCGTTGAGCATTACGTGAGTAAACTGAAGGTTTGTTTTAATATGGTTCGGGTTCCGCGAGCGGGGAATCACAATAACATCTTTCTCTAAAGACAACTTGAGAACCATCTTAGGAATGGAAGCATCGAACTTAGTGGCGATTTTCCGAAGACCTTGGTCAGATAGAACTGGATTTACAGGCAGGCCCTCTCTTTTCCACGAATCACCTAACGTGCTGTGATTGAAGATAAAACAAAAGCTAATTACAAAATCTCACGTAACTGACTGTTTGAGAGTTTGGATAACCTCAAAATCTTTGACAGCTAAGAGTAGAGAGTAAAGATTAATTACATGTAGTCCATGTGGCCTGCATAGCTAACATTAACAAATATTACTTTGTTTGCTTGATTGTTTGCGGTTTGTTTTGAGTGAGTGTGTCTGTAAGTAATATTTCCTTCTCTTCTCATTTACGGTAGTCTCCCTCACAACCCTTTTTTTTTGGGGGCGGGGAGGGGGGTGACACAACAACGATCTTGCGATTTAACGCTCACAAAGTAAGCTACACTTCTTGTTAAGCCACGGTACATAATTTTGATTATTCATTACCTATGACCCATGTATCGAATCCCATTTTTCTCACAGAATTCTCGGTTGACGCGATCTTGGTTGAAGGGATCAAATGAATTCTGTACAACTGATGGCCGAACTTTTGAGATCTCAAGTAAACGCTTTAAGTTGTCAACTTCGAAGTTACTGACGCCAATACTTCGGATTTTCCCTGCAAAGAAACACAAACGACTTCCTTTAGTTTGAATTCTATAGGCTCAAAATTGTTCTGAAAGGAGTTCAGATTCATTATCTTTACGTTCACTCTACCAGCGATACAAAAAGAGATCATACCGTCACATGATGTGATAGAAAATAAACCAACTTGCCTTTGTTTAAAAGTGATTCCAGCGCTTTCCAAGAGTCTTCCCATGTTCCCTTGGGCTCCCCTTGTTGACAAATCAAGTGGGCACCAGGTCCCTCGTCACAGTCCATCGAGTGAATCAACATGAGATCAATGTAATCAACCTGCAGAAATATGTACAAACAAACAACTTACTGACTGAGGCCATACTGCAACAAGACTGTGGCAAGAAAGTTTGTATACATAATAATACCCTTTTCTATGAACCTTTAACTCCTAAGAGTGACGAGCATCTAATTTCTCCCCACAATATCATCCCAAAATCAAACAATAAGGACATGAGTATAGGGGAAATGATCACCAACCAGAGAAACTCTTGATTGTTAAACAAATTCTCCTTTTCAATACCAAAGGAAAAGTTTAGAGAAGAGTATGGAGAATATGGAAACTGAAGAATATTCACTGCTGTTTTTCTTTTGATTGATCTCACATGGCTTAGACATTATTTTTGTTCTACTCAAGAAAATTTCAGGCTGAAAAGTAAAAGAGCTGAGAGCTGACACTTAATAACCTTAAGCTTGGTAAGTGACTCTTCCACAGACTTGAGAGTTTCATCATAACCAAGAAAACGTGGATGAACTTTGGAGACAATGAAAACCTTCTCCCTTGGTATCCCACTTTCTTGTACAGCCTCTCCCTCCTGTTCCTCATCATACGCTTGGGCAGAATCAATCATTCTTATAAAGAAAACAAGCATCAGATACTGAGTGGGATATGGAGAGTTCCTTTGGTTCACTAAATGGCGTTCAAATCCCTTTTTTAAGCCCAGGCTAGAATCATTACTCAGTATTGCAATCGTGAGCAGAAAACTTTATTTCCTCAATCACTTTAACTCCTTGGAGAATAAAAGTAAAGTCTTGAAGTCCCAAGTAGCCCATAACTGGCCCCCAATTGTGGAAAGAGGCACTAAGTGAGTGAAGTGTCTTGCTCAGCAACACAACTCTATGCCTGGTTTGGCCTGAACATGGATCTTTCAGGTTGGAATGAATCCAGAATACTTAACACTAATAGGCTGATAAATCTTCCCCAAATGGGTACTGACAAACTGCCAAGAACTAGGAGATACTTGACAAATTAGAGGAGTAAAGGAGGGGGGGCTTTTGTCATTTACATGTACATGTAGCTGTCTATTAAAGACTAGCAAAATGCTGCTAAACACTCCAATCTATGAAAATTAAGATGAGCTTTGATGGAGTAATTGACATAGGCTTTGTGCACTGAAAAGCTTTCAATTTGTTGCAAACTTTTTGAATCACTTATTTTAAATCATTTGGCGAGAATTGACAGCTCACCGTTTCATTATTTTAAGTGCCCCATGCAACAGCACATCATTTAAGAGAAAACATATGCTGAGCATAAACTTAACGAAGAACAAGTTTTTGTAAAGAAGCATGTTCAGCTTGTGACTCTGTTTTGTTCTTACTGGCCACCGTATCATTCACATAGTCTTAACGTTAGTTGGCCACAAGCAAACTACAACAAAAGTTTGACAAAAACGAAGACAGTTGGAAGATTTTGGTACAAACGTCGTTCATGGATGACAGTTCAATTGAATACCACTACTATTTGTAAACCACGATCATAATGATTTTGTGGTGCCATTGAATGATGTGGACAGAACACAGGAAGTACTTTCCTGTGAACATGTGCTGATGGAGGCAGCATCAGCCCATGAGGACATTCTCCTTCCAATTGTTTTGACCTTGAGGTATGAGGAGGTTTGTGTTAAATGGCAGTTTCAAGTGCCTGTTAAATGTTTGCCCATATGGCTTGCAATCTTTAGGTAAAATTTTCATACTTAACACAGCCCAACTGTTGTGACCCCAACTGGCTGGTTTCTGTGTTTACAATCATAGATTATGTTAAAGTTCAAAGCACAAAGATCATTCAATAAACATGACAGAGGTATTCAGGATTTTTCAATATCCACTGTATAATGTATGCATACTATATTTCACATTATGTATTAAATTAAATTATTAATCAAAGATGTTTTTCTCTCTATCAAATTGTCAGGAATCTTGTACTACATAGAATTGATGGAAACTCATACTTTTGGATAACAAAGAAAACTCAAGATCTGGGAGAGAAAGTATTGAATCATTGTCCATATTTTGGTTGTTTTTGAAGATAAAAGACAAGCTAACTTAACAAAAAGTCAAAGTTTAAAAACTTTCCTTAGATTTAAACAGCTAAACATTAATATTTTAGTAGACAATTTCCCACTTTATTAAGATTCCACAACATTTACATTGGTTTTGATATTGTGTACTGTAAAGGGTGTGCGCATAGATGTTTCTTCATTATTAGGGGACATTGATAGAGTTGATCTCCTGTTCCCTTCCAGGATGTACTTATGATAAATTGTTTTACTTTCTGCAGTAATGAGCAAACCAGTATTTTCTGTTGTTTTATTGTCTATGTTATGTTTCATTATGCTATATTTGGTTCCCCATGACAACCTCTGTACTCCAATTATAGATGCAATAATGACCATAATTATCAATGTTCTCAAATTCTTCTTACCATTTTATGTGTTTGTTAGAACAGAAAAGAAAATTCTGAAGCACAGGGTTGGATTTACTTATGATGGCACCCACAACTTCCCTTGCAAACTGAATTCCCACTTTTCTGGGAATTCCTAGGAATTCTCAAAAATTCCCAACTATGCAAGTAAACTCTCATGTGAAAAGTTTGGAATTACTGGGAATTTCTGGGAAAGGAAGACTCCAGTTTTGTGAGGACTTGGAATTCCTAGGAATTCCTAGGAATTCTCAGCTATACAAACTACCCATAATTTAAGAAGGGTGGAATTCTAGGGGATTTCTGGGAATTGAATTTGAGGCAATTTAAATACCCTGAGGTCCACATAAATTCCAAGAATTCCCAGTACTTTGAATGTGAAGGTTTTAAGAAAAGGAGTAATTTTAGAGGCTTAAAACTTTGGCTCAATAAAAGGTATGCTGTACAAAATACACCAAGAGATATACATACATGTATATGTTTATAACTTAAAGGTCATGAAATTTAGTATTCAAACTAAGTTTTAGTAAATCTCTACAGAAATATGGATTTTCTCATGAAGCAGCAGTCAATTATATTCAATGCAAATTGCTAATTAATCCAATGTACTCATATCACAGATTTGCTTTCTAACCTCAAAGGACTCTTGGATTCCATGATCAGAAAAGTTTTGATTGTGATGCAAAATGTCTCAGGTTCACAAATGTGCCAAAATCATCAAACATTCATCAGCTGTTTCTTTGGTACACAACTTCCACATGTAACAATAACATTGTTATCTACACTTAAAGAACTTTGTTAGCTATGAACATAAGTTACTTCCCTAACCTACATTACTGGTTGCCTTTGTTAGAAAACCATGGAACAGTCAAGCTCAGTTGCCTAAAACACTGTCAGAGATGTTTTGTTAACATTATTTTTAGTAGAATTATCATGCCTTAGACAAACAAATTCAACACCTAATTAATCTTTCTTTTTCATGATTGTTATGGTTATTTTTTCAGTTTTTTGCTCTGTTTTCGTGACTGATTGCTGTAATTTTTTTTTAAACTG